AACATCAATAAAATATTAGCAAATCGAAACCAACAATGAATAAAAATAACTGCACACCATGACCAACTGGGATTTGTACTAGGTATGCAAGGCTGGTTCAGCATTTTTTCAATTGATATAATCCACCACATAACCAGCCTAAAGAAGAAAAATCACATGATCATATCACTAGATACAGAAAACGCACTTTAAAAATCCAAAAAGTCATGAATAAAACTTAGCAAACTAAAAATAGAACAGAACTACCTAAATTGGATTTTTAAAATACAGTTAACATCATACTTAATGGTGAGGAAATTGAAACTTTCTCACTTAGGTCAGAAACAAGGCAAGGATGTCCCCTCTCATCACTGTTTTTCAACATTGCACTGGAAGTCCTAGCCGATGCAATAAGAAAACAAAATGTATATAGATTGGAAAGGAAGAAATAAAACTGTTTACAGATGACATGATCACTCATGTAGAAAATATAAAAAGACACCCCCCCCCAAAAAAAAACTCCTGGAACTAGTAAGTGATTATACATACCATAGTTAAAGAATGTAAGGCTAATATTGCTTTCCTATATATACCAGCAACGAACAAGTGGAATTTGAAATTTAAAAACACAATACCATTTATATTAACACCCACAAAAATGAAATACTGAGTTATAAAACTAACAAAACATCTACAAGATCTATATGAAAAAAATTATAAAACTCTGCTGAAAGAAATCAAATAAGAACTAAATAAATGAAGATATACTCCATGTTGATGGACAGGAAAACTCAATATTTTCAAGGTGTCAGTTCTTCCCAATTTAATCTAGATTCAATGCAATCCCAATAAAAATCCCAGCAAGTTATTTAGCAGATACTGACATACTGATTCTAATGTTTATATGAGTAGGAAAAGACTCAGCATAGACAAAACAATATTGAAGGAAAAGAAAAAGCCCAGATATAGATCCACATAAGGATAGCCAACTGATCTTTGATAAAGGCACAAAGGCAACACAATCAAAAAAGACAATCTTTTCAACAAATGGTGCTGAAACAATTGGATATCCACATGCAAAAAACATGAATCTAGACACAGAATTTACTTATACCTTTCATAAAAAATTAACTCAAAATGGAGCACAGACCTAAATGTAAAAAGCAAAATTATAAAACTCCTAGAAGGTAACATAAAAGAGAATCTAGACGACACTGGGTTTGGTGATGACTTTTCAGATATCAAAGGTAGGATCCATGAAAGAATAAATAGATACAATGGACTTTATTAAAATTAAAAACTCCTGCTCTGTAAAAGATAATGCCAAGAGATGAGGAGGCAAGCCATAGACTGGAAGAAAATATTTACAAAAGACAATGAGAAAGGACTGTTCTCCAAAATATACAAAGCACTCTTAAAACTCAACAATAAGAAAACACATAACTTGCCCCAGCTGGTGTGGCTCAGTGGTTGAGCGTTGACCCATGCACCAAGAGGCTGCCAGTTCGATTCCTGGTCAGGGCACATGCTCAGGTTATGGGCCCGATCCCCAGTGGGGGGCATGCAGGAGGCGGCTGGCCAATTGATGTTCTTTCTCATCAATGTTTCTATCTCTCTCTCCCTCTCCCTTCCTCTCTCTCTAAAATCAATACAGAAAAAATATTTAAAAAGAAGAAAAAATAGGCCCTGGCCGGTTTGGCTCAGCGGTTGGAGCATCGGCCTGCGGTCCTGAGAGACCTGGGTTCGGTTCCCGCTAAGGGCATGTACCTCAGTTGCAGTTTGTCCCCGGCTCTGGTCAGTCAGTCGTGTGGGTGGCAGCCACTCGATGTGTTTCTTTCACGTCGATGTTTCTCTCTCTCTCTCTCTGTTCCTCTCTCTCCCTCCCACTCTACCTGAACAAAAAATGGAAAAATGTCCTCAGGTGAGGATAAAAAAAAAAAGAAGAAGAAGAAAAAATAGCCCTGACCAGTTTGGCTCAGCAGTTAGAGTGTCGGCCTGCGGTCCAGAGAGACCCGGGTTTGGTTCCCGCTAAGGGCATGTACCTCAGTTGCAGTTTGTCCCCGGCCCTGGTTGGTTGTGCAGGAGGCAGCCACTGGATGTGTCCCTTTCATGTCGATGTTTCTCTCTCTCTCTCTTCCTCTGTCTCCCTCCCACTCTGCCTGAACAAAAAATGGAAGAATGTCCTCGGGTGAGGATTAAAAATAAATAAATAAATAAATAAAATGAAATAAAATAAAGATCAATATCCCTCAGTTATAGAAGAAAATATCACATATGAAAAAGAAGAGAACGCTATAAAAAATAAACGGCCAAAATATAAGAAAGATCTCACTTTAGGAAATTAATAAATGTTATAGAATTTTTAAAATTAAAAAAAGTGTTAGAAGATAAAATATAGAGATTCTCCTAGAAAGTAGGACGGAAACTCATACAGATTCCAACAGGAGAATAAAGATAAGAAAATTAGAAAATCGGTCCAGGAGGACCAACAACTGAGTATAATCCAGAAAAACAGAGCTAGGAAAATGAAGAGAAGGAAATTCTTAAATAATAAAAGTTCTCAGAATTGGAGGACACTACTCTACAGTCTGAGAGGGTTCCCAATCCCAGTAAAAGATATTAAGATATGATATCAAGGCACATAACTGAAACTTCAGACTACCAGGGGTGAAGACAATATCCTAAAGCCTTCCACAGGGGAAAAAAAAAAAAGGTGACATACAACATTCAAGGCCATAGGAATCAGAAAGGTATCAGATTTTTCAACAGTAAAACTAAAAGTTAGGGAAATGTTTTTTTCCAAATTCTATGGCAAATTGACTTTTAATTTAGAATTTTATTCCCAGCAAAACATTTGTCAAATATTAATCAAGAGCAAAGTCATTTTGGACATGCAAAGACTAAAAAAACTTTCCATGTACCTTTTCTTGGAAAGCTACTAGAAGATGTGCCCCAGCAAAATGAGGAACAGGAAAGAAAAAGACACGTGACCTGGGAAACAGACTACAACAAAGTAAAGTTGACAAAGGGAAGTCCTAGGATGATGGCGAAAAAAGCCCCATGATGATAACTGTGATCAGACCTAGAGCACACCAGTCTAGATTTGAAGAGGAAAAGGTCCTGAGAAGTACTCCAAAATTAGAAGAAGAAAGGAGGAGGAGGAGAAGGAAGAAGAGGAGGAGGAGGAAGAGGAGGAGGAGGAGGAGGAGGAGGAGGAGGAGGAGGAGGAGAAATTAATAGAATATCATCACTTTAGGATCTTCTGCCACAAGGTTTTCTTAACCCTTTGGGGTCTGTATCTCTTTGCATTAGAGATAAAATAACAAGCAGCAAACTGCATCTGTCTTTGTTATAACCACATTATCTAACAGAATATACACAGAATATATATGATATATTTGAGAATATGCAAAATAATGCTGCTTAGTTTTTTTTTTGTTTGTTTTTTTGTTTTTTTATCCTCACTCGAGGACATTTTTCCATTTTTTGTTCAGATAGAGTGGGAGGGAGAGAGAGAGAGGAAGAGAGAGAGAGAGAAACATCGATGTGAAGGGACACATCGAGTGGCTGCCACCCACACGACCAACTAGGGCCGGGGACAAACTGCAACCGAGGTACGTGCCCCTAGCGGGAACCGAACCCGGGTCTCTCTGTACCGCAGGCCGACGCTCCAACCGCTGAGCCAAACCGGCCAGGGCAATGCTGCTTAGTTTTTGATAGCTCTTAACAATCTGGAAAAAATGATCAACAGATAATGTTTTAGAAGGAAAATAAATCAAGAAATACATATGTAAGTATGTTATTTAGAATAATGGATGAAAGTTCCAGCATTGAATATTGTTATTTCTATACAGCAGACTTCTGGATGGCTACCTACAGGCTGCAGGACAGCAAAATTCAGGTGTGGCATGTAAGACCCCCGATGCCCCACTATTCCCTCCTCAGCTCTTCCTCACTCCCTGACCAGCCAGACCTAACGGCAGGCTGATAACTTCTAGCTCTACAGACTGGCTTGAGCAGCTGTCTCTGTCTAGAGTACCAGCCCATTCTTCCCCTCCCATCGCAAACAAAAAGAACTGGCCACTTCCTACTGTGTTCCCTTTTGAAGTGTTCTCTTAGGACCTAAGCAACTTGTTGCATATTACCAATTCACATCTTTTCCCTCCTTCTAGACCACAGGCACTTTAACTTACTTATTTCTTTGTATCCTTAGTGCCTGGCACTGAAGGTCTTTAGTCAGTGTTTACTTGGCATGTCGGTGTCTGCATTTTCTATTCCGTAAAATGGGAGTGATGTTATTTATTAGGATTTGATGACATATAAATAGAATTAAGTGGGCATGTTATCTTTGATGGCATGTCACCCATTCTACCCCATGTAACTGACTATGCTCAGCTCTCTCGGGCCACACGGACACTCAGGCCTGGCTAATCATAGCACGATTCTTCCTGAACATAGTGTGGGTCCATAACCCAAGCAGAGCAATCAGAGACTTTAATGAGGTTTGGTGTATGGAGGCTGGGAAAGGGTTTATCTCGGTGTATCTCTTCCCTTTAGGTCATGTGCTATAAGGACATAGGCTTGTCTCTGGCCCTCTTTGTTTCTCTGAGAAAAAATGCAGCTTGAAAAACAAGCCAGCACATGGATGGTTGATAGAGGGAGGGAGAGAGAACCTGAAAATATCAGTGCGTCCTTAGTACCAACGTGCCAGCAGCCAACTTGTCTGTGGGCTGCCTGGTTACTAAAGCCACTAGATGTTCCTTCTGCTCAAGTTAGTTTGAGCCGATTTCCTGGCACCTGCAACCGAAAGCTCTGCCTTACGCAGTTCATAAAGCACAAATGCTTGGCACTGAGAAGTACAGAATCACTGGTAGCTCTTTCTGCCACCATTAACAACAAAAAAATAAAATGAGAATTGAGTGATACATAAAAGTGAACTTTTTACATATTCTTTTCCATGTATTAAGAATTCTTACATTGCTCACATTTCTACTTTTCCCATGGTCTTTTTTTGAACAAACCTTAAAAGAAATGTGGTCTCCTTCTTCAGGCTTCCTTTAGATTTCTTTTCCAGGGATTCCTCCATGAAGGCTGAAGGATGAATGAATGTGTGGTTTGCCTTTTTTTTATCTGCTTCTTTTTGGTCTATATTCTTCACCTCCCTGTGTGAAATCACAAAGACACATAGGGGAAAAGACTAAAAAGCCAGCATGATCTTTTCTCTCTTACCTTCATATGTAAAGAGAAGCAAATATTTACAAATTCATTCATGACAAATGTCAAGAGAAACTGACTGAACAGAGAACTGACCACACAGCAGGAACTCACCCCTTGCTGTATGCCTAAGGTCACATCAGCCCTGGGACACAGAGGAATACGGGTGGTCCTTGAACTCAAGGAACACTACTCGAATTAGGAAGACAGGTGAGGAAATCCACAATCTGAAAGAAAGCTCAAGTGTGAGCTTTGAGGGCAAGCTGATTAAGGTTGGGGCTCTGCCACTTGCTGTGTGACCTTGGGCAAATTAATTCACCTCTCCATGCCAATGTACTCATCTCAACATGGGAATAACAGAACCTTGGGTTGTGGAAGGTTGAGTTACCACAGGTCAGGTGCTTAGCACAGAGCCTGGTACACAGAAAGTGCTCAATAACGTTGGCTGCTACTGCTGCTGGTGTTATAAGAGGTTTCCAGCAGAACGTCTGTAGCTAAGCTTGGGGTACGCAATGGGAATGCTATTGGGTAATATACCAGCTGACATTTGAAATGTGAGTGAACATTTATTTGATGAAGAAGCAGGTTATGGGTGTTCAAGGTAGACACAGTAGCAATAAATATATATTTGAGTGAAGTAAGATGCTGTCATATACTTCTCTACTATGGTAGGATAGATATAGAAAGACTGACATTTAAAAACTAGCATTGAACTTGGCCTAAACCAGTAGTTATTCCAACAATGGGGGTCTTTTCCCAAGTTAAAGGAAAAAATTGTGTTGACACAACATTCTCATTTTTGTGATCTTCTGCCACAACTTTTCTTCACTTTTTGAAGCCTGCTTCTGCTTGCAATGGAGAGACAAAAAACCAGCAGCATATTGTCCTTGTTATGATCACATTTTTCTAACAGAAGAATTTGGATAGCCCTAGCTGGTTTGGCTCAGAGGTTAGAGCGCGTGGACCAATGAGTTGCAGGTTCGATTCTGGCCAAGGGCACGTACCTTGGTTGTGATTCGTTCCCGGCCCTGGTTGGGGTTGTGCAGGAGGAAGCCACTCGATGTGTCTCTTTCACATCGATATTTTTCTCTGTCTCTCTCTCCCTCTCTCTCCCTCCCACTCTATTTGAACAGAAATGGAAAAAGTCCTTGGGTGAGGATAAAAAAAAAAAAAAAACAGAAGAAAAAGAATTTGGATGGGATTCCTTGATAATATTTTCTGCATTGTCATTTCTTGAGGTGTTGCAGCCTGTACGTGTTTTAGGCTCCTACTTTCCACTAGTAAAAGCATTTTTAGCGTGTATGATGGAATCGTATGTTGAAACATTTCAGAGAGTTCTGCAAAACGCATTCTGAATTGTGGATGCTTTGCCCCCAGACAAGTGTGAGCATCAGGGCTCTGGACTAGCAAGAAAATGAATTCTTCAGCAGCACTGAGCCCGCTCCTTCACTGTAGAGCCCCATCTGCACGTGCAAACCAGGCTCTTCCTCACTCAAGAGCAGAGAACCCTGCACAATCGTTGCTGGGTTGCCTTTTCTCAGGGGACTGCTCCATGCCTCCCCAACCACTAACTTTCCTTTGGAACCCGCAGTTTTTATGGTATGGGCTTGCTTGTATTATCTGTAATAGCTGTCCTTTAGTAAGCACTTCCTCTGAGCCAGGACTGACCTAGACATTTACTTTCACTCGCATAACTACTCCATGTTACTATGAGATGGTACCCAGGCCTCACAGGGCTGACTGATGGATCTAATTCACACAGAGAATGAGAGAGCTGGCACTGGAGCTTCGGTCTGCCCAACTTCAATGCCAGTGCTCCGGACTGATGTGGTCTAGTAGAGAAGTAAGTGGGAACTGATGTCCAAAAGGGCCCTAGCCCACCTATAAGTAATATTCCACATTGACATTTGTCTCCTTTGTTCTTGCTTTTTCCATTTTTAATTAAATGAAAAAAATTATTTAAAATTTTATAACATAAAATTTATATATAAAAGTAAAGAAAGTAGTATAATGAACACCAATTACCCATTGTCTAACTTCAACAGTTATCAACATAAGGTCAATCTTGACTCATCTATTACTCCCTTTGCCTCCCCCCCAACATACCCACCTCAAATGGGTTATTTATTTATTTTTTTTAACTTATCTTTATTGTTGAATGTATTCTCATTTTTCCCCCATTGACCCCCGCCTCCCCCCTCCTGCCTTTCCCCACACTATTGTCTGTGTCCATTGGTTATGCATATATACATATAGGTTCTTTGGTTTATTTCTTCCCATCCCCTAACCCCCTTCCCTTTGAGGTTTGTCAATCTAGCAATCAATTTGTTCTTCTTAATCCCTTCACCTTTTTCACCCATTTCCCCAACCCCCCTCCCATCTGGCAACCAACAAAATGTTCTCTGTATCTATGAGAATGCTTCTGTTCTGCCTGTTCATTTTGTTTGTAGATTCCATTGTCAATAGATATGTATTCATTGCCATTTTGTTTGTTCATATATTTTATCTTTTTCTTCAAAAAGACCCTTCAACATTTCATATAACAGTTTAGTGGTGATGAACTCCTTTACCTTTTTCTTGTCTGGGAAAGTTTTTATATGGCCATCGATTCTAAATGACAGCTTTGCAGGATAGAGTAATCTTGGTTGTAGGTTCTTGCTTTTCATCACTCTGAATATTTCTTGCAACTCTCTTCTGGCCTGCAAAGTTTCTTTTGAGAAATCAGCTGACAGTCTTATGGAAACTCCCTTGTAGGTAACTAAATGCTTTTCTCTTGCTGCTTTTAAGATTCTCTCTTTGTCTTGAACTTTCTGCATTTTGATGATGATGTGTCTTGGTGTGGGCCTCTTGGGGTTCATCTTGTTTGGGACTCTCTGTGCTTCCTGGACTTGTATGTCTGTTTCCTTCACCAAGTTAGGGAAGTCTTCTGCCATTATTGTTTCAAATAGGTTTTCGATTTCTTGTTCTCTCTCTTCTCCTTCTGGCACCCCCAAGATGCGAATGTTGGCATGCTTGAAGTTGTCCCAGAGGCTCCTTACACTATCCTCATTTTTTTTTTATTCTTTTTTGTTTTTGTTGTTCTGATTGGGTGGTTTTTGCTTCCTTATATTCCAAATCAATGGTTTGCTTCTTGGCTTTACCTACTTTACTATTGAATCTGTGTAAATTATTCTTTATTTCAGTTAGTACCTCCTTCATTTCTGACTGTGCATTCTTCATTTCTGACTGGTCCTTTTTTATGCTCTTGAGGCCCTCACTGAGATTCTCATTAAGTTCATTGAGCATCCTTATAAGCAGTGTTTTGAACTCAGCATCTGTTAGGTTGCTTATCTCCATTTTGCTTAATTATTTTCCTGGAGATTTTTTCTGTTCTTTCATTTGGGACCTGTTTCTTTGTCTCCTCATTCTGGCCACCTCTCTGTGCCTGCTTCTATTACTTAATGAGAGGTATGGGGCTAGCTGAGACCAGATGCTGCTTGTTTGAAAAAATTTAGGAAAACCTGAAGCAGGATCCAAGACAAGCCAATCCTACGGTAAAACAACTGGCAACGGCTTGGGTGGGCCTGAGGTTGGGTGGGGCGGGGCCTCAGGGAATCACCAGGGTGGGGCTACCAGTATGAGCCAGGTTGCTGGAGTCCCAGATCTGCTGCCCCAGGGAAGGGTTCACCAAAGGAACAAAAGCCTCAGACAGCACGTCTATCCAGGAGAAAGCTGCCTCTCCTACCCTCATTCCAATGCCAAACAGCTCAGTTCTTCCCCATTTGTCTCTGGTGCCTTTCAGGCTGCCTCTCCCATGCTGGAGCCTGGAGGGTGTGAGTCTAAGTAAGTCTGTGCTCAGGCCCTTTAAGAGGAGCTGCCTAGGGCTCCAGCCGCCTCAGCCTCCCTGAGCCTCATTTCCTGCTGGTTTTCCAGCCAGAAGTTATGGAGATTCTCTTCCTGGCACTGGAACCCTGAGTGGGGCACCTGGTGTGGGATGGGGACCCCCCCCTCAGTCCTCAGGGAGGACCTTCCCAGCCAAGGTGTTCTCCTTATTTTTTTTTTTTATCCTCACCCGAGGACAACTTTCCATTTTTTGTCCAGATAGAGTGGGAAGGAGAGAAAGAGAGAGAGAAACATCGATGTGAAGGGACACATTGAGTGGCTGCCACCTGCACGACCAACCAGGGCCAGGGACAAACTGCAACCGAGGTACGTGCCCTTAGTGGGAACCGAACCTGGGTCTCTCTGTACCGTAGGCCGATGCTCCAACCGCTGAGCCAAACCGGCCAGGGCGTTCTCCTGATTTTTATCTGCCACACGTAGGTGTGGGACCAGCCCCTCCTACCGGTCTCCATGCGGCTGCTGCTTTAATTCTGTAGTTGTAGGACTTCCATTCAGCTCGATTTCAGGTGGTTTTGAATGATGGTTGTTCTGTAGTTTAGTTGTAACTTTGATGTGGTTATGGGAGGACGGATACCGCGTTTACCTATGCCCCATCTTGACCGGATGTCCTCAAATGGGTTAAAACAAATCTTAGACGCCATGTTATTTCATCCATAAATACTTCATTATGTATCTCCTTAAGATATGACTCTTGCCCTGGCCAGTATGGCTCAGCGGTTAGAGCATCAGCCCGTGGATCAAAGAGTCCCAGGTTCAGTTCCTGCTAAGGGAACCTCTGTTGCAGTTTGTCCCTGGTCCTGGCTCGGGTTGTGTGAGTGGCAACCATTTGATGTGTCTCTCACATCAATGTTTCTCTCTCTCTTCCTCCCCCTCTCCCTCCCGCTCTATCTGAGGATGAATGCAAAAGTATCCTCGGGTGAGGATAAAAAAAGGATATGACTTTTAAAAAATAACATAACTACAAAACTATTACAATATCTTTTAAAAAGGAACACACCAATAAAAGGAATTCCTTAGTATCATATAAAACCCAAACAGCCCTGGCCGGTTTGGCTCAGCAGTTGGAGCGTCCGCCTGCGGTCCAGGGAGACCCGGGTTCGGTTCCCGCTAAGGGCACGTGCCTCGGTTGCAGTTTGTCCCCGGCCCTGGATGGTCGTGCGGGTGGCAGCCACTCGATGTGTCCCTTTCGCATCGATGTTTCTCTCTCTCTCTCCCTCCCACTCTATCTGTACAAAAAATGGAGGAATGTCCTCGTGTGAGGATAAAAACAAAAAAAAAAAAACCCAAACAAATAAAATTAAAATCTAGTCTCTCTTACTGTGGAGTTTACATTCTGACCACAAGAAAGATGAGTGTGTTTGGATGTTATGGGGCTTGCCCCCCAATTACGAGTTATTCCGATGTGCTACAACAGAAATTCTGCAACACCACTTCCCCAAAGCCCCGGAGTACCTGAGGAAGCCATCGTGTAGCTCCTTTATGTAATCATCGAAGTAAGTCCACTCGCTCCAGTGGAGATGGCTCAGCTGCCGGAGGATGTCCCCTCGCCTCTTCATGTTGCACAGGGTCAGGCTGATGACATCAGAGTAGGTCAGGCTGGACTCAGTGGCTTTCATGGTCAAGGAAAACCCCACGCTGTCAGCCGGTACTGGCTCTCAGCATTATTAGTGGGATGAGCCTAGTGCGTGGGGAGTAGGGATGGTGAGATGGCAGAGCGGGGAAACTGTCTGTGGACGAGATAACTGAAATCTGGGCAGGAAATGACCTTCTGCTCTTCGACCATGGCCTGCTTTGAGAAGATGCTGTCCTCTCCATGGCTAGGCCACTCCCTATCTTTTAATAAAACCCTCCCTCTGCCTGCTGATGGAAGGGCAAGGCAATGCTTTTTTCAGACTGTCATCTAAAATCCTTACTCCGTTATCATAGTGGTGAATAGGAAGGAGTTCCAACTTTTCCTTCCTTTTAGGCCCAAAGCCTCATTCCCATGCTCATGTATATATGTCAGAAATTTTTCTTTGCCTCCTTCTATCCCTTTACCCCTTCTGGATCAGTCGGAATCTCAGCTATATTCGTCACTTGTTGAGGGAGTTCAGACAGGATATAAGTCATCCTCTATGTTTCCAGTTCCTTATCTTTAAAATAGGGATAATACCTTCCACAGATGATGTTAATAATGGTGACAGTTATTACTTATTTAGTACCAGCTGTGTGCCATTTAATCCTGGTCACAACACTATTGGTTTGGTATGACTATCCTTATTTTAGGAAGGAGAAGATACAGACATTGAGCTCAGAGGTTAAGCTGTGCACATGAGATGTGAAGGCCAGTGGGCTGCTGAGCTGGGACTCAAATCCAGGTCTGTGTATCTCCAGCCCAGGCTCCTTGCACTACGTTACACTACATCACACCATATTACATGGCACTGTCTTTACAGAACAATAGGTGATCGAAGGATAAGTATTTTATAAACAATGAAGCACCATGAATGGTGAGTTCTCATTCTCTGTCTATAGACATATACATAGGTTTGTAGATACGAAGTGCTACAGGGCAGCAGTTACAAGTCCTGCCTAGCTTGCTATGAAAACGCCTCCTGATGGAAGCTATATGTAGATGGGTACTATTCAGCACTTGTTACCTGCCAGGCACCATGCTAACTAAGCCTTACCTCTGTTGTGTCTGTACTCTACAAAACAGGCCTATGAGGCAGTACGGTTATCCCCATTTTATAGATGAAAAATGAGGCTCAGAGAGAAGCTAGAACTTGTCTAAGATCACTCGGCTGAGCTGGCAAGCAGCTGAGTTGTTTCCTGAGTCCAGGTCTATTTGAATCCATGTTCTGACCCTCTTTGGTAAACTGCTAAGACTCAGGACACCAACAAATGTCACACCTGTTTTATTAAGATCTGAGCTTTTGCCCTGGATGGTTTGGCTCAGTAGTCAGAGCGTCGGCCTGCAGTCTGGAGAGACCAGGGTTCGGTTCCACTAAGGGCACGTACCTCGGTTGCAGTTTGTCCCTGGCTCTGGTTGGGTCGTGTGGGTAGCGACCACTCAGTGTGCCCTTTTCACATGGATGTTTCTCTCTCTCTCTCTCTCCGTCCCACTCTATCTGAACAAAATATGGAAAAATGGCCCTGGCTGGTTTGGCTCAGCGGTTAGAGCGTTGGCCTGTGGTCCAGAGAGACCCAGGTTCGATTCCTGCTAAGGGCACGTACCTCGGTTGCAGTTTGTCCCCGGCCTTCGTTGGTCGTGTGGGTGGCAGCCACTCCATGTGTCCCTTTCACATCGATGTTTCGCTCTCTCTCCTCTCTCCTTCCCACTCTATCTGAACAAAATATCGAAAAATGTCCTCGGGTGAGGATAAAAAAATAAATAAAAAATATGGAAAAATGTCCTCGGGTGAGGATAAAAAAAAAAGATCTGAAGCTTTTTACCAAATCTTTAGGATAAATGCCAGAGGGTCCAGAAATTTGCTGATGTGTCTAGGGAAGGGGTGTGTGTGAGGAGGGTGTTAAAAAAAAAACACACACCTAGACACCAAAATTCCTGATCAATACAGACTCCAGGGTCATTGAGCACCTGGGAGTGATTACTGAGTTGCAAAGTATGTTAGAGTATCTAGTTAGCCCATTCATCCCAGTATATGGGAAGAAACTTTGCACACAAAGTAATTTGATTTGCCCCAGGATCCCACACAGCCAGTTCAGAGGCAGATGTGGAACTAGAATGAGCAAGACTCTGACCCTTAGGTTTATATCAATGACCACCCCTGACAGACACCTACTACGAACCAGGTGCTACATGTAACAAGGGCTGGATGCCTCTCCCCTACCCTTGCTTCTGGGAAGAGGAAGCAGGGGCCAGGAGTAATGTGTAGCCCGCCTGTGAAGAAAAGGATATGGGACGATCTTGCTTCTTTCCCTCCTTACTATCAGCACATCTTTGCCAGACTGATGCAGAATGAAGTAGTTCAGGAGGAAGTATACAATCAGAGGGCTCTTCCCATAAATGTTGAAAAGGTTTGAAGTCAGCCCAGGGCTTTTGCAGGCAGGGTGAGACTGAACAGGAAAGAGAGAGGACAAAAATAAAGGATATGGTCACTTTTACAGCATGCATTAAGAAATGTAAAGGCAGCCCTGGCCAGTTTGGCTCAGCGGTTAGAGCGTCGGCCTGCGGTCCTGAGAGACCCGGGTTCGGTTCCCGCTAGGGGCACGTGCCTCGGTTGCAGTTTGTCCCCGGCCCTGGTCGGTTGTGCGGGTGGCAGCCACTCGATGTGTCCCTTCACATCGATGTTTCTCTCTCTCTGTTCCTCTCTCTCCCTCCCACTCTACCTGAACAAAAAAGTGGAAAAATGTCCTCGGGTGAGGATTAAAAAAAAAAAAAAAAAAAAAAAAAGAAATGTAAAGGCAGCCCTGGCTGGTTTGGCTCAGCGGTTAGTGTCGACCTGCGGTCCCGAGAGACCCGGGTTCGGTTCCTGCTAAGGGCATGCCCCTCGGTTATAGTTTGTCCCTGGTTGGTTGTGCGGGTAGCAGCCACTCGATGTGTCCCTTTCACATCGATGTTTCTCTCTCTCTCTCACTGTTCCTCTCTCTCCCTTCCACTCTACCTGAACAAAAAATGGAAAAATGTCCTCGGGTGAGGATAAAAAAATAAATAAAAAAAGTAAAGGTACTCATGTCCTTTGATCTGGTAACTAACTCCAGTTTTAGGATGCTATCCTAAGGTAGTTACCCAAAATAAAGAAAACTGATTTAGGGACAAAGATGTTGATGGCTGATATTTTTACTATAACAAAAGATTAGAAGAATTTTCAAGAAGATATTAACATCTCTACCTTGATCATCTTAAAATAATCAAGATGTGCATGGAAAGGCAACCCACTGTATGGGGTGCATAACTGCCAATGATATATCAGATAAGGGGTTAATTTCCAATATATATAGAGTGCTCATACAACTCAACCAAAGAAAGACAAAGAACCCAATTAAAAAATGGGCAGAGGAACTAAATAGACACCTCTCCAAACAGGACATACAAATGGCTAAGAGACATATGAAGAAATGCTCAACATCACTAATCATCAGAGAGATGCAAATTATTATTATTATTATTTTTTTATCCTCACCCGAGGACATTTTTCAACATTTCCTTCAGATAGAGTGGGAGGGAGAAAGTGAGAGAGAAAGATCAACGTGAAAGGGACACATCGAGTGGTCGCCACCCACACGACTCAACCAGGGCTGGGGACAAACTGCAACCAAGGTGCATGCCCTTAGCGGGAACCGAACCCTGGTCTCTCTGGACCGTAGGCCGATGCTCTAACCGCTGAGCCAAACTGGCCAGGGCCATTTTCCCAATTTTATAGAAGATGGTTGGAAGGGTTAAACAACTTGCTCAAGTAACACAGCTGATGAGATGCAGCACCAAGATCTGAACCCATATCTGTCTGTTTTTCTACCATGCCCTGCTACTTCTCAGAAGTGTCATGCTAAATGCTGACAGGAAACAGGCAGCAGTAATAAATATGGAGAAATGAAGAAGGTTCAAGAAATCTCCTACAGCCTGGCCAGTGTGGCTCAGTGGATTGAGTGTCATCCCATGGACTGAGAGGTCCCGGTTCAATTCCGGTTTGCATGCTGGGTTGCTAGCTCAATCCCCAGCGGGGGCAGCCAATCGATGTTTCTCACATTGATGTTTCTATCTCTCTCTCCCTTCCTCTCTCTAAAAAATCAATAAAAACATATTTTTTTTTTAAAAAAAGAAAGAAATCTACAATATTTGCTGTACTTGGCCAAACTCTGTGGCACGACTCCTTCGCTAGTTGGTATCTTGGGAAAGCCCCCAAACCTCTTGCCCTGCTCAGGGTCCTAAGAGCCACTCTCCACTACACAGAAATGAAGGTGTCATGGATATAAACCACCAAGCACTGAGGTTTGCGGGGAACGTTGAGGGGAGGGGCGGAGCAGAGAGGAGAACACGCAATCCGGTGAGTCTTGGGTTCTGTGGACCGTGCTGGTGCAAGCCTCCGCGGTTGTGAGCTCAGGCTCACAGCCAGGCAGATCTGAACGCAAGTCTTGACTTTATCAGTTGTTTGCTTTGTGAACTTGGACAAGTTAGTTACTTGCTCTGACAATCATTTTCCTCACTAATAAACTAAAGAAAAGCAGGAGTAATTATCCTGGAGTACTGCAACAACTAAAATGAAAGGTACTGTGTGCACAGGTTTCATATAGTGCCTGACATGCAGTAGTGTTTATCGCATGATAATTATCACCACTATCTCAGGTAAATCTCATACACCATGACCTAGAAATTACTGTCTCCATTTTATAGAGTAGAAAACAGCAACTCAGTGCTCTCCTTCTATTACACCCAGGCTCCTGAGTTTCAAGCAAGTAATTTAAATCCCTGGAGAAATCCAAAGACAAAACATTTACTTAACTTGTGCTTACCTTAGCCAGGAATTACCCTTAGGAGATTTCCTCACTGTATCACCTGATTCTACAATCAGAAATACCCCAATTCTTACTCTGACATCTCAAAAGTGGTGACTTTGTAATTATATCCCATAATCCTTTTAAAATCATCTCTACTATTAAATTTCCAATCCCGTGCTCACCTTCTTAGTATACATATTCTCATATTCTCTTGCTTCTGTTATCTTCTTGACTTGTGGTGTAGCTTTCCTCCAGAACAGAATCTGACAATAATTATCTGTCAATGCAATATTAGCAAAAAAAAAAAAATCACTGGAGTTGGTCAACTATGATAGATCTGTTTCCTGTTAGTGAGAAAATGCCTGAGGCCTGAGTGTATTCAGATCATTGGGAGATACTACAGGAAGTAGCTCAAATACATTCATACAATTTCACTTGCATTTTATCCAGATATATACCTATGGCCATAGATTTCTCTACTTATTAATCTATCCACTCATCCAACAAACATTTACTGAGCATCTACTATGTGCTGGGCCTATACTAGGTGCTGGAAGTAGATTATCTTCAAGAAATTCACATTTTGCCCTGACCAGTTTGGCTCAGCGGTTAGAGCTTTAGCCCATGGACCAAAGAGTTGCAGGTTTGATTCCAGTCAAGGGCATGTACCTTGGTTGCAGTTCGGTCCCCTGCCCTGGTCGGGGTCATGTGGGAGGCAACCAATCGATGTGTCTCTCTCACATCGATGCTTCTCTCTATCTCTCCCTCCTGCTCTGTCTGAAAATAAATGGAAAAATATCCTCAGGTGAGGATTAAAAAAAAAAAAAGAAAAGAAACCCACATTTTATGAGGAAAAAAAGACATGCAAATAATACATGTACACTAACTCAGGTGCCATGATAGAATTCTTTATAGGTTAAAGTATGATTACAGAACAAAGGGAGGCAAAAGGCTTTTTTTAAAAAGCTAAGTAGAATCAGGAAAGGTGTTGTAATTAAAAGAGAAAAAATATCCAACTCTTACACAAAGCTTTGGTTTTTCTGTAGGATGGGCAGAAACAACAGATCATCTATAAATGAATAATTAGAATTACAGCAGAGCTTTCAACAGCAACACTGGAAGCTAGAAGACGGTGGAATAAAATCACCAGAACACTGAGGTAGACTTGTGTGTCCAGGAAATCTATCCTTCGAGAACAAAGATGAACCAAAGGCATTAACAGAAAAACAAAAACAAGGGTACATACCAAGAAACCTGTGATAAAGAAACTGCTAAAGATTAGATGTGTTTCTCTCTCCGTTTCCTACTCTGTAAAATGAAGACAGTAAGTGCTAGGTCATGGTATTAGGATGTTTACTTGAGGTGGTGATGACAATGATCATGTAATAAACACTTACTACATGTCAGGCATTATATTAAACCTGTGCATGCAGTACATTTTGTTTAACTGTCACAGTCCTCTGAGGTCATTACTCCTGCTTTTCTTCATGCAGATCTGTCTGACTCTGACCCTGAGCTTTGAACCACTGAGCTTTGCCACTAGTACATTACAAAGAACCAGGAAAGTATGATACGTTCTCTTCAGGCACATCACCACCTTTCTAGAACATTATATGTTCAGCAACCTGGAGTTCATATATTCAAGAATTTTTTTTTTTTGGTACGTGCCCCTAGCGGGAACTGAACCCGGGACTCTGTGGTCCACAGGCCAACGCTCCAACCGCTGAGCCAAACCAGCCAGGGCAAGAATTTTTTTTTTTATCCTCACCCGAGGACATTTTTGCATTTATTTTCAGATAGAGTGGGAGGGAAAGAGGAAGGAAGAGAGAGAGAAACATCGACATGAGAGACACATCGACTGGTTGCTACCCACATGACCCCAACAGGGGCCAGGGATGAACTGCAACCGAGGTACGTGCCCTTAACAAGAACCGAACCCGGGACTCTGGTCTGTGGGCCGAAGCTCTAACTGCTGAGTCAAAATGGCCAGGGCTAATCCAAGAATTTTTATAACTTAATCTCCTGCCCCCTCTCCTCCTTGGAGACTGGGGGTGGGAAGTGGGGTTAAAAGTTCCCACCCTCTAATCATATTTGGTCTTTCTGGTAACCAGACAGCATCCTGAAGCTTTCTGCAGCCCCAACCTGAGACATCATCTTATTAGCATATCCTCAGATATAGCTGAGAGATGCTCATTATGAATAGCAAAAGCCACTCCTATGGCTCAGAAAATTCTGAGGGTTTTAGGAGCTCTATGCCAGGAACTGGGGATAAAAACCAAATCTGTATTTTTATTATAGCACACAATCTGAACAAGTGGACACAAAAGACTGGAAAAAATTAACAGAGCTTCAGGGACTTATGAGACAACAGGTCTAACATTTGTGTTTATCAGTCTCAAAAAGGAAGGGAAAAAGGTATGTGGTACAAAAAATTTATTTGAGAGTAATGTCTGAAAACTTCCCGAATTTGGCTAAAGACACAAACTTACAGACTCAAGAAGCTCTGCAAACCCTAAACAAGTTAAATTCAAACAAACCCAGGCCTAAACACACCATCATCAACCAGCTGAAAGACGAAGACAAAGTAAATAGCCTGGGGGCAGCCAGACAAAAATGCATCACACAGAAAGGGAGCAATTTCAAAGACTGGATTTCTCATCAGATGGTTATGGAACAACATTTTAAATTGCTGAGAGAAAAGAATTGTCAACCCAGAATTCTGTATCAGCAAAAATATCCTTCAATAATGAAAGTTAAATAAAGACATTCTCACCCTGGCTCATTTGGCCCTTGAACCAAAGGCACAATTAGATTCTCGGACATGGGCACCTATCTGGGTTGCAGGTTCAATCCCAGCCCTGGTGGGGGTTGTGCGGGAGGCAACCAATCAATGTGTCTCTCTCACATTGATCTTTCTCTCTCTCTCTCCCCCTACCTCCCTCCCACTCTAAAAAAAAAAAAAAAAAATCAATGGAAAAATATCCTCAGGTGAGGACTAACAACTGTAAACCTACTTTTGTCCCACCCTGTATATCTGATGATATATAGTAAATATAATAGATTCCTTTCCTTCTCTTACATTCTTTAAAATATGTATTATGATCCCTTTGGAATGTAGTCTAGCAGTTCCATAAAATGTTAAACATGACTCAACAATTCCACTCCTAGGTATGCATGCACCCGAGAGATATGAAAACTTGCTTATACAAGAATTTGAACACGAATGTCCATAGCAGCACTATGCATAAGAGTTACAAGGTGGAAACAATCTGAATAAAAATAAAAAGACTACATAAAACATGTGGGATGCTATATTCACTTTATTACAGTGGTCTGGAACCAAACCTGCAATACCTCTGAGGTATGCCTGTATTTGGAACCCTGACTATACATACCTCTCAATGGTGCCCAAGTGTTTTTTTTAAATAACAGCTTTATTGAGATATAATTCACATACTAACTTTTCTGAGCCTCCATTTCTCCATCAAGAAAAAGGATAGCCCTGGATGGGTGTGGCTCAGTAGGTTGGAACATCATATACCAAAAGGTTGCAAGTTCAATCCCTGGTCAGGGCTCCTACAGGAGGCAACCAGTTGATGTTTCTCTCTCTCTCTCTCTTCTACTCTCTCCCTAAGAATCAATTTCAAAACATATCAATCAATCAATAAACAAATAAATAAAAGAAAAGGAATAGTTTAATTTTTTGGAATAATGACACATGAAATTGTCTACATTGATACTGTGTTTTCTTCCGTTCTGTATTTGTCTATTTGACATCTATTAATTATAGGGCCAAACTAATGGCCAAAATTCTTTACATCTTCCTTGTGATCCAGAGCCCATACTCTGAACCACCCCCTTTATCTAACTCTCACACACCAAGCCAGTATTTCCCCTGACCTAAATCCATCCAGGGCCAGGTGCCACACCACTAGGGAAAGCCCCTGTACCCCCAAAAGCCTGCTAGAATTATTCGAAACTAGCCGACCCTAAACTGTTTACCCAGTTATAGCCTGTCTTTCTCAAGGAAACGCCCTCCCCTTGCTCCTTTCTGCCTGCTGACTGACGCTGAGAGCATATGGCAGACCTCGCTTCCTGTCAGTGTGGGGTGCCTGGGGTCTGGGCGTATTCAGACTATTGGGAGGTATTAGAGGAAGTAGCTCAGGTAAATGCATACAATTTCACTGGCATTTTATCCCATGGCCCTGCAGGTAAGCCATAGTAAGCCATGCCTCTGGTTTCCAGAACTGTGAATAACAGATTCTTCTTTCTATGACACTGACCCCTCTGGGTAATCACTGAGTCAATTTTATAAATTAACATCCAGGCAAGAATCAGTAAATGCTGGTTTCTGATGGGGAGAGGAGCAGTAATCATGCCTTAGATTTATTTCTTCCACTGCCAACAACCTCTCTTTCCCACAGATATTAGTGCTGTGCTGGACTCATCATTACAAAAGTGGAACTTAATTAAGTGCTTGTTGAACTGAAAAGACAATTACAGCCTCTCAAAAGATATTACTTGGTGCCAGGGCCCAGGCTAGAACTTGGATGTAAACTAAGGTAAAAATTATGTTGAAGGGGGAGGGGGGAATCAGTGGGGGAAAAAGGAGAAACACCTGTAACAAAAATAAATAAATTACTAAAAATAAATAAATAAATAAAATTTTAAAACTTATAAAAAATAAATAAAAATTATGTTGAAATAAACCAAAAACATGAGGGTTTGGAGACAATAACTGAACCGGAAGCTTACATTTCCCTTTTAGGCAGTTACTATACCTTTCGCGGTATTCTGCATTTGTGAGGTATCCTCCGGATCCTTGGATAAAGTGTCTCTTTCGCTGTTTGAATTTCCACTAGTTGCCTCCAGGGAATAGGAAAAAAAAATTAGAAAAACTGATAGTGAGAGGAATACAAAAAGTCTGCAGGCTATTTCATAGACATTTCTGACTGTTCTTGTAGAGGGACAGCTTTCGGGCACGGTTTGACAACTCAGTCCTCTCTCCCGGGAGAGTGGTGGGGAGGAGCGGCTGATGTAGGAAACTCATGGGCTGGGGACTGAGGCAGACTGGGGTTCCAGGCCAGCCTTGTTGCGCAACAGCTGGTGATCCTGGGCAAGTCATCGAACTTCTTGACTGCCCTGGTTTCCCTGTGGGGTCCTTATGAAGATTAAGTCAGCTGATGCGTGCAAAGTGCACGAGCGGCCTCTCGTGGGAAGTGCTCCATGAATATTGCAATCACCACATTTCACTGAGCCAACCACTAATGTGTCTGGCACTGGCAAGACCCTGAAACCTAGTCCTTGCCCAGAGGAGCTCCCGGTCCAGCAGGGAAGACAACAGTAGATAATTATGCTAAGGTGTAGAAAGTATCACATATTTATTAGCGAGGCAATATAAGTTAGGATTAGGTCTGTAGGTGAGTGACAGAGACTCAAAATAACAGTAGCTCAAACTATGTAGAAATTTCTTTCCCACATAATAGTCAGGTAGATAATACAGGGCTTATATAGTATTTCTGCTGGGATAAGTCCTTAGGGCATCCAACTTCTTCCGGCTCATGGTTCCACCTTTCCTAAGATAGAAACCCTGTTCTTAGGGTCCAAAATGGCAGCTAGAGTTCCAGTCATCACATTCACATTCCAGGCAGCAGAACAGAGAGAACAGCAGAGGCAAAGGATTCACATGAGCTCTTTTCTTAAGACTCCCAGACACTGCCATGTGGCACATCCACCTATATCCCATTAACTAGATCTTAGTCACACAGCTACACATGGGTAATGGGGAGGCTAGGAAATGTAATCTTGTATCTGGCCATGTGCATGCCCAGATAAAAATCGGAGGTTCTCTTTCTGTAGAGGAAGGGAACAAGACAGTGCAGCCAACTAATGGTAGGCCAGAAGCATAAGACAGAGTGGGGAACTCTTTTTTTTTTTAAATCCTCACCCAAGGGTATTTTTTCTTCTTCTTTTTTTAATCCTCATGTTTTCTGTTTATCTACAGAAAGAGTGGGAGGGAGAGAAAGGAAGAGAGACAGAAGCATCGATGTGAGAGACACATTGACTGGCTGCCACCCACATGACCCCTACCAGGACTGGGACCAAACTGCAACCGAGGTATGTGCCCTTGACTGGAACCGAACCTGAGACTCATTGGTCCATGGGCTGACGCTCTACCACTGAGCCAAACTGGCCAGGGATGGAGGATATTTTTGCATTTATCTTCAGATACAGCGGGAGGGAGAGAGGGAAGAAGAGAGACAGACAGAAACATCAACATGAGAGAGACACATTGACTGGTTGCCTCCCACATGACCCTTACCAGGGTCGGGACCAAACCACAACCAAGATACGTGCCCTTGGCCGGAATTGAACCTGGGACTCCCTGGTCTGTGGGCAGATGCTCTAACCACTGAACCAATCTGACCAGGATAGGAATCTTTCTTTTTTTTTTTTATTTTTATTTTTTTAATCCTCTCCTGAGGACATTTTTCCATTTTTTGTTCAGATAGAGTGGGAGGGAGAGAGAGGGGGAGAGAGAGAGAGAGAGAGAAACATCGACGTGAAGGGACACATCGAGTGGCTGCCACCCGAACGACTGACCAGGGCCGGGGACAAACTGCAACCGAGGTACATGCCCTTAGCGGGAATCGAACCCGGGTCTCTCGGGACCGCAGGCCAACACTCTAACCGCTGAGCCAAACCGGCCAGGGCTTTTTTTATTTTATTTTTTATTTTTATTTATTTATTTATTTTTTGGAATCTTTCTTTAAAAAAGTGTTTTTATTGATTTTTTAGAGAGGAAGAGAGAGAGAGAGAGAGAGAGAAACATTGATTGGCCGCCTCTTGCATGCCCCCTACTGGGGATGAAGCCCACAACCTGGATATGTGCCCTGACCAGGAATCAAACCAGGACCTCTCAGTCCACGGGACGATGCTCAATCCACTGAGCCACGCTGGCCAGGCAAGGGAACACTGGATTCTGTCTGGGGGAGAGCTGGAGGGTTTCCAAGGAGAGTAGACACTTTTATTCTGTCTTTAAGGATGAGTAGGAGTTTAGTGATGCTAAACAGATGGCCCACCAAGTGGCAGACAAGCAGTCCACCAGCCTTAACAACCACCAGTTTGCTTTTATATAAATATGTTATTTGATTAGGAAGAAGAAAGCAGAAAGGACTTCCCATACACTATGCAGCTGGTTGTCCAACAGCTACTGATGTTTATAGTGTTGAATTGGTAACTGGGATTTGTTAGAGAGAAAATACTTTCGGGGCTCAATGAAGCATCATGTTCATTCTTTTTTTTTTTTAATCCTCACCTGAAGATATTTTTTCAAATATCTTCAGATAGAGTGGGGGCAGGGGAGAGAGACAGAGAGAGAAAGAGAAACATCGATGTGAGAGAGACACACATCAATTGATTGCCTCCCACACGACCCCGACCAGGGCTGGGGAGAATCACAACCGAGGTACATGCCCTTGACTGGAATCGAACTTGTTACTCTTTGGTCCGTGGGCTGACTCTCTAACCACTGAGCCAAACCAGCCAGGGCTCATGTTCATTCTTTTTTTTTTCCTTTATTGATTCTGGAGAAAGAAGAAGTGAGAAGGAGAGAGAGAGAGAGACAGAAACATCGATGAGAGATGTTTGCCTCCTACATGCTCCCCACTGGGGATTTGGCCCACAACCTGGGCATGTGTCCTGACTGGGAATCAAACCGGCAACCTCTTGGTACATGGGTCGATGCTCAACCACTGAGCCACACTAGCCAGACTCATGTTCATTCTTAACAGGCCTCAGCAAGCTCTACAGTAGAGCAGAGAATAAATGCAGAGACTGGCTTAGTTTGAGTTATTAAGACTCTCCTACTTGTTGGAGAGGCAGCATAATGATGTAGAGAGAACTCAGACTGACAGTGTCCTGATGTCAGCTAAAGTCATCTGTGTGGCCTAGGGAAAATGATCACCTGAGTCTATTCCTTCCTTTGCCAAATAATCATTACCGACCTGGCAGAAACGTTTTAAGGACTAGAGGGGATATATGCAAAGAAAATCTGTAGATGGTGGACTGTCCAAAGTACTTTTCCATCTATTTTCACATTGTGACCAGCACCCACCTAAAAGGGCTCAATGAAAGGGGTGAGTAATATTTTAAAGGGTAAGGATAAAAGTTTGTAAAAGGCAGAAACTGTGGACATTGTGTTGCTTGCATGGCCTTTGCTCAGCCTTCTGCTGAGTACAGATAAGGATTATCCGGATTATCTGCAAGGCAATGGATAACCCAGCAGATGCTGGATGAGATACCAGACCAGTCCTACTGCAAAGTAGACAGTGGGCCAGAGTACATCAGCAGGAACTGCTGGAAGCTAAAAGACACCCCAACCTTGATTTGAAGCTGAACCCTTCTCGGCTCAGCCCACCTGCACCCAGGCACATGCAACAAAGCCACTTTGCTCTACACTGGCCTTGTGTTGTGGCTGTGATCTCCCGCCGCCTCAGACCTTTTACCATCCACTGAGTGTATAAGGCTAGGTGACTATCATTGGCATGGGGGTAAAGTAATACTGCTCTGGGGCTCCCTCCTCACCAGAGGAGATGGAACCATTCTACCCCACGTGGTCACCCTGCTACTCAGATTCTGCACACTGAGAGCTTAGCGATGATGGGACAGAGCAGCAGGAGAGCCAGTTTTCGAGCCAAAGTGAGATTCCATCCGGGGATACCCAGAAATATCTGAGAGAGGGGCGGGCTTTGAGATCTGGTATTAGCAGGTATGGGCACAAGCTGGAGGAATTTGGGTCAGTACTGTTATTGACCCTCAGTGTACCCATGCTCTGGAACTTGGGAAAATTCAGGGCCCCTCCCCAAGATGATGGGGTAGGGAGTGCAGAGATGTGGGACTGACCAGAAGTCATTGAAGCTTACGGGGCTCCAAGGGCTTGTGCCTCCCCACTCACCTGAGGAAAGGGGACTTGCTTGTTCTGGACAGATTTCTGGGAAGAGTATGTTTTAGAGGAGAGGAAGGACATCTCTTTTCCTAGGGAAGAAAAAAAGTTATTTGTAGAATATATGTGAGTTTATTCCGCACACAGATGGACTCACACAAGGGTTAACAAGGATATTCTGCACACAATGCCTTGGAGTGCTGCTCAATCCTTAAGAACAATTCAGCCCTGGCCGGTTTGGCTCAGCGGTTAGAGCGTCGGCCTGCGGTCCTGAGAGACCCGGGTTCGGTTTCCGCTAAGGGCGCGTACCTTGGTTGCAGTTTGTCCCCGGCCCTGGTTGGGTCGTGCGGATGGCAGCCACTGGATGTGTTCCTTTCACATCGATGTTTCTCTCTCTCCCTCCCACTCTACCTGAACAAAAAATGGAAAAATGTCCTCGGGTGAGGATAAAAAATAAATAAATAAATAAGAACAATTCAGAGCGTGTCCTGCACACAGGTATGCCACTCCTTGCCTGCAAACAGGAAGGATGAGATATTCTTAAGAGCAGCACTGACCTTTGAGGGGGGTGGTGGTTTGTACAAGAAGAACTAGCAGGGGAAATAGATTAGTTATCTTGATAGGAACTGGGACCACAGCAATCTCTTTGGCTATAAAAATAAACAGCTGCAGGACTTTGGGGGCTGCAGTCTAGTCTGTTTGTGTCTTTTGTTCATTTCGCAGACCCTCAGGCAACAGTTATTCTTCAGTTCCTTCATGTCCTGGGGTGGCATTGCAGACCAAAAACTTTGGGACAGCCCCCTCCCTGGAGGCAATAGCTACAGCAAGAGAAACAGCCTCAGGCAAACCAGAACTACATACTGAGTGACCTTGGGCAAGTTAAGTAACCTCTCTGATCTCATTAAAAAGTGTGAATACTCAATAAGGAAGAAAGGGGGACATCTGTAATACACCAGCCTCAGGCAAACCAGAACTACATACTGAGTAACCTTGGGCAAGTTAAGTAACCTCTCTGTTCCCATTAAAAAGTGTGAATACTCAATGGGGAAGAAAGGGGGACATCTGCAATACTTTCAACAATAAAAAAAGTGTGAATACTAACTACCTCAGGGCTGAGAGCTAATTAAAGGAAATAATGTATGCAGAGTACAAAGGACAAGTACTCAATGCATATTAAAATAAAAAATAAAGGACTTCAGCCCTGGCCAGTTTGGCTCAGCTATTAGAGAGATCTGCCTCTCTTACATCATTGTCTCTGTCTCTCTCTCTCTCTCTCCTTCTCTCCCTCCCTCCCTCCCATTCTATCTGAAGGTAAGTGGAAAAATATCCTCAGGTGAGGATTAAAAAAAAAAAGACTTCAAAAGAAAAACAAAAAACTCAGAACCCAGCAAAATAGAAATGAATAAATGTTGGATTAAATACTTTAAAAAGTAACAATCTATCAATCTCATTAGATGTTAAATTTAGTATTCATTGAAATGTCAGTAAATTTGAAGACAATTTACAGGCTAGACTTCTTTCATTCTGAAATTCCTGTGTGTCTATGATGACTGCTTGGAAAACAAACCTATTAGGTTGGTCAGTAACTAAGCGTGTAGAAAAGTAACGCACGGAAGTGCCTGGCTCTGAGTAAGGGGTGGCTGTTCTCATTTCCAGCCAGTCACTGTAGCCACTCACTTCTCTAGGCTGTCACGTATTCTCTTCCCTGTGCCTTGCACCAGGGCTTCTCAAACTGGACTGTGCTTTTATATTTTTTTGTTTTTGTGTTTTTGTTTTTTTATCCTCACCCGAGGACATTTTTTCGTTTTTTGTTCAGATAGAGTGGGAGGAAGAGAGAGAAACATCGACGTGAAAGAGACACATCGAGTGGTTGCCACCAGCACGACCCAACCAGGGATAGGGACAAACTGCAACTGAGGTACATGCCCTTAGCGGGAACCGAACCCGGGTCTCTCTGGACCACAGGCCGATGCTCTAACCGCTGAGCCAAACCGGCTAGGGTTGGACTGCGCTTTTAGATCAATGAGAGATATTGGTAAACTGCAGAGTCTGATTTGTCCAGTCTAGGGAGATGCTGATGCAGCAGGCTGGTCCTTAGATCACACTTTGCAGGCCTGAGTTTGAATCCTGCTTAAACCACCCATGGGCTGGTCATCCCTTACAATCCTCCCGCTGTTGCTTTGAGGAATGCCTCTTGTTTCCCTCATGCCTGTGTCTTCTCACATGCTGTTTCCTCTGTCTGGAACAGTAGTCCTCCCCTTTACCAGCCTAAAACACATATCCTTTAAATCTCAGCCTAATGCCCTGGCGGTTTGGCTCAGCGGTTAGAGCATCGGCCTGCGGTCCGGAGAGACCCGGGTTCGGTTCCCGCTAAGGGCATGTACCTCGGTTGCAGTTTGTCCCCGGCCCTGGTTGGTTGTGCGGGTGGCGACCACTCGATGTGTCCCTTTCACATCGATGTTTCTCTCTCTCTCTGTTCCTCTCTCTCCCTCCCACTCTATCTGAACAAAGAATGGAAAAATGTCCTCGGGTGAGGATGATAAAAAATAAAAATAAAGCCCTGGCCGGTTTGGCTCAGCGGTTAGAGCATCGGCCTGCGGTTCAGAGAGACCCGGGTTCGGTTCCCGCTAAGGGCATGTACCTCGGTTGCAGTTTGTCCCTGGCCCTGGTTGGTCATGCGGGTGGCAGCCACTCGATGTGTCCCTTTCACGTCGATGTTTCTCTCTCTCTCTCTCTCTTCCTCTCTCTCCCTCCCACTCTATCTGTGCAAAAAATGGGAAAAAGTGTCCTCGGGTGAGGATAAAAAAAAAAAATCAATAAAAATATATTTAAAAAAAAAAAAATTAAAAAATAAATAAATAAATAAATAAATCTCAGCCTAACTGCCACTTACTGACCCTCAAGGGCTGCACTGGGTACCCCTTCCCATGCCACTTAGCACCCATATTCCCCATCATAGTGCACAATTCACTGCAGTATAACTGTGTTGCCTGTATTTCCCAATAGACCACACGGTGGGCACTGTGCTTGTCTCCACGCGTGATCCTAGTGTTTATTTAGCACAGTGCTTAGCACATGGTACTCTTTATGTGTCTGTTGAGTGCAAATAAAAGGTTTGCCTTGGGAAAGTTGCTTCTATGAACTCTAGTTTCCTCATCTGTGGATTTAGTGTGTACTTCAACTTGTGAGGATTAAATAAAAAGGATGAAGAACTGAGCATGGTGCCTGGCACACAGTAGACACTCAATAACTGGCATCTACTATTATAATATAAAATACTACCCCCTACATCCCAACAAGTATGCTGTGCTCACTCTAACTACAGTTCATAAATTAACATTTCAGTCATTATGGTGGCTAGTTTGGGGATGGATGAGAGAGAACCTGGCCTGAGGATTTTAATACTAAGGCCTTTCCCTACCCCAACTAGATGGTGGCTGGGCATGACCCAGGCAAAGGGGGCAGAAAACCATAAGTGGTATCTTACCCTTTATCAGTTTTTTTCTTTGCATCATTAATTCTTCTCTCAAGAATCTCTCTGGATCCAGTTTTGAGTAGTCCCAACTTTCATAGCTCTGTGGGCAAGGATATATACCTAAGAGAAGTCAAAAGTGATCATGAAAACTGCAAAAGAGAACAGAAGGCAGAAAAAGAAGACAGAGATGCCCCTGCTGGTCCTGGGGAGGCTGGGCTTCCAGAAAGCATTATCCCTGTCCTACACCTGCCTTGTGGTCTTGGGTGTCACTTCCTCTCTAGGAAGCTTTGGTTTCTTCATCTGGAAAATGCAGACAGTGATGCCCACCCTGCCCTCCTGACAGCATGGGTATAAGGATCAGATCATACCACGGACGAGTGACCCTGTGACACGCTATGCAGGTGTGAAGGCACTGTAATTATTTGTTTTCCTATCTATCTCCTCTGCTTTTACTGAACTATGAGCTCACTGAGGGCAGGTATTATTTATCTTTCTACCTCCAGGGATTAGTGTTAAACCTGGAACATAATAAATAGGTACTTAGTAAATTCTGTTCAACATATTATCACACTTAGCTAAGTACCAGAAATGAGTTCACCCTAAGTATTTGACAGTGATGTTTATGGGACTAATGCTTTTCTTTTAAAGAAATGTGTTTCAGAGTCTTGGGATCTTGGAACCTGAACTCTCAGACTTAGAGGGACTCCACTGTCTCCCTAAGTTCTTTGCTTTAGGAAAGAAAAGACAAAGGATTAATTGAGAAATTTGAGTCTCTATGCAAAGCTGCTGTTGTTTCTACTGGACAAAGTAAGAAGACAGGAGGTTTGTTATTGGGATGAATTAGGAAAAGGAAGCACAGCGTTGGAAAAAAAGGGGAATAGGAAGGAGGAACAGAAAGAGTCAGAGAATAGGAGGCAGAGTGGCATAATGGTCACAGACCTAGCTTTGCTGTGGTACTGAATCTGAATGCGTGGATCTGAATGGCTGCTCCCCCATTTGTTTGCTTTTGAATTTCTTTGATCCTTCGTATGTTAAGAGGATTAAATGGGTGTGCAGAAAAGAGTTAACATAGTAGACTATTATCCTCAGAAAGGCCTGCTTGCAAGATTGGCCCTTAGCTGGCATCTGGGACCTTGGCTGGTAAACAGTTTCTTACATTGATATAAAACTTTCCCTAAGTAGAAGAAATAGATAAATTCCTAGAAACATACAACCTACCAAGACTAAATCATTGAAGAAACAGGAAATCTAAACAGACAAATGAGTAAGGAAATTGAGTCAGTAATCAAACCTTCCACCCCAATCAAGAAAAGCCCAAGACCAGATAAATTCTAATAAAATTTAAAGAATTTACTCCAATTCTTTTCAAATTCTTCCAAAAAAAATTAGAGGAAGGAATACTTTCTGTCTATTAAAAATATGTTTTTGTTGATTTTTTTAGAGAGAGAGGAAGGGAAGAGAGATAGAAACATTGATGTGAGAGAGAAACATCAATTGGTTGCCTCCTGCACGCCCCCTACTGGGGATTGAGCCTGCAACCTGGAGATGTGCCCTGACCAGGAATCGTACTGGGACCTCTCAGTCCATGGGATGGACGATGCTCAACTCAGTCCACTGAGCCATACCAGCTGGGTGAGGAGGGAATACTTTCAAACTCATTTTGGAAGATCAGTATTATCCTGATACCAAACCTAGATAAGAATACCATAGAAAAAGAAAAGTATAGGCCAATATTGCTGATGAATATAGATAAAAAATTCCTCAACAAAATACTAGCAAACAGAATTCAACAGAACATTAAAAGGTTCACACACCACAATGAAGCAGAATTTATCCTTGGGATACAAGGATAGTATGATATATACAAACCAATAAATGTGATACATCACATCAATACAATGAAAGATAAAAACCACATGTTCATCTCAATAAATGCAGGAAAAATCTCTGACAAAATTCAACACCCTTTCATGATAAAAACTTTTTTTAAAAAGTTTTTTAAAAAGAAGGAATAAATCTCAACATAATAAAGGCCATATATGACAAGCCCACAGCTACCTCATACTCAACAATGAAAGGTTGAAATATTTTCTTCTAAGATCAGGAACAAAACTAAGGCGCTCACTTACACCACTCCTATTCAACATAGTATTAGAAGTCTTAGCCAGAGAAATTAGGCACGGATAAGAAATAAAAGATGTCCAAATCAGAAAGGAAGAAGTAAAATTGACTCTATTTGCTGATAACTTGGTATTATTATGTATAGAAAACCCTAAAGATTCCACAAAAAACTGTTAGAACTAATACATGAATTCAGTAAAGTTTCAGGATACAAAATCAACACACAAAATCAAGACACAAAAATCAACTGGGTTGCCCGGCCGGTGTGACTCAGAGGTTGAGTGTTGACTCATGCACCAAGAGGTCGAGTGTTGACTCATGCACCAAGAGGTCGCTGGTTTAATTCCAGGTCAGGGCACATGCCCAGGTTGTGGGTTAAATCCCCAGTGTGGGGCATACAGGAGTCGGCTAATCAATGTTCTCTCTCATCAAAGTTTCTATCTCTCTCCCTCTTCCTTCCTCTCTCTAAAATCAATACAGAAAAAAAAAAAAGTTTTTTAAATCAACAGTGTTTTTATACACTAACAAAGAAGTATCTAAAAAGGAAATAAAGAAAACCACCCCATTTACAGTAATATTAAAAACAATAAAATACTTAGGAATAAATTTAGCAAAGGAATTAAAATATTTATACACTGAAAACTATAAGACATTGATGAAAGAAACTGAAGACAAATAAATAGAAAGATATCCCATGATTATGGATCAAGAAAATTAATATTGTTAAAGTGTCCATACTACCCAAATCCATCTATAGATTCAATGTAATCTCTATAAAAATACCAAAGGCATTTTTCACAGAAATAGAAAGAAACCACCCTAAAATTTGTATGGATCTACAAAAGACCCTGAACAGCTAAAATAATCTTGGAAAATGAACAATGCTGGAGGAATCACACCCTCTGATATTAAACTATATTACAAAGCTCTAGAAATCAGAACAGTATGGTCCTGGCCAAAAAAAAACCAAAAAACAAAAAAACAGACAAAGAACTCAATGAAACAGAAATAAACTCACACATATAGAGTCAATTAATATTTGAAAAGGAAGATAAGAATACTCAATGGGAAAAGGACAGTCTCTTCAATAAATTGGGAAAACTGGATAGTCCTATGCAAAAAAATGAAATTAAACCCCTATCTTACACCACTTACAAAAATCAATTCAATTAAGGACTTAAGTGTAAGATCCTGAAACCATAAAACTCCTAGCGGGAAAGCTCTCTGACATTAATCTTGGCAACTTTTTTTTTTTGACATGAACCAAAAGCACAAACAACAAAAGCAAAAATAAACAAGTGGGCCCTGGCTGGTTTGGCTCAGCAGTTAGAGTGTCAGACTGTGGACCAAAGAATCCTGGGTTCAATTCCAGCCAAGGGCACATACCTTTGTTGCGGTTCGTGCCCAGCCCTGGTTGCAGTTGTGTGGGTGGCAACCAGTTGATGTGTTTCTCTCACATCGATGTCTCTCTCTCTCTCTCTCTCTCTTTCTCCCTCCTACTCTGTCTGAAGAGAAATGTAAAATATCCTGGGGTGAGGATAAATAAATAAATAAATGGGAAAAAAAATAAACAAGTGGGACTATATCCAACTAAAAAGCTTTTAGACAGCAAAAGAAACAACAAAATGGAATGGTAATCTACTGAATGGGAGAAAATATTTGCAAATCATATATCTGATGAAGGGTTAATACTCAAAGTATAAAATAACTCATATAACTCAATAGCAAAACAAATGATCCAATTAGGAAATAGGTAGAGGACCTGAAGAAACATTTTTCCTAAGAAGACATACAATGGCCCAGAAGTACATAAAAAAGTACTCAACAGTATGGCTGGTATGAGCATCATCCCATGGACTGAGAGGTCCCGGTTTGATTCCTGGTCAGGGCACATGCCTGGGTTGTGGGCTTGATCCCCAGTAGGGGGCATGCAGGAGGCAGCAGATCAATGTTTCTCTCTGACATTGACATTTCTACCTCTCTCTCTAAAAAAAACAATAAAGACATTTTTTTAAAAAAAAAATCAACTTTCACCCGGCCAGTGTGGCTCAGTGGTTGAGAGTTGACTCGTGAAACAAGAGGTTGTCGGTTTGATTCCTGGTCAGGGCACATGCCCAGGTTGTGGGCCAGATTCCCAGTGTGGGGCATGTAGGAGGCAGCCAATTGATGTTCTCTTTCATTGATGTTTCTATCTCTCTCCCCCTCTACCTTCCTCTCTCTCTAAAAATGAATAAAGAGCCTTGGCCAGTTTGGATCAGCGGTTAAAGCGTTGGCCTGCGGTCGGGAGAGACCCGGGTTCGGTTCCTGCTAAGGGCACGTACTTCGGTTGCAGTTTGTCCCCGGCCCTGGTTGGTCGTGCGGGTGGCAGCCACTCGATGTGTCCCTTCGATGTTTCTCTCTCTCTCCCTCCCACTCTATCTGTACAAAAAAAAAAAAAAGAAAAAATATCCTCGGGTGAGGATAAAAAAAAGAAAGAAAGAAAGAAAGAAAAATGAATAAAGAAAAAAAAATCAACTTTCCTTAAAAAAAAAAAGTGCTCAACATCACTAATCATCAAGGAAATACAAAACAAAACCACAATGAAATGTTACCTTCTATCCACTGGGGTGGCTATTATCAAAAAGACAAGAGATAACAAATGCTGGCAAGGATGTGGGAAAAAGGAACTCTTATGAACTGCTGGTGAGAATGTAAATTGGCACACCCACTATGGAAAATAGGGTGGAAGTTTCTAAAAATATTAAAAATAGAATTACCATACATCCAGGAATCTCACTTCTGGGTACATATCCAAAGAAAATAAAATCACTGTCTTGAAGAGACATCTCCACTCCCTTATTTATTGCAGCATTATTTACAATAGCCAGGATATGGAAACAACCTACGTGTCCAATGACGATGAATGGGTAAAGAAAATGTGGTATATATACACAATGGAATATTTTCAGCCATAAAAAGAAGAAAACCCTGCCATTTGTGACAACATGGACAGACCTTGAGGACATTATGCTAAGTGAAATAAGTGAGACAGAAAAACAAGTACTGTATGACTTCACTTATGTTTAGAATCTTAAAAAGCTGAACTCAGAAGCAGAGAGTAGAATGGAGGTGGCCAGGAGCTGGTGGGTGGAGGAAATAGGAAGATGTTGGTCAAAGGGTACAAACTTCCAATTATAGGAGGAACAAGTTCTCAGAATTTGATGTACAGCATGGTGCCAGTTAACAATACTGTACTGTCTACCTGAGAGTTGCTATGAGAGTAAATCCTCAATGTGCTCATCATAACAACCACAAACAATGGGAATTCTGTGAGGTGAAGGAGGTGTTAGCTAACCTTGCTATGGGTAAACATTTTGCAATATATATCTGAATCAAATTACCACCTTGTACCTTAAACTTACACAATGTTACAAGTTAATTATATCTCTTGTTTAACGGTTTTCTTTTTTTTTATCCTCACCCAAGGACATTTTTCCATTTTTTGTTCAGACAGAGTGGGAGGGAAAGAGAGGAAGAGAGAGAGAGAGAGTGAGAGAAACATCGACGTGAAAGGGACACATCGAGTGGCTGCTTCCCGCACTACCAACCAGGGCTGGGGACAAACCGCAACCGAGGTACGTGCCCTTAGCGGGAACCGAACCCGGGTCTCTCTGGACCATAGGCCGACGCTCTAACTGCTGAACCAAACCAGCCAGGGCTTTTTTTGTTTTTTTATCCTCACCTGAGGACATTTTTCCATTTTTTGTTCAGATAGAGTGGGAGGAAGAGAGAGAGAGAAACATTGATGTGAAAGGGACACATTGAGTGGTCGCCACCCGCACGACCCAACTAGGGCCGGGGACAAACTGTAACCGAGGTACGTGCCCTTAGAAGGAACTGAACGCGGGTGTCTCTGGACCGCAGGTCGACGCTCTAACTGCTGAGCCAAACCAGCCAGGGCTGCTTTTTTTTTAGACAAAAACCTTCATTTTTTTTGTGTGTGTGGTATGTGCCCCTAGCGGGAACCGAACCTGGGACTCTCTGGTCCACAGGCCGACGCTCAACCACTGAGCCAAAGTGGCCAGGGCCCATCAATTATATCTCAATAAAGCTGTGGGGAAAGTATTTTCCCTAGTGGATAAGAGTAGTTCACTGTGCCTAGGCTGCATGTAAAACAATGTGGCTTATGCTGAATACCTGCTTTTCTGGAATTTGGGTACATGATAGAGGTATCTACATGACCAGCTCCCAAAAACACCTTGGGCGTTGTCCTGGCCGGTTTGGCTCAGTGGTTCTCAATCTTCTAATGCCACAACCCTTTAATACAGTTCCTCATGTTGTGGTGACTCCCAACCATAAAATTATTTTCGTTGCTATTTCATAACTGTAATTTTGCTACTATTATGAATCGCCATTGGAAATAAGTGTTTTCTGATGGTCTTAGGCGACCCTGGTGAAAGGGTTGTTCGACCCCCAAAGGGGTCGTGACCCACAGGTTGAGAACCGCTGGGTCAGCCCTGGCTGGTTTGGCTCAGCGGTTAGAGCGTCGGCCTGCGGTCCAGAGAGACCCGGGTTAGGTTCCTGCTAAGGGCATGTACTTCGGTTGCAGTTTGTCCCCAGCCCTGGTTGGATTGTGCGGATGGCAGCCACTCGATGTCCCCCCCCCACACTCTATCTGAAGAACAAAAAAAAAAAAGGAAAAATGTCCTCGAGTGAGGATTAAAAAAAAAAAAGAAAGAGAACCGCTGGGTCAGAGCATTGGCCCATGGACTAAAGGGTCATGGGTTCAATTCCAGGTCAAGGGGAGGTACGTGGGTTCAATCCCTGGCCCTGGTCAGGAACGTGTGGGAAGCAACCAATCGATGTGTCTCTCTCACATTGATGGTTCTCTCTCTCTCTCTTCCTCCCTTCCTTCCACTCTATCTAAACATCAATGGAAAAATATTCTCAGGTGAGGATTAACAACAACAACAAAAAAAACCAACCCCAAAAAACAAAACCACCACCACCACTACCAAAAACCTTGGGTACTGTTTCTCTGGTGGGATTCCGGACAGAAACATCACACATGTTGCTACATTTGTGTTGCAAAAGGGAGAGGGTTCTGCATAAGTCCTTCCGGGAGGGAGGAGCAGAAGGAAGCCTGCACAGGAACTCCTCCCACCTCTGCCCAGCTTCTCCCTTGCAGTCTGGCTGTGCAGCCTTACCACATCGCTATAATAAATCTCAGCCATGAATACAACCTGTGACTTCTCTTAGCAAATCTCCTAATGTGAGAGTAATCTTGGAGACCGCCAGCACAGTAGGAAATGTGAAAAGTGCTTACTTAGCAGAGTAGCTAGTACATAGGAACCTCTCAGTAAATGGACCTTTTAGTGACCTTAAAAATGTCTGGGTTGTGATAGGAGGAGTGGAAAAGGAGACAGAAAAATACTTGAAAAACAAACATCACACTTGCATGGTGTGTGCTGCAGACAGAGGGGGACTACACAGTTGGGCCACTTGGCATCACATGGGGGAGGGGGTGGGGAAGGGTGGGATGTTCTAACTGGCATACTGCTTTTGGATTCCTGAGTTCTGGGTCCATCAACCCACAGCACAAGGTTGACTTCTGCACAGCAAATGGGGCTGTGCTCAAACCTGCTACCTGTAGAGGCAGCTGGACACAAAAAGGGGATAAGGAATGTCTCAAAACTATGTTGAGGAAGCAGAAAAGTTGGTACTCTTGGCTCTAACTGTACACTTTACTTCTTTTAATGTCAAGGAGAAAAGGACAACTGCTTCAATGAAGGGGTGTGAGGCAAATAATAATATACTCAGGTGGAAAAAGGAGTTCCAGGATTACTTTCCCTAGTAGAAAGCAGCCACCTCTTACCTGAAATCCACAGGCTCATGGTGTTACAGATCTCAGACTTGAACTCATGTGTGTTGAACCAGGACTGTGGGAAGCAGCAGCAGAAGCTAGTGTACAGGGCTTTGCTCAGAAGTGATGGCAACCTCTGGGGGGAAAGCAGAGCTCAGGCAACATTCTGGACATTTCTAAACCCAGAAAGAGCCCCTGACGTCAGAAAGGACCAGTGATAAAATTCTCTACCTGACACCATGCTGCCTTCCTGGTTATGAGTGAAGCAATTTCCATCTGCACTGCCCCACAGCTCCGTGGACTCCTTACCCTCCCTGGGAAGCACTTCACAAGCACCATGCTATGCTAGGCCAGCACCCTCTCCTCCAGCTCCTCTGGACGTGGTCTGTGGCTCAGCCGCTTCTGCAACTGGCCAAACAGTAGTCCAGAAAACGACAAGATACATGTGACCTAGCTATCTTCTTGTCACCCAGAGATGATACTAGTAAGTACTACTCACTGGGTTTTTTTTCTATACACAAGTGGTACTGTTGTTTCTTAACTATGGTTGAGCTGAAATTATACATTTATAATTTGGCTTTATTCATTTAACATTATAACATACACACTTCTCCAAGTTATTATAAACTTTTTGGGATTTTTTTCCCCCAATAGTTACCTTTATAACATTATGGGCTAAGTGGCCATATCAAAATTACTTAAACATCCCCTATTGGTGGATATTGTCTTGTTTCCAAGACTTTGCATTACAAATTATGCTGAATAATTATTTTTATTTATTAAACTATTTCATTGTTTGGCATATTAGTTAAAATTGTTGATTGAATGAATGGATGCATGCATGAATAAAAGCAGCTTTTCCTGAATATTAATTTATGTCTTCCAAAAGATGGAATGATAATACTACTAATTATAGCAGCTATGATATATTGGGGGCTTATCGTGTGCTGGGTGATATGTCAGATGCCTTACAAACACCTTCTCATTTCATCTTTAGGACAACTCAGTGAGAAAGGCATCATTATCCCCATTTTATGGGTGATGAAACCGAGGCACAGAAAACCTAAGTGACTTGTTAAGTGGTCACTTAATTAGAATAAGTTCCTTCCAGCATAATTATATCAATTCACTTCCCACTCATCAGGTCCGAGTGCCATTTCCCTATATCCTTAACAACACTGGGAATTGCCGTTTTAAAACTATGCTGACAGGTAAAAAGAGTATTAAGTTATTATTGTTTTAATTCATATTTTTTATTATTCTTAAGGATGAAATTTTTCCCATCTGTGTTTCTTCCCTGGTAAATTTCTAGTTCATGTATTTTCCACTGGTCTATGGGGCGTTTCATTTTTTTCTTATTGATTTGTAAGAGTTTTTTTATGTTGTGTGACATATATAGTACTGGTATTTTTGCATAATTTCTCATTTGCCTTTAACTATGTCTGTAGTAATTTTCAAAAAAATGTATGTAATACCCTGGCCAGTTTGGCTCAGTGGTTAGAATGTCAGCCTGTGGCCCCTGGCCAGTTTGGCTCAGCGGTTAGAGCACTGGCCTGAGGTCTGGAGAGACCTGGGTTCGGTTCCCACTAAGGGCACGTACCTCGGTTGCAGTTTGTCCCCGGCCCTGGTTGGGTCGTGCGGGTGGCAGCCACTCGATGTGTCCCTTTCACGTCGATGTGTTTTTCTCTCTCTCTCTCTCTCTCTCTCTCTCTCTCTCTCTCTCTCCCCCTCCCTCCCTCCCACTCTATCTGAACAAAATATCGAAAAATGTCCTCGGGTGAGGATAAAAAAAAAAAAGAATGTCGGCCTGCGGACCAATGAACCGTGGGTTCGATTCCAGTCAAGGGCACGTACCCCAGTTGTGGTTCGTCCCCAGCCCTGGTCGGTTTGTGCGTGAGGCAACCAGTCGATGTGTCCCTCTCATATCGATGTTTCTTTCTCTTTCTCTCCCTCCTTCCCACTCTAGCTGAAGATAAACAAAAAAATATCCTTGGGTGAGGATTCAAAAATAAAATTAAAAATAAAAATGTATGTAATTAAATCAATCAGTCTTTTCCTTTATGGTTATTTGGGGTCATATTTTAAAAGTCCTTCCCCACCCTCAAATCAGGTAAATATTCACTTAATATTTTCTTTTAGCAATCCCTTTTTTTTTATTCCTCACCTGAGGATACTTCATTATTTATCATCAGAGTGAGAGGAAGAGAGACACACACACACACACACACACACACACACACACACACACACACAGTCAGAGACAGACATCGACGTGACAGAGCCATATTGACTGGTTGCCTTCTGCACAGCCCTGGCAACCAGGGCCGGGGATGAACCACAACCAAGGTATGTGCCCTTGACTGGAATTGAACCTGCAGCTCATTGGTCTGTGGGCTGATGCTCTAACTGCTGAGCCAAACCAGCCACGGCTAGCAATCCTTTTAGTACACATATACATACACTCGTATATAAAAAATAAATATGTATATTCTACTTGTTTTTTTGAATTTAATTAATTTATTTTTTGTTACAGATGTTTCTCCTTTTTCCCCTACTGATTCCTCCCTCCCTCCCCACCCTGTCCCCAGCTTTGTTGTCCATGTCCATTGTTCATGCATACATGCATATAAGTTCTGTGGTTTATCTCTCCCCCACCACCCCTCTACTTTTAATTTTTAAATTATATGCTTATTTAAATACTACAGAAATATATAGAATGGAAAGGGAAGTCTCTTATAACCTTATTTCCCAGAATATAACCATTGCTAAGAGTTTGGTAAATATTTTTCCAGATTTTTTTTCTATTCACAGGCACGTATAAATATATATACATATGTATATCTATTCTTAACATAGAGTTGTATAAATTGCTTTGTTTTTCACTTAAAATATATCATTATATCTTTCCTAATCACTACAGGGTGGGGTTTACAGTTGTATGTGCTGAAACAGAGTTTATTCTTGTATTATTATTATTATTAATTAATTATTGTATTATTTTCCATTCAAACAACTGTAAACCTACTTTTGCTCTACTCTGTATATACAGACCTACCTCATTTTTTGTAACTGCTACATTACAAGTCAGTGTATGAATATATACACAACTTACTAATTACTCCTTTATGGAAAGAAAGTTAAGGGCATTCCACTGGTATTAGAAGTGAATAGCTATCTCATGTGATTTTTTTTTCTAAACAGTGGTTGATACTCACTTTTAAGATAGCCTCTTCAAAGCGGGACCTGGATTCACGAAACAAAAGAAAGGCGTAGCATTGGGATATCCGGTCGAACAGCTTATTCTGGAGCTCTTTGTTTGGCTACCAGGAATACAAATAGAGAAGAAATTACTAGAGTGAAAACAGCCAATTTTTAGGAATCTTATTGTCAAGATATTTAACCTCATATTATTTGGGAAATAATACCGTAATTTGTTTTATAGGGTTTATAAAACACATACAGAGGGGCAGAGTGTTGAAGAAAGCACCCTAACTCTGGACCAGGAGGGCCTGACTTTACTCTTGGCCCTGCCCTTGACCAGCCCTGTGACATGGAATAGTTACTAAAGCTCAGGGGAGCTGCAAGACTTTGGGGTAATGGCTAAAGCACAGGGTATAAGGGTGAGGCATGGGTGGGGATGGCGTGGGGTGACAGATGAGGCTTCAGCAGGGGTCCATGGAATCAAAGGGGCTTATGGCTCATGGTGAAGAGGTTAGGGTTTGTGTCACAGGAAAGTAACTTAAGTGATGGAGAGAAGTAATCAGATTTGCATTTACCTGGTACCTTTCATGAAAGAACCACCAGAAGCTATCCAGCCACATGGCTTTCATAGTAGGAGAAGAGAGAAACTTCTCTAATTCTCTAGTTGAACAGAAAGACTTAAAAAGAAATAAAATTCACATTATTACTGTTGCCATTATTGTTCTTTTTAAAAAAAAAATTTCACTGGGAGACACAGCCAGATTTATAATCATCTCCACTCAAAACCTTCCTTTCCTCCTTCTGTGTCCCACGCCTTGTTATTGTTATTAATTACACCATTTTCCCACCAGTCATCTTTGGAGTCACCTTAAAAAAATAACAGCCCTGCTCTGGCTAGTTTGGCTCGGCGGTTGTAGCACTGGCCTGTGGACCAGAGTCCCGGGTTCGGTTCCCGCTAGGGGCACATACCAAAAAAACAAACAAACAAAAAACAAGCCCTGGCCAGTGTGCTCAGTGGTTAGAGTGTTGGCCTGGGGACCAAAGGATCACTTGTTTGATTCCTGGTTAAGGGCATGTACCTCGGTTACAGGTTCCATCCCTGGCCCTGGTTGGGGCGCCTGGGGGACGCGACCAATCTCTCTAACATCGATGTTTCTCCCCCCACCCTTCCACTCTCTCTCAAACTCGGTGGAAAAAATATCCTTGGGTGAGGATTAAAAAAAATAATTAATAATAAACACCCAACTTTATAGTAAACGCTATTTGTTTTGCAGGCGTTTTCACATGTTCCCTTTTTACTCCTAGAATAATCACACAAGGTATGCCTTATTTTCTCCATTTTATAGATGAGGAAACTGAGGACCAGAGAGCCTGCAAGTGGCAGGGCCAGGATCAGAACCCATAACTCTAGATAGGAGCTCCATCCTCTCCCCTGCATTCAATAAACAAATACAGAAATTATATAAATGCAAATCACTAGATCTTAAGATTTTTCTGAGTTGGTAAGAAGCACATGGTATTCTAAAATTAGAATTATTGGGGAACTCTGAGGGACAGGAAACTCAGCCTTCATTGTCATACAGCTAGGTCTTGAACAGTTTTGTTTTTAAAAAAATTTTTTCTTTATTGATTTTTTTTTTAGAGAGAGGAAGGGAGAGGAAGAGATAGAAATATCGATGAGAAAACATCAACTGGCCACCTCCAGCAAGCCCTGCACTGGGAATTGAGCCCACAACCTGGGCATGTGCTCTGACCAGGAATCAAACCAGCGACCTCTTGGTACATGGGCTGACACTCAACCACTGAGCCACACTGGCTGGGCCGAGTCTTGAATCTTGTACTGTCTCCAAAGCAACTATTGTAATAAAATGTACATTTTGTTAAACGCTTCCCATGTATCTGGCACTGGGCTATGCATGTTCATTCCTTACCTCACTTTCTTTTTCACAGTGGTAGGTGCTATAATTTATAGACGAGGAAAGTGAGGATCAGATGGTTAAGATTCTTGCCGAAGCTCACACAGCCCGGGAGGCTCAAAAGTAGGGAGTCTGCCCCCAGAGACACCACACAGGCTGCCATTAGGAAGAACAGAGAGCTGACTCTTGCCACCTTCCTGGGTGCAAAGAAAAAGACTCCGTGGTGCTCGTTTCAAGCCAACCTGGGAAGCGGAGGGCATTGTGCATTGATAAGCGGGCCTTCCTGTAGCAAGGAGCTCTCTGGGCCCCGTTTTTGACTCGGTCTTTGTCACCATTCCTCACGTTCCCTTAGAAAGGCAGTCGAGTACAGCGGTGAAGAGCACAGACTTTGGCACAAGACTGCCTGGATTCAAGTCCAGCTCTTACACTTACTAGCTGTGTGATCTTGAGCAACGTTATTGAACCTATGTGCGCTCTCAGTTTCCTCATCCAGAAAATGGAGATGAGGGTGATGATAGGCCTCACCTCTTAACTGCTATGAGGATTAAATGAGTGATACACACAAAGTGCCTAGAACAGTACCAGGCACTTAGGACTTGCTAAACGTGTGCTCTATTGTTTATTTATTCATTCTCCTGCTTCCTTTCAAAAGGATTTCATGCCCTGGCTGATGTGGCTCAGTTGGATGGGCATCGTCCCATGCACCAGTAGGTTGCCAGTTCGATTCCTAGTTAGGGCACAAACTTGGGTTTCTGGCCTGATCCCAGTAGGGGGTATTTGGGAGGCAGCCTTATCAATGTTTCCCTCTCACATAGATGTTTCTCTCTCTCTCCCCTTTTAAAGAAGAAACTATTCTTTTTTTTTTTTTTTATCCTCACCTGAGGACATTTTTCCATTTTTTGTTCAGATAGAGCGGGAGGGAGAGAGAGAGAGAAACATCGACGTGAAAGGGACACATAGAGTGGTTGCCACCCGCACGACCAACCAGGGCCGGGGACAAACTGCAACTGAGGTACGTGCCCTTAGCGGGAACCGAACCTGGGTCTCTCTGGACTGCAGACCGACGCTCAACCGCTGAGCCAAACCGGCCAGGGCAAGAAGAAACTATTCTTTAAAAAAAAAAAAGTATTTCATTTCAGCCCTTTGACAGACACTGGGATGGTGACGGAGAGTCCCTGCCCTCGAGGTGGTCACAGGGAAAGACATTTGCAATGCAGGTGATATGTGTCCTGAGAGAAGGAACCCAGTGTGATGGAGCCAAGAGGGGCATCTGATCTGTGCTGGAGACACCGGGGAAGGTTTTAAGAGTAAAAATAACTGGATTAAAAGGGAGAATCAAGAGCTCCACAGAGAGAGAAAAAAGCATGTGCCGAAGCTGTGGAACCGCGATACATCCGGGGAACTTCCAGAGGCTTTTGCGCAGTGAGAGCACGGAGGGTGGGTAGTGAGGAGCCAGGCAGGAGCCAGGCTATGAGGTCTCTGGGTGCTGGGAGTGAGAGCTGTTCTGAACCTGAACAGGGGAAGGGCAGGAGCCGGCACCAATGAACTTTCAACAGGGCAGGAACACCGTGAGAATGGTGTTCTAGAAAGATCCCTGGAGGCAGTGTAAAAGAGCTAGTAAAAGGGATTGAGATGGCAAGGCAGGCAGCACACTGGGCAGCAGATGCTGTGATCCACACAGGAGGCTGTGGGGCCTGAACGTGACAGGGGCAGGGGGAAGGAGGAGGCGTCCGTAAGGATGGCAGCTGAATCGTAGCGACTGCTTGGATGTGGAGGTGAGTGGGGGAGGAGATGGGCTAATGCCCAGGTGGAAGTCTGTGTTTTCAGCCAGAAAGGGAACCAAGAGGAGAAGCAGGTCTTAGGAGTCTGAGAAGTCTGAGGGGAATTAGGGCAGGAGCAGAGAAATGTGGGAGTCAGGAGCACAGCATAGGGTTTGGAGGTAGTTTGGACAGAGTTAACAGTGGAGATTAGCCTCATGTGGGGAGAAGATGACCAACATCCACCCGCCCACAGAGTTTGTGCAGAGGGCAGGGTCCTGAAGAGCATGGACGGTGAAGGGGCTTGGAAGACAAGGTGATGCTGCCTGAGGTGGAGGGTGCTACCACAAAAATCGAGGAAGGAGAAATGTCAAAGTGCAGAGAGTTGTCCTGTGGGTCAACTGTACAGAGAGGTCACGTAAGATGACAGCAGAAACACATTCTTTTTACTTGGCAATATGAGAGCTATTGGTGGATTGACCTGGCCCACTTTCAGTGATGGGGGAGGGTAGGAAACCAGACTGTGTGGGCATGAAAAAGGAATGGAGGTGAGAACTGAAGCCAGCAAGTGTGGGCAGCTCTTCCAAGAAGTCCCAGGTGACACTCAGTGATGAGCTGGGCCTCGCTACTGAACAAGGTGCACAGGACTATTGTCCTCATGGAGCTCATGGCCTAATGATGGCCTCCAGATTCTCTGAAGCAGAGGCTGCTGAAAAGGTGGAGAGGGGTTAATGGAGGAGAGGATTTGAGAAGGCAAGTGAAAGTTGGGGATGGCCCCTGAATAGGATGGAAGAGGGTCCTTTTTTAAAGGCAAGGTACAAATTTTCCTTCAGTTTCCTGGAAACCAAAGAAAAGCAGGAAATGGCACAGTTATAAGGCTAAAAGCATTCCAAGAGAGGCCGTTTTTCTTGGGATTAAGGCCTAAGGAAACATTCAAAAGTGGGATAGTAGTCACTGTCCTCGGGGCTACCCACACAGGAAATGGAACGTGAACACACGTGGCTGTGCAAGCAGGCCTGTCCAGGGTAAGCAAGGGCATAGGTTGAAAGGTCATGCAGGAACAGCGGATCCATGAAACACACAATCCATTTAAGTTATAGAAAAAGAAGGAAAAAAACTATAATCTTGCCCTGGCCGGTTTGGCTCAGCGGTTAGAGCATCGGCCTGCGGTCCAGAGAGACCCGGGTTTGGTTCCCACTAGGGGCACGTACCTCGGATGCAGTTTGTCCCCGGCCCTGGTTGGGTTGTGTGGGTGGCGACCACTCATGTGTCTCTCTCACGTCGATGTTTCTCTCTCCCACTCTGTCTGAACAAAAAATGGAAAAATGTCCTCGGGTGAGGATTAAAAGAAAACAAACTATAATCTTATCACACAGAGAACACTGGTAATAGCCATGTACAGTTTCGCCCCGGTTTCCTATGCAATGTTATATAACATTGTTTGTAGAGCATTTATATGCTGGTATGTTTTATTTAACAACATAGTATAGCATGTTAAGATACTCTCTTCAAAAACATTCATTTTAATGGCTAAGTATGACATATACACCAACAATGACTATACTGTTCTATTATTGATCATTAAACTTTTTAATAACATTGATGATAAAAACTACCATATTTTTAGAACTAATGATTTACTGAGCACTTGCTAAGTGCTTTTATACACGTGTTATTTAATTTTACATTAATTCTTCTAAGGTAGAGACTGTTGTTATCTCTATTTTACAGGAGGAGACCCTAGAACCCAGAGAGCTACTAGCCACTATGATGTACTGCCTTCCAGTTCCTTGCTATCGAATGACAATGTGGGGCACACATCTTTTTACATTGTCCTAGAAGCATGGATGCTCCCGTGTCTGCTGCTCCTCCACGTCTCTGCTGAGGAAAGCAGGGGGTCAGGTACCCCACCCCAGGGTGACCACTGCCTGGCTCAGAGACCAGTGCCTGGCAGTAGAACTTCAGCAAACACCACTGTCATACTGGGCAGTGACTGGCCCGAACAGATCATCACTGAGGAAGTCTGAATGCAAGACAAAGGAAGGAGACAGATGGAACTAGAGACCTAACTGGAGAGAAGGCAGCAAGGAGAAATCATGAAGAGGACAGGAAGGAGAGAAGGAAGAAAGAAGATGGGGAGGGGGAGAGAAAGAAAGGGAGGAGAAATAAAGGGAGGGCTTGAAGCAAGCAGTAGTGATGGGGTGAATAGTTAGGAGCTGAGGGGATAATGACCAAAGCTGCTTTGGGGACAACCGCAGTTGTGCAATTGTGAAGGGCAATGAGGCACAGCTGGAGGGCTGCCGAGACCGTTTTCTGGGCTTCCTCCTCTCCCCACACCTCCTTCAACTATCCCCATATCCTGAGTGGCCAGCACTGGCTCACATATGCTTCTGGGCCTTAAAATACTCCCTGGCTCCCTCCCTGAGGAACCCAGTGCGCAAGCTCTCCAGTGAGCAACTCACCCATGGTGTACCATGGGGTGTGGGGAGAAAATATTCTAACTAATGTTTAATTAAGAAAAAAATTAAGTTTATTGATATATAGTGTAGTATTGGACAACAGAACATGTATATTATATATTTTTAAAACACATATATCATGAGGGTGTGTACTCAAAATTTTTTGCTAATCGCATACATGATCAAATTGATCTGGAGACTAGTGCTCTCATAGACAGAATCTAGGTTTTGGAGGGAACATGAGCTTGAGTCTAATCTCAGTTAAGTCACTTGCAAACTTACAGGCCTCAGTGCCTTACTCAAGTGCCCTGACTGGCTGTTTCCTGGGGTGTAAAACTGGGACAGCTGCATCTGCCACAGGGATGGTTGTAAAGTTGGGGTACAGCCAGGCCCATGGATGGCTGGGCAGCACAGAGGCAAGCTGCATGCTCTTTCTTACCTTGCCACTAAGGGGGCTTCTCTCAGACTGGATCACATTGGCGACCATGTCACAGAAGTCCACCCCGTTGGGAAGCTTATGCGGCCTGGCAGTGTTAAACTGTGAGTACCGGTACAGCTCCGCCAGCAGGTTTTTATCTGCCGTTTTCTGAAGCAAAAAAGCAGAATATAAAAATGGGGTGCATCATTTTGACAGTTTAAGACATTGAGATATCTTCCCCTTTATATCATGAAGAAAATAAAACCTTATAGAATGTTTAAAAAAAATGAGGGTGCATTCATGATCCCAGCACCCCTTACCAAACACCCATTCACATTATTTCTATTTTCCCTTTCAGGCTTTGAGCACGTGTATACAAATATGTATAAGAAACTTCATTTTACAATACACACATACACCCACACATACTTTTCATTTTAATTCTCCATCAGCATTTATCCCCTCTATGCCCTCTTCCACTTCCACCCTCCTCCCCACACACACTCTATCCACTTCACTCTGGATTTCTCACATTGCTACACTGTCTTCAAATTTCTCATCTATCCTATTAATGAGATGGGCTATAGTTTAATTAACAGTTAATTGTTTCCAACTACTACTACTGCCTTTATATATATATATATTTTTTTTAATCCTCACCCGAGCACATTTTTCCATTTTTTGTTCAGATAGAGCGGGAGGGAGAGAGAGGAAGAGAGAGAGAGAGAGAAACATCGATGCGAAGGGACACATCGAGTGGCTGCCACCCGCACGACCAACCAGGGCCGGGGACAAACTGCAACCGAGGTACGTGCCCTTAGCGAGAACCGAACCCGGGTCTCTCTGTACCGCAGGCCGACGCTCCAACCGCTGAGCCAAACCGGCCAGGGCCCATTATATTTTTACAAGTTAAAAATAGTCCTGCTGGTATGGCTCAGTGGTTGAGCGTTGACCCATGCACCAAGAGTCTCCAGTTCGATTCCCGGCCAGGACACATGCCCAGGTTGTGGGCCCAATCCCCAGTAGGGGGCATGTAGGAGGCCAATCAGTGTTCTTTCTCGTCGATGTTTCTCTCTTTCTCTCCCTCTCACTTCCTCTCTGTAAAATCAATAAATAAAAAATAAATAAAAAATACAAGTTAATAATAGCCCTGGCCAGTTTGGCTCAGCAGTTAGAGCACTGGACCTCGGACAGAAGGGTCACAAGTTTGATTCCTGGTCATCAAGGGCACGTACCTGGATTGCAGGTTAGATCTGCAGCCCAGGTTGGGGTTGTAAGGGAGACAACCAATCAATATGTCTCTCTCATATTGATGCTTCACTCTCTCTCTTCCCCTCCCTCCCTTCCACTCTATCTAAAAAAGCAATGGGAAAATATCCTCAAGTGAGGATTAACACAAATAAATAAATAAAATGTAAAAATACAGAAAAGTGGAAAGAGGAAACCAATTACCATCATCCAGCCCTAGCTGGGTAGTTCAGTTGGTTAGAGCATTGTCCCAATATGCTAAGGTTGCAGGTTCGGTCCCAGTTAGGGCATATATAAGAAGCAACCAATGAATGAATAAATAAGTGAAACAATAAATCGTTCTTTCTTTCTTTCTCTCTCCCTTCCTCTCCCTAGAAGTCAATAAATAAAAATTTTTTAAATTACCATCAACCAAGACATCCGCAGGAAACATACTGAGGCACAGGGCCTCGGCACTGACAGTGGGAGAACCCAGTGAGTAAATGCACTGACTCGGAGTCAGAGAACCTGGGGTCAGATGTCAGCTCCACCATTTAGTAGCTGTGCCACTTTGGGCAGGACATTCAAATCTGCTTGGCCACCATCATGGGTCACATGGCAGTTTCAATGCTGACTCTCACTGTTGGACTTCGCGCTGTGTGGGAAATTCCTAGGCTAAAAGGTGAAAAAAGGACAGCAATGCTCTATCGTTCATATTCTCCAACACTGAGGGGTCCGAATGCATATGACCTGAGTAGTTTAAGGAGCAAGCTTAAGAGACTCTTTTTTTTTTTTTTTTTTTTTTTTTATCCTCACCCGAGGATATTTTTCCATTTTTTGTACAGGTAGAGTGGGAGGGAGAGAGAGGAAGGGAGAGAGAGTGAGAAACATCGACGTGAAGGGACACATCGAGTGGCTGCCACCCGCACGACCAACCAGGGCCGGGGACAAACTGCAACCGAAGTACGTGCCCTTAGCGGGAACCGAACCCAGGTCTCTCCGGACCGCAGGCCGACACTTAAGAGACTCTTAACTGGGGTGGTGGCTGGAGAGAGTGAAGAGAGTCTGGCCATGGGTCTGAGGATCTCAGCAGGAAAAGGGGCTTTACCATCAACTATGCATGATAGTGGACAGGTCATGTAACTTACTCCTGAATCTCAGCCTCTTGGGCGTCTGCTGGGACCGACAGACTAGCCCTGCTATGTGAATGGCCCCTGGGAGCTGAGTGACACAGGGGCTCTGTGTGAGCTGAATCTGTACTCATTGTTTCTAAGGGCAAACACCTAAGTTCTACAAATAAACATAAAAATGACCTCTGGAACACTCCCCATTCTACCCTTTCCAGGGTGTTATGAGAAATTCTAGCATTATTCAAATACGTTAAAATCCTTTATAAAGGGAATTCTGTGATTTTCTTGCACCATCACCATCCAGGTGTCAATTATCCCCGCACACCCAGGAATAAAATTGATTTCATGCCTAGCAGAAATCAGACCCAGACCCAGGATCTCTTACCCTCTTAATGATAGATTTGACATTCCTGGATTCTACGCCACTGCAAATATGTGGCAATTTTCTTTTACTTTTGTCTGCAGAAGAAGAGAAATGGAATGTGAGTAACCATGGGGTCTGTCCACCACCGTGCTGTAATTATAACTGTGATTTTTTCGTTTAACCTGAACTGCCTGATGATACAATTATCAGTCTCACTAGATCTCACCCGTATGGCTGACTTATTAAGCCCTCCCTTCCCCCCAAGCCTGTTCCTCATCTATAAAATATATTCAGTGGCACCAACCTTACAGGTTGGGGCATTATGAAGATTTAACAGGGGTACATATGAAAGGACCTGGTGCAGTGTGGCACATAGTAGGTGGTCTCTGAATAGTACTGCCCTTTCCTCCTTTGTTGCCCAGTGTCAAGAAGTCAGATTTAAGGCTCCTTCAGAAGATTGCAAAGATATCCTCATCAGAAGCTCTGCATTCCTACTCAATGCATGTTATATATTAAAAAACCAAACCCTACAAAAATACCATCAAGGTTATGAGAAAGGATTTTTGCCTCTGTTTCCTGAGCTGCCATGACTTTTCTCGCTTAAAGCCTTCTTCTCCAACTCAAATCTCTCCACTGCCTTCAAAAACCAAAAAGAAATGGGCATTAGGGGCTGATGCAAATCTTGGTGGAGGGCGGGGTCAGGGACTAAGCCATTTCTTCTGTTGGGGTGCAAAAGTCTGGAGCAAAGTTTGTAACAATGTTCTGCCATCTTCCCCTAGGTGGTAGAATCTTGGTGGCCACAGACCTCATGTCCCTGAGTGTCACCACTAACACATCTCCCAGCCCTGCCCTCTCTTACCATGCTCTTCCTCCTGGCTACACCTCTGAGCTACACCCCTGAGGAGCGTAGGATTTGGAGTGGTTCCAATCATGGCTCCACAGGTTACAAGCTACTGTTTAATCTTTCTGTAAAAAGGGGATAATAATACCTACCTTCCAGGGTTCTTACAAGGATCAGCTACAAAGTATTTAATGCATCTTTAAACCCAAGCACAGAGGCTATCACTTAGGAGCTGCTCAATAAAGAGTAACTATTATTATTGATCATCTCAAGAAAATTCTCTTGATCTCTGACTCCTCCTCTCCAAGCCCCACTCCCTCCTGAAAAGGAAGGAAAGAAAAATGAATGTACATGACTCAGCAAGTTGTATAGATTGTCAGCCCTGAGCCCATGGTGCCCAGATAACAAAGTTAGCAAAGAAGTAGGATTCTGTGTTCTTGATCTCAAGGAACTTATAATCTATTCCGTTAGCCAAGTCAACACCTGTGGAACAATTAAACTGCTAAATTTAGGGCTCAATTAAGTGGGATTAGTGTGAGCTGTGGCAGTCACAAAGGACAGCCCAAAAGAGGTGAGACATGAGTACTGGGGGCAATGATGGGGCTTCTGTCAATTAGCTTGTTAAACTGTGAAATGCCTCTCCAACCTTCCTCCGCCTGAATGTGTGCAAGTGGGTGTATGTGGGGAAAGGGGTCACATTGGTAGGGTATGTAACAACACTGTTGCTCTAGTATACAGGGATAAGACATGACGGATGAATTGGTGGTTGGGTGTCAATACAGCAAAACAGCAAGGTCTCTGATCCTTACCAGGATGCCACTAGAGCCAATAGTGTCAGGACCTTGGAACGTTGACAGAAAGGACAGTTGAATGTTGGAAGAAAAGCAAGTTGGGGGAAATTATGAGACCAGCATTGGGTTGAGTTTGCATCTGAGGTGACAGCAGGACCTTCTAGTGGAAATGTTCCTGAGAAGGCAACTCCCAAACCTGGCTGATGACAAGCATCGTGGGGGATTATTCAGATATTCAGATTTATTAGAGAGGCATATTCCTTAGGTCTGCTTTGGAATTGTTGATAGTGGCTCCTGAATAGTTCTCTATTAAAATTTTTAAAAACATGGTACATGGTGCATGGTACAAAAGCAAACAGTACAGTAAAAAGTCTGCCTCTTAGTATCACTCCTCTAGGTAGCTGGGAGACTGAAATGCAGGTGAGAAGCTACAATTTGCAAATGCGTTACTCATTCCATAAATACTTCCTGAGCACTTACTAAAAACCAAACACTATGTCCATAGTGAGGATGCAGCAGTGAGCAGTGACAATGTCCCTGCCCTGCAAGGGCTCACAGACGAGTGGGGAGAAGCTGGTGATCAAGAGGTGAGTGGTGCTGACATGAGGCGGGACAGGATGACAGGAGTGTGCCCAGAAGGAGTGGCTGGGAAAGCCTTTCCAGCAGAGGTAGTGACCCACAGGTAGAGAGAGGAAGGAACGTGTCTACCACTGAAGTGAATGGTGAAACTGTAGGGCTGGGCACAAAGCTCTGGAGGGAGACTGGAAAAAAAGCAAAGCAAGACTCCTGGCCGGAGCCTGGAGGGAGACCCACACTTAGGGCATGAGAGAAGGAACAGAAATAAGACACCAGGAGGAGGACCTGGGCCTCAGTAGGAGGTGGCTCACTCGTCCATCAGTGCACATCTTTTGAGCACTTCTCATTCACCAGGAACTGTGCTAGGTGCCATCCAGCAGGGCGGGACGGAGGCTAGAGAAACCAATCTGGCCTTAGGTGCTGACACAGGAGAAGCAGCGACACAGTCAAGGCCTAGTGTATAAGGGGCAGGGCAAACTGTAGCCAACAGAGGTTGGGCAGCGTAGCCCAGGGATGGACGCTATTGGCAGTAGGCAGTCAGCATCTGACAGATCTGACCAGTTGCGTGGGCACAGGAGCAGAAAGGGCAGACAAGGGGGTCCCTTCCTCTAGGTTATTTGAGGACCAAGATGCTTTTACTAGCCCCATCCCGGTTCTGACTGGCATCTTGAGGGAGCCATGCCAACATTAGGTAGTCTTGAAAAAGGTACCAGACCCTGCTTCTGGGAGGACAGTGTCATTCTTTTTTCTGGTTTTATTATTATTGTTTTTTTAAATCCTCACCTGAGGATATTTTTCCATTTATCTTCAGATAGAGTGGGAAGGGAAGAGAGAGAGAAACATCAGCGTGAGAGAGACACATCAACTGGTTGCCTCCCACACTACCCCAACCAGGGCCGGAGACAAACCACAACCGAGGTATGTGCCCTTGACCGGAATCAAACCCTCGACTCTTTCATCTGTGGGCCGACTCTCTAACGACTAAGCCAAACTGGCCAGGGCTCTTTTTTCTGGTTTTAAAATTATCTTTAAAAAATCACAGAGGTGACATTCTTGTTTTAAAATCAAAACTCCAGCAAGTTATTTTGTGGATATTGACAAACTAACTCTAAAGTTTGTATGGATAGGCAAGAGACTCAGAAAAGCAAACACACTATTGAAGGAGAACTGGCATTCCTCAACTTCAAGACTCACTATAAAATGATAGTAATCAAGACAGTGTAGTATTGGCCAAAGAACAGGCAAATAGATCAATGGAACAGAACAGAGAGCCTAGAAATACATCCACATAAATATAGTCAGCTGAACTGGACAAAGGGGCAAAGGCAAAACAATGGAGCAAAGACAGTCTTACAACAAATGGTGTTAAAACGACTGGATATCTGCATGCAAAATAAATAAACCAAGACACAGATCTTATACTCTTTATAAAAATTAACTCAAAATGGATCACAGACTAAGTATAAAATGCAAAACTAAAGAGATAAACCACGAACTTATATGCTTGTATGCATAACCAATGGACATGGACAATAAAGCCGGGGATGGGGAGGAGGGCGTCAATGGGGTAAAAAAGGAGAAACATCTGTAACAAAAATAAAATTAAAAAAAAAAAAAAAAGAAGCTGCAAAAAATAAATAAATAAAATAAATAAAAAGATTAAAATAAATAAATAAAATGCAAAACTAGCCCTGGCCAGTTGCTCAGTGGTTAGAGCTTTGGCCCTCGAACTGAAGGGTTGTGGGTTCAATTCTGGTCAAGGGCACATACCTGGGTTGCAGGTTTGATCTCTGGCCCTGGTCGGGGTCATGTGGGAAGCAACCAATCAATATCTCTCTCACATTGATATTTCTCTCTCTCTCCCTCCCTTCCTCTCTTCCTCCTTCCACTCTGTCTAAAATTCAGTGGAAAAATATCCTTGGGTAAGGATTAAAAAAATGCAAAACTATAAAACTCCTAGAAGGTAACACAGGAGAAAACCTAAATGACCTTGGGTATGGCCATAACTTTTTAGATACAACACCAAAGACACGATAGATGAAAGAAACAATTGATAGCTGGACTTCATTAAAATTAAAATTTCTGCTCTGCAAAACACAATGTCAAGAGAAGGAGAACACAAACCACTAACTGGGAAAACATATTTGCAAAAGACACACATGACAAAGGACTGTTGTCCAACATATACAAAGAACTATGAAAATCCAACAAGAAAACAATTCAATTAAAAAATGGGTAAAGCCCTTAACAGACACCTCACTAAAGAATATAGATGGCAAGTAAGCATATTAAGATGTTTACTGCCACATATCATTAGAGAATTTAAAATTAAGACAGCCCTGGACGGTTTGGCTCAGCGGTTAGAGTGTTGGGCCACTGATCAATGAGTCAGGGGTTCAATTCTGGCCAAGGGCACATACCTGGATTGCGGTTCGTCCCTAACCAGGGCCGTGTGGGAGGCAACCTGTCGATGTGTCCCTCTCACATCGATGTTTCTCTCTCTCTCTCTCCCCCTCTATCTGAAGATAAACAGAAAAATATCCTCCAGTGAGGATTAAAAAAAAACAACAACACAAAAAAACCATGAGATATTATTATATACCAATTAGAATGGTCAAAATCCAGAACACTGACACCATCAAATGCTGATAAGGATTTGGAGCAACAAGAATTTTCCTTCATTGCTGGTAGGAATGAAAAATGTTGCAGCCACTCTGGGAGACAGTTTTGGCAGTTTCTTTCAACCTAAACACACTCAATATATGGTCCAGGAATCATGATATCTGGTATTTACCCAAATGAACTGAAAACGATGTCCACACAAAACTTTGCACATGGATGTTTATCACAAGTTTATTCATGATTGGCAAAATGTGGAAGCAAACAAGATGTCTTTTCATAGGTGGATGGGGAAATAAGCTGTGGTGCACTCAGACAATGGATTATTATTCAGTACCAAAAAGAAATGACTTATCCAGCCATTAAAGACATGGAGGAAGCTTAAATGCACACTAAGTGAAAGGAGCTAGTCGGAAAAGGTTAAATGCTGTATGCTTCCAACTACATGACATTTCTGGAAAAGGTGAAACTATAGAGACAATAAAAAGATCAGTCATTATCAAAGGCTGGGGGAGGAAGGATGAACAGCACAGAGAATGTTTAGGACAGCGAAACGATTCTGCATAATACTACAAAGGTGGATACATGTTGATCCATATTTATCCAAACTCACAGAATATATAGCACAAAGAGAGAACCCAAATGTAAAGGATGGACTTTGGGTGATAATGATGTGCCAATATAGGTTCCTCAGTTATAACAAAGGTACCACTGTGGCGATGGGGAGGTTGTGTATGTATGGGAATGGGGATGCGAGAACTCTGTACTTTCAGCTCAGTTTTGCTGTAAACATGAAGCTGCTCTAAAAAATAAAGTTCATTAATTAAAAAATATATCTTTGAGACCTCTATTGGGTAAAGGTAATTTCAAATAAATGAAGGGGCCTCCAGAGCCCCTCCTTCCTGGAAGCCTAGCCTCAGCCCCAATACCCATAACTCACCAGGCTGCTGTCCAGCAGGTTGGGCCTCAGGTCTATTTCAGCAATCTTTTGGTTCACCTGTTCGATGGAGCCAATGAGGCACGCTGGGAAGTGAGTCTGCTAAGGAAACTCTCTGGGTGGTGATTGCACAGAAACAGGATGGAGCTAGTCTGGCAAGGACAGAGGCTCACTCCTTCTCTGTGCTCTCTCCACTTAATTTCTTTCCAGATATTCAACACTTCTTTTATCTTCTTTTAAATAACTTATTTTATAAATTATAAATGAAATTATATTCTAACAATCTTAGAAAATATAAAAAGAAGCATCCATTATGCTACCACCCTAACAACCTTTTTTTTTTTTTTAATCCTCACCTGAGGACATTTTTGCATTTTTCTTCAGATAGAGTGGGAGGGAGAGAGAGAGAAACATCTACGTGAGACACATTGAGTAGCTGCCTCCCGCACGACCTCGACCAGGGCCCGAGAAGAACTGCAACCGAAGTGGGTGCCCTTGGCCAGAATCGAACCCGCGACTCATTGGTCCGCGGGCCGACGCTCTAACCGCTGAGCCAAACCGGCCAGGACATCTTCATAATATTTTAAATGGCATTATATGAATCTATATGCATTAATACTTAACTGTTCCTTGCCTACTGAATACTTAAATTGTTTATAACGTTTTGCAATTATAAATAATTGCAAATTATTTATACACATATTCACACAGAGTACTGTTTTCATATTTTGGACTATTCCTTTAAGAGAGATTTTTAGGTGACAGATAACTGCATCAAAGTGTATCTCAACCTTATTTATCCCTGTTGAAATCTCTGTCCAGTTCAATGGCCCATTTTCAAACCCTCTCTACATTTGACTTTCTTTCTGTCTTAGCTTCAATTGTCTAGGATATATCCTCTGTAAAAGCCCCATAATCCTATCACTCCTCTCTTCACCTTCACATGAAGCAAGGTTCACGCTTTCTTCCATCACCCTCAAGTGTTCTTACAAGTTGGAGTATACTTGACAAATGAAGATGCCAAGGAGGGACGGGAAAAATCGAATGGGTTAGTTAGGTTGAGATGAGTGTGGGATTAAGAAGAAAGAGGGAGCATAAGAGAAGGCCCAGGAAAGAGAGACTTTGAAGCATATCCTGATGGGATCACACGTGCTCATCTTCAGAAGGGTTTCTAGAGGCATGGGAGAGGCGGGGACTTGGAGGGGTGCATGCAGTTTGGCTGGCAGCAGCATGACTTGAAGGTTAATGAGCTCTTTATGACATGGAAAGACCTGCGGTTATTTATAACCTGAGAGGGTTATTTTCGAGATGAACTCTAAGTCCTCCAGAGATGGGATTTTGTGGGTTCCTGGGATATAGTTCAGGGTGAGAAGTAAGATGAGGATCAGTGAAGGCAGGACTAGAGAAGTAAGATGCTGAGAGCCTGGGTGGTGCCAGAAGGAGCAAACTCTGAGCCCAAGAAAAAGGGCTGGCAGGTGAAAAGAGGTGAGGTCGACTGGAGTAAAAAAAAATGTTTAGCCCTGGCTGGTTTGGCTCAGCGGTTAGAGCATCAGTCTGTGGACCAGAGAGTCCGGGGTTTGGTTCCCGCTATGGGCATGTGCCTCGGTTGCAGTTTGTCCCCTGCCCTGGTTGGGGTTGTGTAGGTGGCAACCACTCGATGTGTCTCTCTCATATCGTATTTCTCTTTCTCTCTCTTCCTCCTTCTCTCCCTCCCGCACTATCTGAGGATAAATGCAAAAACAAACAAACAAAAATTTTTTTAATTAGGTCTTAAGTTCACTTCTCTGAGGCTAGAGGGCTGAACAATGACTTTTTAGTTGCTAGCTATAATTTTAATTCTTTGGAAGGTAAAAGGGAAAGAAAGAGACAATGAAAAAAAATGAGCCTTTTTCTCTTCTTCCTGATTCTTTCAACAAATATGTCCAGTACTTCTTCCTTTTGAGCTCTTTCTGATGATCTTAGTGAAACAAATTCAAGTCAAATAATCCTTCACAGTCTCAAATTCTTTTAGAGGGCAAATACAACTTAATGAAAAAAGTAATGAATATATGGAACGAGCTAATAAGAAATGCATGTTATAAACTTTGCACAGGTTACACCTCTGCGGCAGGTGTATTTGGTCTCGATTGTAAACAGCACCACAGAAGGATACAGGGTGGACTGTCTTGCACATTCTTCCTCGTGGCACTTGCAACACGTGAGAAAGCCAGGTGCTCACCCACTGGCACCACTGGCAAGGCGATGACATTGATGACTTCCATCTTCCTGAAATAAGCCACTGTCCAGTTTCTTGTAAACTGACAAATAGTAAGTTTCCACTTTTAAAAGCATCTCATTCTCACTCTGATCTTGTTCTCTGTTCAACCAGCCTCCTGGAAATCACAAGTAGCACAGAACTATCTTAGAAAGCGCAAGCATGCTCATCTGGCAAGTAGGACTGATGGAATAGAGGCTTTTGTCTGAGAAGCCCATGGTCAACTGAGGATTTCAAGGCATACACACTTTTTCTTTCTACCTGCTGATGCCCACCCCCCAACCCTGATGAAAACTGCTGTACAGATGACCCTTGAACAATATGGAGATGAGGCAGGGGTACCACCATGCAGTCAAAAATCCACATATAACTTTTGACTCCTGAATTTAACTACTGGTAGCCTACTATTGACTGGAAGCCTTACCAATAGCATGAACAGTCAATTAACACATACCTTGTATGTTATATGTATTATATATATGTACTGTACTCCTACAATAAAGTACTCTAGAGAAAAGAAAATATTATTTAAAAATCAAAAGGAAGAGAAAATATTTAAAGTACTGTATGTATTGATTGAAAAAAATCCATGGTAAGTTCAAGGGGCAACTGTAGTTTTAAAAATAAGGACACTTGGCCCTGGCTGTTTTTGCTCAGTGGTTAGAGCATTGGCCCGAGGACCAGAGAGTCCCAGGTTCGGTTCCCACTAAGGGCATGTACCTTGGCTGCAGTTTGTCCCCGGCCCTGGTTGGGGTCATGTGGGTGGCAACCACTCGATGTGTCTCTCTCATGTGGATGTTTCTCTCTCTCTCTTCTGCCCTCTCTCTCTCCTGCACTATCTGAAGATAAATGCAAAAAAAAAATGTCCTCGGGTGAGGATAAAAAAATAAATAAATAAGGAGACTTGTCCGGCCAGTGTGGCCCATTGGTTGAGCGTCGACGCGTGCACCAAGAGGTCGCCAGTTCAATTCCTGATCAGGACACAGGCCCGGGTTGTGGGTCAGATCCCCAGTGGGGAGCATGCAGGAGGCGGCCAATCGATGTTCTCTCTCATTGATGTTTCTATCTCTCTCTCCCTCTCATTTCTTCTCTAAAATCAATAAAGGGAAAAAAAATTTAAAAAAGAGGTGGCCCTGGCCAGTGAGGTTAGAGTTTCATCCATGCACCAAGAGGGGGTGGGTTCAATTTCTGGTCAGAGCACATGCCCAGGTTGCAGGTTCAACCCCCAACTGGGGTACACTCGGGAGGCAACTGATAAATATTTCTCTCTCTCTCCTTTCCTCTCTCTAAAATCAATTAAAAATAAAACTATAAAAATAAGGAGACTGAGGTGCTAAAAATGCTGGGGCTCCAGATGACCCAGCAAGCAAGTTTCCAAATTAGAAATCAAATCAAATCTTTGTCTCTCTGAGCATCACCCGGAAAGTCCAAGATATGGAGGAGGTTCCAAAGACCTTTTTCAGCTCTCAGATGCTATTCCATGATACAGGCGCATCTCCTCAGCACGAAGGTCCTGATCTACCCATGGCTTCTGCTCCTTCTCAGAAAACGGACCCCATCACTACCCTTCCTCCTGGATTTAGAACACTATGGCCAGGCTGCTCTCCTGGGTCCTTGCTTTTTGTTCATCTCTGCCATCTGTGGGTCCTTCATGTCCAGAGCCTGGTAATAGAAGCCTGGTTATGAAGTAAAAACACTGAGATCTGCCCTCAAGAAGCTTATATATAATGGAAGGAGAGAGAAAAGGTATAATTTGGTAGAGAACTTAACCAAGGTGCCCTTTCACCACAGTCTCCTTTCCTCTTCCCTTCTGTTCATGCCTTCTGCTCTGCCCTCTTCTCCCAGCCATGTGTGTACCTTACATGCCTGCCCCACTGACTTCTTCCTGGACCCTGCCGTGCTATGCTTTGTGCTTCTATGCCTTTGCATGCACTGTTCCCTCTTTTGAAAGCTCGGCCCAGGTGATAACATCTTTTGGAAACCTTCTTGAATTACTCCAGACAATTAGTACCACCTGTCTTCCATGAAGTCCAGAATTCTGTCCAACTAGAATTATTTGCTTCTACAGTTTTCTCCATTAGGCAAATTACTTCTTAGGGATTAGGTTCACTCAATATTTGTTTCCATTTTAGACTCACTCACCATACTTCTTTTCTAGTCCAAAGAAGCTATCCATTTTGGGCAATCCCAAATCAGTTGGATTATATGAAGAGCGGCCCCAGGCCCCAGGCCCCAGGCCCATACTCGTTCTCCCTCCTGCTCCTAGCCTGCTGCTCCTAGCTAAATAGGCGAGGGGAGAGGGGAGAGAGGACATAGGTGCATTGTAAGGGTTCTCACTTTCCTCCTACCTGCTCCTCAGCATGACTGGCAAACTACAAGTCCTTTGAGAAGCCAGCCTTAGGGTGACCCTGTCACAAAGCCTCTTGCTTTAGCTTAACATTATTACTCATGCCTAATGGGAGAATTGAATATTATGCTTTTTTTTTTAATCCTCACCTGAGGATATTTTTTCCACTGATTTTTGGAAGGGAGGGAAGGGGAGAGAGAGAGAGAAAAAAAAAAAACAAAACACAAAAAAACATCAATGTGAGAGACACATTGATCGGTGGCCTCCTGCATGCACCCCAACCAGGACTGAAGACAGAACCTACAACCCAGGTACATGCCCTTGACCAGGAATCAAACCCACGACCCTTTGGTCCATGGGCTGATGCTCTAACCACTGAGCACGCCAACCAGGGCTGAATATTACACTTGTTAAGAGAAATGTTTAAAAAGATACTCTGTTCCCTTCTAAATTTTTCATCATATCATTTTAAGATAAGTGTTCTCTGAAACATAGTAAGTTGTTTTTTTTTTTATCCTCACCTGAAGGCATTTTTTTTTTTTTTTTTTGCATTTATCTTGAGACAGAGCGAGAGGGAGAGGTGAGGAAGAGAGAGAGAGAAACATCAGCGTGAAAGAGACACATCTAGCGGTCGCCACCCATACAACCCTAACAGGGGCGGTGACAAACCGCAACTTAGGTCCTGCCCTTAGCAGGAACTCTCTGGTCTGCGGGCCTACGCTCTCATTGCTGAGCCGGCCAGGGCTAAAACATGGTAAGTTTTTATTGTCAGTATTTAAGGAGGAAAAAAGGACAGTGGAGAGAACTAACTTAATTGAACATCTACCCTGTGCCCAGCACTGTGTTATGTGCTGAGGGTAGATGAGTAAAAGAATAAACACCCTGCCCCCACGGAGCACATATCTGGCAGCCGAAAATGGAATGTCCCTGTTTAAAGTGAACATGTTTTAACTTAAACAGGTTGACTTTTGTTCAGTTTAACTTTTAGTAGTTCAATGACTAGTTACTGAGTACCTAAGACAAGCCAGCGGTATATTCCTATGGGGATAGGATGGGGAGCTAACAGGATTGGATTCCTGTCCTAAAGGAGCTTTATGTCTACTAGGGGAGACATGTGATAATCAATTATTTTAAAGTAATTGTGAATGATAACTCTGACCACTTCTTTGAAGGGAGGCACACAGTGCTATGAGATAACATAATAGAGGGCACTGACCTAGTCAACACAACCAAGACTTGAAGGAAGAATAAGAATTAGATAAAGGGGGAGGGGAAACACCATCTAAGCAGAGGGGAGCAAGGGTAGAAAGGTTGGAAAAGGCTAGACCTGTGCATCACAGTAGCCACTAACCACGTGTGACACATAAACCCTTGGAATTTGGTTAATGTGACTGAAGAACTAAATTTTTCATTTTCATTTTAAAATGAAGCAGTACAAATTTTAATATATTGAGTATATGTTAAAATGATAACATTTGAGACATTGGAGTTAAATAAAATATCATTCACATTAATATCACCTGACTTTTTTTTTTTTTTTTACTTTTAAAAATATGGCTATTATGGCTGGTGTGGCTCAGTGGTTGAGAATGGAGAGATCACCAGTTCCATTCCCTGTCAGGGCACATGCCCAGGTTGTGGGCCAAATCCCCAATGGGGGGCATGCAGGAGGCAGCCAGTGGATGTTCTCTCTCATGGATGTTTCTATCCCTCTCCCTTCTTCTCTCCCTAAAATTAATTTAAAAAAAATTTTTTTTATATATGGCTATGAGAACATTCTAAACGACATATGGTCCATAATATATTTCCATTGAACAAGAAGGGTTAGACCGTGCAGATTTTGGTTCTAGGACATGGAACTCCCCTTTTCAATGCAGTGAGGTGTACTTGGAAGAAAATTACACTTGGAGCAGGAGACCCACGAGTCCTGCCAGGGCACCCACTGGGCACCCAGTAAATATCCCGAGTGCCCCTGACTTTCTTCATCAAATGGAACTAACACACTGTGTTAAGACTTGAGAGAGATCGAGAGTTGATTTCGAGTAGTTTCGAGCAGTTCTCTGCCCCTTGTTCACTGTGAGACCTTGAAGCGGACGGAGCCTCAGTTTCCCCTGCTTGTAAAAACCGATGAGAGTTCGGCAGGGGGTGGGGGGTGGGGGTCACCGTTCTTCTGTGGGTCTTACCTGAAGGCTTCCGCGGAGTCCGACGAACTCGGGGCGGGTTCGGTCACGGGTTTCTCAGGGGACCCTGCAAAAGTTCTGGATGAGACAGGCGACCCCTGTTGCCCCCACATCCACCAGGAAGGGGGGCCCTTTGCTTTGTGGTCTAGGGGGGGCAAGCAGGGAGACGCCCATTTTGCTACTGTGAGTCCCGGCGTTCACCAGGCAACCACCGCGTCCCCCTTTCCCACAACAATGGAACCAACGCGAGCCACTGCCGGACGCGGTTACCAAGGTGACGGCCCCCTGGGTTGGGGAGACCAAATGAATTGGTCTGTGGGGAGGGTGAGTGTAGTTCCTCGTCCTGTCCTATAGCAGAGGGACATTTAAGTGACTCCAGAAGGTGACCCCTTTGTGGAATCTATCTGTTATATCGAAGGTAGTCCTCGCGCGTTTGTGGTGCTTCGCGAAGGCTCGTGTAGTGGACCCCGCCGCGCCGGGCACCCCCACTTTCTCGGTGGTAGATTCCGGGGCTGGGCTGCACATGCGCGTGGGGGGCTCGCGGAGAGGCCGGCGGACGCGGTCGCCGCCAGTGACGCAAACCCAGCGCGCGGATTGCGGGCGGTCTGAGCGTTTACTTGGAACCCGGCTTGAGGAACGAGTCAGGTACGTCTCTGAACCCGGCGTCTCCCGAGGGCCCGACCGTAGGATGTCCGGGCGTATCCCAGGGGACCAGGGCCTCCCGGCAGCTGGGGCGGCCCGAGGGCGCCGGGCCGGGCGCTAAGGCCGTCTTCACCCAGGCGGTCGCCGGCCCTCTCGAAGTGCTTCTTTGATTGTAGATCGGGATAGTAATGCCTCCGTTAGGTCGGCTGTGAACGGCGTGCGAGTGAACGTTTGTTCGCTGCGGTCAGGTGAACACATCACCCCGGGGGGCCTTGGCTGGCTCTGAAGTGTGGGGGACGCGGATCTCTCTGAGAATCCGATGAAAGCCGAAGACTAGTCTTCTTGTTAGACTAGAAACATGTATTTTGTGGCTCGGTGCAAAATGTACAGCACTGCACAGTGATGAAGTAATTATTATCACCAGCGCGGAGGAACAGGCTTTATTTTGAAACCCAGTTCCACCACTTTACCACGGTGTGATGGGGACAAGTCACTTAGCTTCTCCAAGCTTCACTTCTCGGATCTGTAGATGGGGACATCCTTGGGTTGCTGTGAGCATCAAATCTCACAGCTATTTATTTATTTACTTATTTATTTATTGTTTGGTACGTGCCCCTAGCGGGAACTGAACCTGGGACTCTCTGGGCTGCAGGCCAGCGCTCCAACCGCTGAGCCAAAGTGGTCAGGCCCTCACAGCTTTTTATAAACACTAAAGCACTTTAACAACCTGTGAGTGGATTACTGATATTTTCCCTGATTACCAATAAAGAAGGCGGAGACCCAGGGAAGGTAAGTGCTGGAGTCCCGCTGGGGGTGAGCAGTGGAGCGGTGGTTGGAACCCAGATGCTCTCCCTTAACTTCCTTTGTGCTGAGCCTTTCTCCCCAGGGAGTTTCACCGGAAAGAAGGCTGCCAAGGGGACCTCTAGATCCACCCTAATATTCCGGGACCCATGGGTCTCAGCCAGAGTTGTTTGTGGATCTGACTTAAAAGGCAGCTAGTGCAGATCCTTCCTTTCCCTCATCTGTTGTATATTGATAATGGTTCTCAGCTGAAAGGTTATGAGAACCAGGTAATTGGTGAAGTGTCCCTGTTAAAACCCGGAGGAATAAAGTAACTTGGCTAAGGTTTAGCAGGCAACTGAGGGGCAGAGCCAGGCCTGGAACTTGCCCTGTTGTGTCCAGGTGATGTGCTTAGGCACAGAGTTATTAGCACAGTTTTGGGCTTTGCAACAACTTGGCATTTTTCCCCCCTCTTCAAATGTCTCCAGATGCTTGAAGAGACAGGGCTGCTTTTTATCTGTTTTTTTGTTTGTTTGTTTTTCCTAAGTAATAGTAAATATATTGTAATAATTCATTAAATATGGAAATTTATTTATTTATTTATTTTTAATTTTTTTTGCTAATCCTCACCTGAGGATATTTTTCCATTGATCTTCTAGATAGAGGGGAAGGAAGGGAGGTAGAGAGAGAAAGAGAAACATCAATGTGAGAGAGACGCATCAATTGGTTGTCTCCCACACAACCCTGACTGAGGCCAGGGATTGAACCTGCAATCCAGATATGTGCCCTTGATCGTGAATCGAACCCGAGTCCCTTTGGTTTGCCGGCCGACACTCCAGTCACAGAGCCAAACTGTCCAGAGCTCCTTTTTTTTTTTCTCTTTTCTTTTTTAAGAGAAAGACAGACAGATATGGATTGGTTGCTTCTCCAACATCCCAACCCACAACCTAGGTATGTGCCCTGACTGGAATAGAACTCAAGACTTTTTGGTGCACGGGACCATGTTCCAACCAACTGAACCACACTGGCCAGGACTGGAAGTATATTTCTTTAACATAATTTAGTATTGTAACATATGAAATTGCCACTGTTTGGCCATTTTTTTAACCTATAAAATGATAATTTCATTGTCAGTCATTCTACTCCCCCTCTAGATTTAACCACTGTGAGCAGTTTGGTGTACCCTTCCAGATCTTTTTCAGTTTTTGTGTTTTTTTTTAATATACACACCTATTTTCTTGCCTTTTAAAAAAAAATCTCATATGGGGTTATAGTATACACTGTGTTCTGCAACTTGATTTCTTTTTTTATCCTCACCAGAGGACATTTTTTGTTCAGATAAAGTGGAAGGGAGAGAGGAAGAGAGAGAGAGAGAAACATCAATGTGAAAGGGACACATCGAGTGGCTGCCACCCACATGACCCTACCAAGGCCAGGGACAAACTGCAACCGAGGTACGTGCCCTTAGCGGGAACCGAACCCGGGTCTCTCTGGACCTCAGACCGATGCTATAACCGCTGAGCCGAATCAGCCAGGGCTGCAACTTGCTTTTTTATTGTTAGAGTGTGTTGGACAGCTTCAGGTCAGTCCATATTACAATTGTCTCATTGTCTTTCCTTGCCATTTAGTATTCCATTAAAAGAATGTGCCACAATGTATTTGACTACACCAGCCATTGATAGCCATTTTGCATTATTTCTTAATTTTTGCTATTATCAACAATAGAGAACACTTGTGTGAACATGTCGAATTCTTTGTGGAGGATACATTTTTAGAAGTAGACTTGCTGGCCAAAAAGTATGCACATTTAAGATTTTGCTAGGTTTTGCCTAATTGAAAAATTATGGCTTCTTAGGTCTCCACCAAGAGAATATTTTTCACCCTCACCAGCATTGGATATTACTATTCATCTCTGAAATTTTGCCAATATGATGGATGGAAATGCTTCTTATGATGCACCCCACAAATTATTAATACAGAGATAATTTGCTATGTACCTGTAGCCAACTGACTGTGGCTGTGGACTTTGGCAAAACTGTCTAACTTTTCTAAGCCCTAGTTTTTTCATATCCAATATTGCTAGGAAAATACCCTTATAGGTTTGCTGTAACAGATTCAAGAAATACAGGAAATGCATCCAGCATTGAGCCCAACCCATAGTGGATATGCAGGAAGTGATACTCCTTAGTTTTTGTTACTGTGCCCTTTTCTTTTTTGAGTCAAAATCTTTCTGGATATTCCTGTTTCATTCTTGTTCTGCCCTCTATATACATAAGATTAATTGCCTTCCCTCTTCCACCCTTTTTTTTTTCTCCAGCAGAAACACTGCCAGGGCCTTCCACTGTGTTTTGGATGATGTGGTAGCACAGCATAAAACTCCCTCAACTTCCTGGTTCCCACTGCTGTCCCGTCCGCCACCAAGCTGGAAGCACCCTGGTTTGTTCAAGCCCTAAAGTAGTGTGCCCAGGCCCAATGCCGTCCCATAGTTGTGGGTCTGCTGCCTTTTCATTACACACACACACCAGTGAAACTCATGAGCGCACACCCCTAAATATCTTTATTTTTATTTATTTATAAATTATATATACACGTACTCTTATTGTATATTGTAAAACTTCCAAAGAAGCTTTTAGACTTTTATCATTAATTTTAGTGATATTAATTTCAACATCACTGAAAACAGTTTTTCTTCATGTTTTCATTGAAAACATGTCTTGCTAATTGTGATGGATTTATACTATGAGGTATCTTTTAATGACAGTTGGTATAAAACCTGATTTCAAATAGTCTTGAAGTTCCCTCTTTTTTTGGCCAACTTCTTGTCAGATACGATTAACTTACTACTGTTTCTATCTCATAATGTGGAGGAAAATCTTATGTCTAGGACTAGGGAAAGGGGGAGTTCTACTTTCTTTTTGCTCCCTTGTGCCTTCATTATTGTTATCATCAATCTAGTTTCTTAGAAGGAATCTTAAGCTACTTGTGTGTTTTGAGTTAAAACTGGGTGATATTTGGGAAGTAATTAACCTTGACCCCTGCCTCACACAATCTATAAAAATCAATTCCAGACGAGTCATAGTCCTAAGTGTGAAAGTTAAACAATAAAATTTCCAGAAATTAGTATATGAAAATATCATGACCTTGGAGTAGGCAGATTTTCTTAAATAGGACACAGAAACACTAATCAATGAAAGAAATTAAAGTTAAGAACTTTTTTAATAAAAAAAGAAACCAATAAGAAAACAAAAAGGCAAGTTCCAGATTGAGATATTTTCAGTATCTTCTGTACATACAACAAAAGACTCATATTCATCGTATATAAAGAACCCTTACAAATTAATATTTAAAAAAAAGACAACCCATGTTCTGGCCAGTTTAGCTCAGTGGTTAGAGTGTCGGCCTGCAGACCAAAGAGTCATGGGTTCAATTCCAGTCAAGGGCACATACCTTGGTTGCAGTTTGGTCTCTGGCCAAGAGTGGGAGGCAACTAATCGATGTATCTCTCATATCGATGTTTCTCTCTCTCTCTTTCTCCCTCCCTCTCCCACTCTATCCAAAGATAAATGGAAAAATATCCTTGGGTGAGGATTTTAAAAATAAAAACAACCCATACCCAGTCGGTGTAGCTCAGTGGGTTGAGCATCATCCAGGGACTGAGAGGTCCGGGTCAGGGCACATGCCTGGGTTTCGGGCTCGATCCCCGGTGTGGGGCATGCAGGAGGCAGCTGATCGATGTATTTCTAAAATCTATGTTTCTCTCTCTCTCTCTCTCTCTCTCTCTCAAAAATCATTAAAAGCGTACTTTAAAAAAACTAAATTAAAAAAGACAACTCAGCCCTGGCCAGTTTGGCTCAGCAGTTAGAGCGTCGGCCTGCGGTCCGGAGATACCCGGGTTCGGTTCCCGCTAAGGGCACGTACTTCGGTTGCAGTTTGTCCCCGGCCCTGGTTGGTCGTGTGGGTGGCAGCCACTCGATGTGTCCCTTCACGTCGATGTTTCTCTCTCTCTCTCCCTCCCACTCTATCTGTACAAAAAATGGAAAAATATCCTCGGGTGAGGATAAAAAAAAAAAAAAAGACAGTAGAATTGAATAAGCATGTCACAAAAAAAGGAAATCCAGATGTCCAGTGAGCATATGAAAAGGTGCCAATTTAATTAATTATTAGGGAAAAGCAAATGATACACAGTGCAATACCACCACATACCTACCAGAATGGATAAAATAAAGATAGGAAATGCTAAATGTTTATAAGGCTTTCTCATAGACTATTGGTAGGAGTATAGGTTGGTACAACCATTTGGCAGTATCTTCTAAAGCTGAATATATGACTCAACAATTCCACCCCTAGGTATAGAACCAGAGAAGTATACTTATGTGTATGGAAATACATGTCTAAAAATTTGTTGTTAATTCTCACCTGAGGATATTTTTTCTAGTAATTTTTAGAGAGAGTAAGAAGGGAGAGTAGGGGGGAGAGAGAGAGAGAGAAAAACATCGATGTGAGAGAGACATATGGATTGGTTGCCTCTCACACATGCCTCACCTGGGCCAGGGATTGCACCTGCAACCTAGGTACATGCCCTTGACTGGGAATTGAACCTGCAACCCTTCGGTATGCAGGCCGATGTTCCAATCACTGGACCATACCAACCAGGGCTTAGCAGCATATTTTTAAAAATTTTACTTTATTGTTGACAGTATTACAGATGTCTCTCATTTTCTCCCTTTTGGCCCCCTGCACCCTACCCCTGCCCTACCCCAGGCCTTCCCCATGCTATTGTCTGTGTCCATGGGTTATGCATATATGCATATATATTCTTTGGTTAATCTCTTCCTGCCCCCCCAACACACTCCTCAAGATCTGTTGTTCTGTTTCATACATCCATAGCTCTGTACCAGTTTTGTTCATCAGTTTAGCAGCACATTTTAATAGACAAAAATTGGAAACAGTTCTAATGTCCACTTTATGTGGTAGAATATTTTACTGCAATGTGAACAAACTATAGCTACATACAACAACATGGATAGATCTCACAAACATGATAACTGAGTTGGGGGGGGTCACAAAAGAGGATATCCTCTGAGTCCATGGTTATAAAGCTGTTGGGCAAGGCTTGTGGGTGATGAAATGTTCTGTATCTGGAGGGTGGCTACACAGTATGTGGGGGAGATATCTTTAGTAAAAACTCATGAAGCCATATTTATGATTTGTATACTTTTCTATACTTATGTAATATATAAATATACGAAAAATTTACCTCTACCTCTTCCCACCTCCTACACCCTAAAAGGGCAGTGTCAGTAAATCTGTGTAACTTGGCCTGTGTGAATTGCAATAGGTTACAACATGCTGAAAACAAATGCGTGGCTGCCGTTGTCAGCTCTGCTATGTTATGGGCCGCCTCCTTCCACTGGACACCTCACCTACCATATAGGACAGGCGACCTTTGACATATAGAGTGAGGGACACTATTGGTTTCAAAGTGAAGTATAAATATAGCTTTATTTCTTTAAAATGGAGTCTGTGCAGCCCTGGCCTGGTGGGTCATTTGGTTGGAATGTTATACCGTGTACCAAAAGGTTGCGGGTTCGATTCCTGGTCAGGGCAGATACCTAGTTGCGGATTAGATCCCTGGTGGGTTATGTATGGGAGGCAACTGATCAATGTTTCTCTTTCTCTCTCCCTCTTTACCTTCCTGTCTCTCTAAAATCAATAAAAACATCCTCAGGTGAGGATTGAAAAAAATGGAGTCTATGCAGAGGGTGTTGCCTAGTGTGATTCTTGCAAGTATATGGGAATAAGTAGAATTGTATTCCTTACTCTAGACACTAAATTTTGTGATGTCAACTTGTGATGAAATTTAAGACAGACAAGTTAGGCACTTGCCTGTGGTTAACATAAACTATAGAATCACACATACTTGTGTTCAAAATCTAGCTCCCCTTGTAGTCGTTCTCAACCTTCCTAATGCTGCGACCCTTTAATACAGTTCCTCATGTTGTGGTGACCTCCAATCATGAAATTATTTTCGTTGCTTCTTCATAACTGTAATTTTGCTATTGTTTTGTCTTAGGCAACCCCAGTGAAAGGGTCGTTCGACCCCCAAAGGCGTCGCGACCCACAAGTTGAGAGCTGCTGCCTTAGAACCTTAGTCTTTCTTTTTTATAAATCCTCACCCAAGGATATTTTTTCATCCATCTTCAGATAGAGTGGGAGGGAGGAAGAAAGGAAGAGAGAGGAACATCGACAAGAAGAGACACATCAATCGGTTGCTTCCTGCCTGACCAGGGCTGAAGACGAACAGCAATGGAGGCTGATGCTCTTGACCCGAATCGAACCCGCCATTCATTGGTCCCCACGTTGATGCTCTGACCGCTGAACCAAACTGGCTAGGGTGGACCCTAATCTTTCTAAACCTTATCTGTCAAATGAGGAAAATGAGGGGAGCTAAACAAAGGGTGGTTGTGAGACTTGAGATACTACATGCAGTCCTGGCCGGTTTGGTTCAGCGGTTAGAGCGTCAGCCCGCGGACCAGAGATACTACATGCAAAGGTTTTTAGCATACTGCCTACCTGGCACATAGTGAGCACTCAACGTGGGAGCCTTTTCCAGGATTGTGAATAACCACATAAGATGTATGTTTTCGTGATTTTAGGACAGTGGCATGAAATCACTGACTCAACTATTTGTACCCCTGACTTGTTCTGACCCCGGCATAGGGAGCATTGACCTTTCCTTCGTCAGGCCAAAGATGCCTCTCTTTGGGAATACGTTCAGTCCAAAGAAGACTCCGCCTCGGAAGTCTGCTTCTCTCTCCAACCTGCATAATGTGAGTGTCAGTACAAGGGTCAGCCCAGTGTGCATGTAACCGGAGTGTCAAGCCTGGTCTCTGATGGAAAGTGGGGTCCTCCAGAGGCATCCAAGTAGGAGGGCATCCTTTTTGTTCCTATTGCTATTGCTAAAATAATTTTTAACTCCTATTTGGGAATTACTGTCAGCTTGTTCAAGAACCTGACAAGACAGTTGATCTCATCATGATTTTTGGCTCCAGATATTACCCAATTTGACTTCACTTTATTCCCAAGACATGGCCAGGAATCTATTTTGGTCACATCTGAGAATCAAATCATTCTGAAAGGATGATGTTTTGCTACCATTAATGGCATCCAGGGGGTGTGTCACCGCTGCAGAGGCAGTGTTCAAGCTCCTTGAGGGCAGAGCTGGTCGAGCTCATCTCTGAATACCCAGTACTAGTCCTGATGCAGGGTGGGTGCTCAGTGAGTTGTAGAAACATCGAAAAATACATTAAAGAACACCTACTACCACTAGTTAGGGCATTAGCATTTTATGCCTTGTCCATGACATATATAGCTCCAGAGAAAGCAGATGATAGCTTAGGGGCTTATGACATTTAAAAAGGATTTTTCACAGTAGATATAAAGTAATTCATTTTACAAATTTTTGGAAAACATCTAGTGTATAAAGTAGTATGTTTCTTATAGTTTAAAATTTTTTGTTGTACCTTAATTTTCTGACTAAAAAACATGAAGTGTGCTGAGTAACTATTAGAGGACAGAAATGAGTTATTGGGGTCCTGTAGTTAGGAGAGGTGCTGGACTAGAGCCTGAGTGCCATGACCTGAAGCTGACACGCAGTGTCTCACCCACAGTTGGATCGATCAACCCGCGAGGTGGAGCTGGGCCTTGACTATGGAACCCCCTCTATGAACCTGGCGGGACAAAGCCTGAAGTTTGAAAATGGCCATTGGGTAACAGGTGGGCTGATTTTCTGCCATATTGTCTAACAAGATTGTGGAAGGAACACCTCTCACCCCCGCTTTATAACTGCTGGTTCTCTCTCCACCAGAGACAGGGATTAGCGGAAGTGTGGACCAGAGGGAGGCTCAGCGCCTCCGGAAACGGAACCAGCAGTTAGAAGAAGAGAATAATCTCTTACAGGTGAAAGTGGACATCCTGCTTGACATGGTAAGGAAGGTGATGGGAAGGGCTGCCTCGGCTTTCCCTCGGAGGGAGGCTCCACCCCAGGTCAGTTCATCCAGCTCATACCTTGTGAATGCCAGTTTGCCCAGGTACATTGCTTTGAATCCAAAGGTACAAAACGAAATCAGACACAGTCCCTACCCTCAAGCACTCACAGTCTAGCGGGGAGATGGGCAGTAAACGTAATGACAGTACCTTGTGGTAGGACAACAGTTAGAGGCTATACAGGGCCTGGTCAGAATGTGATAGAAAGTAGTTCTGTTGAGACAGGAGGATGCCACATAGGAGGGAACATTTGAACTGAATGTAGAACAATAAGGGGAAGGATAGAGGCTAGGATGAAGGTGTTCTAGGAAGGAGGACACTCTAGGCTGCTCATGAATTGGAGATGTCCTGTACCACGCAGGCATTTGTCAATGCCTGGCACAGACCTGCCCAGGAGTGCTCTGCATTGGCATCACTTTTCTGTAGCTGTTAAAAACCAGCAGCCTGCCTGGTTCGTGTGACTCAGTGGATGAGTGTCGAACCATGCACCAAGAGGTTGCTGATTCGATTCCCGGTCAGGGCACATGCCCAGGTTGTGGGCCAAATCCCCAATGGGGGTGGGGGGGCATGCAGGAGGCGGCCATTTGATGTTTTCTCTCATTGATGTTTCTCTCTCTCTCTCTCCGTCTCCCTTCCTTTTTCTTTAAAATCAATAAAGGAAAAAATAAAATAAATAAAAATAAAAACCCAGCAGCCTGTTGGGGCTAGAGATACATGTGAAGGTTGATTGAGTGGCAGGAGAGCATACACTGGAGTCGTTAAGAGCATGCGTTCTGGAGCTAAACTTCCTAGTTCCTTGCCCACCTTCCACACTGGTTGTGTCTTTAGGCAAGTTACTTACCTGATCTGTCTGAAAAACTTAGTGTCTTCAGCAATAAAATAGACATGATAGTGGGATTCACCTTGTAGTGAGTTAATAATACAAGTAAAGCAGTCAGAAGACTGGATTGCTTGGGAAGTATAGCTCTTATTTCATAGTAAGCTGACCTCTACTTTAGAGAGTTTATCTCTCTCTGTCCCTGTCGTGAATATAAGTCTATTGAAGGATTCTGATGAGGAACGTGACATTCTTTTTTAAGCATTTTCCCCCTCCACATCATTATGAGAGCTACAGCTCAGAAACAAGTAATCCTTTAGCTTAGAATTACCAATAGCTGCCATTTTCTGTCTTTTTTTTTTCAAATTATAAGAACAAGTTTATTTAGAAAGTTACAGAGGTAGTAGAAGTGAGCTGGCTGGGCTACATAGGCTCAGGAAACAAGTTACAGAAGCAAAACAAGGGCCCTTGGAGCTTAGGAGAGGGAAAGGCAAAGTTAAGGCACCTGGGGGGAGGCAGAGGGGGTTGGGAAAGGGAAGGGGCATACTCCCAGCCTTTCTCATCCCCTGAGGCCTGCCGTCCTTAATGCAGTGAGTGCCTTGCAATCATAAATGATCAAAAACATTGATAGAGTGGCCCTGGCCGGTTTGGCTCAGCGGTTAGAGCGTCCGCCTGCGGTCCGGAGAGACCCGGGTTCGGTTCCCGCTAAGGGCACGTACCTCGGTTGCAGTTTGTCCCTGGCCCTGGTTGGTTGTGCGAGTGGCAGCCACTCGATGTGTCCCTTTCACATCGATGTTTCCCTCTCTCTCTCTTCCTCTCTCTCCCTCCCACTCTGTCTGTACAAAAAATTAAAAAAAATGTCCTCGGATGAGGATAAAAATAAAAGTTAGCAGTTGAATAAATTTTTAAAAAACAAAACAAAACAAAAAAAAAAACATTGATAGAGTGAATTGTGAATGTTGTTCAGGTACTTGAGGCAGTTAACATTCTGCCCAGTTACAAAGGGGTTCTGTCATGGAGGCCGCCAGGCAGTGGTAGAGAAATGCCAGGGGCCTTTCCCCAGCACAGGGCTGGCCTGGCAAACCTGAAACACAGCCAAAAAATGTCCTCCTTTCTAACGTTCTGCTGCTTTACTTTCAGTTCTCTGAGACCACGGCTGAATTCCAAATAATGAAGAAGGAATTGGATGAACTGAAGAGTGTCAACCGGAGAAGGAAATGAAGATCCAAAGACATTCATTAGAATAGGGAGAACTCTGCTGTTCAGAGGAGTAGAATATAGCTGAGGGTTTTTTGTTTTTAGCCAAACTAGTGGATTAGGTCCTGGGAGAGAGTACCATATAATTGAGCCAGAAGGCACTGGCACCCTTGAGTTGGCAATAGAAAGGTGATGACACAATGGAGGAAAACAGGGTTCCAGGCCAGGGCAGTAAATAGCAAGAACTCTGGCTGCACAGTTCAGGGAGGCCAGTCTGCACTAGGCCTCGGGGAGGTCTGGAGCGATGGTAGGACTTTGAGTGCTCTCCAGTCACTTAACATACAAATGCACCTGTCCCAGGTTCACTCTCATGGATGGACACTCTTGGGAGAAGCAGCTGGAGTTCATCATAGCGTCCCCTTACATTGATGTTTGGGGTGTGGCTGCAGTTCCAAGGAGCCCTGGATCAGGGAGTCTCAGGAGCAGCAATCCTGGTCCTCTGCCCTTCTGGCCACTCTCTTCGTCCTGTTAAGAGTACCCATTCCCAAGATCCACAACCTCTGGCTTCAGCTTCTCAGCAGCAAGCATCAGTCTTCCATGCAACACTATATTTTTGTGCTACTTTCTTGTTTATACTACTATTTAAAATTAAATGATGTTATATCATCTACGTAGCCAGAGTGAAAAAAGAAGCATCAGTTCTTGAAGGAATAAGTGGAGCCTGGAGTCTAAGCTTCTGTTGCCCCATCCAAAGACAGCATTTTTAAGTTGGGAGGAAATGTCATCATTGCAGGAAAAGCACTCCAGCTCATGGAGCACTGGCGGAGGCTGCCCTGGGACAGCTCTGTGCCCGATTCCCCTGCTCTCCTCCAGGGAGTTGGGACCAGCCTGGATCTGGCAGGGACCAAGTGGTTGGGGTGGGTGCTGGATTCCTAGAGTGGGAATTTGTGCCAGAGCCAGTGACCTGAACTGTTCTGATGGGGAGGAAGCCAGTCAGTAAGAGGGAATCCAGCTCCCAAAGTCAATGGGGAGGGCACTGAAGGTGGGGACATCGAGCCCAAGGCTTTTGTCCAGGGAGAACTACCATGGTCAGCAGTTACATGCCTGGGAACAGGGCTCCGGTCCTTGCACACATTCTCATTTCCTCCTCAGGTCAGCCCTGTGGAGCAGGGACTATCATACCTATTTGCAGACAAGGAACAAAACTCGGAGGTTCAGAAACTGGTGTAGTGTCAGAGAGTGGAAGTGGAGGATCCAGCGGACTCGGCGGTCCATGAAAGGAGCTAGGTGGGGGACCGCCTCAGACGGAGGCTGCTGTTTGTAGTTCATCCTTACGGATAGATGTGGGATGGGTAGCTCCAGCCCATACCCTTACTTTCTGAGGAGAGAGAACAACATGGAAGAAATTGGAGAAGGATACAGATATACACAGGGCGTAAATTTCCAGGTGCAGGCAACAGGATCAATGGAGTTTGCTTATTCCTAGACCACTATCATTAGCAAACATTTATTGAGTACACTTGATGCCAGGAACCTATTTCTGATTCTCTCGAGAATTCTTAAACCTTATTCTGCTTTTTTTACTTTTTAATTCTCACCCAAGGATATTTTTCTATTTATCTTTAGATAGAGTGGGAGAGAGAAACATCAACACGAGATGGACACATCTGCTGGTTGCCTCCTGCATGACCCTGGCCAGGGCCAGGATCAAACTGCAACCGAGGTACATGCCCTTGACCAGAATTGAAACAGACTCATTGGTCCACGGGCTGATGCTCTGACCACCGAGCCAAACGGGCCAGAGCTATTATCCTGCTTTTAGGTGAAAACTAGCCCAGCCAGGTGACAGCTTGGGGGGATAGAACTAAAACCTTGGGAATCATGAGGGGCAGGTTTGGTTGTCATAATGATGGGCCCACTGCTTACCACAACTGGCATCTGAAAGGGCTGGAGTCAGTATGTGGGAAAGCTCTAAAGTGGAGAAGGATTTTTGAATTTTTCTAAAACTTCACTTTATCCTGGCTGGTGTGGCTCAGTGGTTGAGCATCGGCCCACGCACCAAGAGGTTGCCGGATCGATTTCCGGTCAGGGCACATGCCCAGGTTGTAGGTCAAATCCCCAGTGAGAGGGCATGCAGGAGGCGACCAATCGATGTGTTTTCCCCTCCCCCTTTCTCAAATCAATAAAGAAAAAAATTAAAACTTCACTTGAGCATTGTGACTTTCTACTTGAAGTCATTGATGTCTGTACATAGGATTGCCTTCACTATGTTGGTCTTCCATCATTTCTTAAAAGAGCCGGTAAAAGAATCAAAAGCCATTGGCACCAGGCTATTAAGCTGCCCTTACATTGATATAGAGCTAGCCTACTTAAAAAAATAAGAAGTTTAACAGGCAAGCCCTGGCCAGTTGCTCAGTGGTTAGAGCATCGGCTCGTGGACCAGAGTCCCGGGTTTGGTTCCCACTAAGGTTACTACCTCGGTTGTGGTTCATCCCCAGCCCCGGTTGGGGTTGTGTGGTGGCAACCAGTCGATTTGTCTTTCTCACATCAGTGTTTCTCTCTTCCTCCCTTTCTCCTTCCAGCTCTATCTGAAGATAAATGCAAAAAAGTGTCCTCTGGTGAGGATTAAAAAAAAAAAAGGTTAACACGCAAAAACAATTCATAAGTGTACAGCTTGATGAATTATTTGAAAACACCCATGTAAACACCACCCAGGTCAAGAAATAGAACTTCACCAGCAGCACCCCAAAAGTCACTCTCTTGCCCCTTTCCAAGTATTAATCCCCTTCTCCTCAAAGGGAATTACTATTCTCACCATTGATTGGTTTTGAACTTTATATAACAGAACCCTACAGTGACATTGAAAAATTTTTGTAGTCAGAGTTGCCCTGTCTATAGATGAACAAAATTGAGGGCGGTATCTGGAGGAAGTGCAAGCCCCACCTACCCTAGAATGTGTACACAGGACAAAGCCTTGCTGCATCGTGCATCAGATAAGGATTTGGACCATCCAATCTTGAGATTCTCTGATTCTATGGTCAGGTGGCTAACGATGTATATCAAATTACCCTTGTATTAAATAACTTGGCACATTATAAAAAGAATTTTCATCTATTGTTTAGACAAAACATGGATACCTACTTTGGGGGAGGGTGTGAGGAAAAGGACACTTCATTCACTACTGTGAAAGTATATGATATAATTTGAAGTGCAATGAGCTAGTGCCAATAAAATTTTAAATGTTCACACTTTTTTGGCAGTAAATCCACTTCCAGAAATCAACCCCGTACTGTGCCTCAATTTCTTCATTTCTAAGATAGGGATAATAGTACCTCAATACACACACAAACAATGGCTGGTACTTGTGTTAACTCTTGCCTTTGTTTTAGTACATTGGATCTGTTTACTTGCTGTTTCTCAAAAGACCAATAAACCTTCAAATCTCTAATTTACTCCTACCAAACAACACACCACTCAGGTAAATGAAACTGGATCAGTGTTTCTGTAAAGGCGATCCCTGGGAGGTTTGTTAAATGCAGGTTTCTGGGCCCACGTGAAACCCTCTGAACGGAACTGCTGCGGAAACACCTCGACTCTGGACTTGAGCAAGTTGCCCCGGTGTTAATTTCCACGGAAATCTCGGCCGCCTGCCGACTCGGCTGAAGGCGGCTGACGACCGCCGGCCAGAGAGCGTCGCTCTCCCCCACCCGCGGGACTCCGGCTCCCGGAAGGGCAGCTCTATCCTCGCTCCGCGCTTCCACTCGCCTCCTCTCCTCCGGTTCCGGTGTTCCCCCCGCCCCCATACAGCCATGGCTGCCGCCGCCGTCGCCGCGGGCCCTGGTGCCCCCCTACCCCCGGACGAATTGCTTCCGAAAGGCGATGCGGAGAAGACTGAGGAGGAGCTGGAAGAGGACGATGACGACGAGGTACTGGGGCCCCGCGGGGTGAGGCAGGGACCTGGGTTCCGAACAGGAGCGTCCCGCCCGGGGGTGTGGGCTCCGCGTGCTGCGGGACCCGGGCAGAGGCGCGTCGTGGATCCTGGAGAGGTCGGAGCAGAGGCGTTTTCTACGGGAGGCGGAGTTTGGGGCCCCGCTGGGCCCAGGGGGGTTCGGCGTGCCCCGGTGTCGGGGGGAGGTTACCGCTGCTTCGGCCAAGACCCGGGCCTCCTCCACCACAGCTAGATGAGACCCTGTCGGAGAGACTCTGGGGTCTGACGGAGATGTTTCCGGAGAGGATCCGCTCCGCGGCCGGAGCCACTTTTGATCTCTCCCTCTTTGTGGCTCAAAAAATGTACAGGTAAGGGACAAGGGCAAAGACGTTGGGGTGTCCTGGGAACTCATGAACGAACACGGGCTTTGGAAGTAACATACCTGGGTTGGAAGCCAGCCTGCCACCTAGATGATTGAATGACCTTGGACTCCTGGTACCTTGCCTTTCTTACTCTCAATTTCCTTTTCTGTAAGTGGGGATTCTGTCAGGCAGAGTCCTTAGTATCATTTCAGATTACGTGAGATTATTAACGTATTAGTATCTTTGTTAGAACTCAATAGAATGTTAAGATTGCTATCTCTAGATACACAGCTACCAGAACTGCTCCTCTTGTTTCTGGTAGGAGTATGGTGCAGAGTTGGCTGGAAGAGTTTATCAAAAACAGTGGCATTGGGCCCTGGCAGGTTTGGCTCAGCGGTTAGAGCATCACTCGAGGACTGAAAGGTTGTGGGTTCAATTCCCCATCAAAGGCATGTACCTGGGTTGCCGGTTCGATCCCTGGCCCGAATCAGCCTAATGAGGGAGGCAGCAAACCAATGTGTTTCATCCATGTTTTGCTCCCTCCCTCCTTCCCTTCCACTCCAAAAAAAAAAAATCTAAGGGAAAAATATCCTTAGGTGAGGATTAAAAAAAAAAAAACGCAAAACAAAAAATAACATTGGCATAGGTAGCATGAGTAATTTGGTTCCTTCTGGGTGCAGCTGTCTGGTTTTGCCTCACCATTGTGCTCACAATCCCTCTGCAGGTTTTCCAGAGCAGCCTTGTGGATTGGGACGACTTCCTTCATGATCCTGGTTCTTCCTGTTGTCTTTGAGACAGAGAAGCTGCAAATGGAGCAGCAGCAGCAACTGCAGCAGCGGCAGGTGAGCTCACACCCTGGGCTTTTGCCAGTGTTGGAGACTCAACTTGGTTATTTCTCCAGTACCTGGGAGACCAGGAATGTGTGAGTAGAGATTAGGATCTGGCCCATGTTCTTTTAGGTACTCAATTGTGCTATCAGCATTGTTTTTGTAGAACTTGTTTGTCCCCTATCAGGTAGGATGAAAAAAGGAGATCCCTGGATTTGTATAATGCCTTACATCCTTTCTTTTCTGTTCCAGATACTTCTAGGGCCGAACACAGGGCTGTCAGGAGGAATGCCAGGGGCTCTACCTTCACTTCCTGGAAAGATCTAGATTGTTACTGCTATGTTTGACTTGTCTTGGTGGGAGGAGTTTGAAAATTCCAAGTGTTTGAACTGCCTTTTTTTTTTTTTAACTTTGGCACATCAACCTATCTTAACTTGGTTGGGAGAATTTCCCCTCTCATTGTCTCATGGAGAGACTCCCAACTTGCAACAATGCCCTCCAAGCTATCCTGACTTAACTTCTGTCCTCACTCTGATGAGTGCAACAGTGCAGATGGTTTCTCCAACTCTGGCCATCCGCCTTTCACCAAATTACTCCTGACTAGAAGATCTCCTCAGTAACTCATTGTGGAGTAGGAACTGATGCCATTGAGGATGATGTACCCGACCATTGTTTTGACGTGCACACTATATGAAATACAAAATGCATTACAGCTATAGTGTAAAAGCAGCCACTGTGAATTTCTATGTATGTTGGAAAAGAGGGAGGGCTGGCAGCAGCTTCAACCACAGGATGGGGACTGGAGGGCAGAGCAGGAGCTCAGTTCCTCTGCACATTTTGGCTGTTAGACCCGTGTGAGTGTGTGTCTAAATGAGAAAAAAAAAAAAGTCAGTGCTCACTTTTGTATTTAAATATTAAAACAATTCCAACCCAAGGTGTCATGCATGTGCTTCTGTTACATGCACCTCGAGATTACTTAGACCATTTTATAAGGGCAAAGACTAGAACTGCTCCAAAGAACAGTATCTCTCTGAAAGATGACTTGTGGTATTAGCGAATTTCTTCTAAAGTGGCATCATTCTCAAGTTTACCTTTTTTCCTTTCTGTAAATAATTACAGAATTCAGACAGATTTATGTACAGAGTTTTCCATTTTTAATATTTGGTTAAACAAAATACATCTTTTGTAAACAAACCCAGCACAAGGCCAACAGAAACCAGGGGGGGGGGGGTTGAATAAAAGCAAGGAAAACAAAAAGCCTAGGGTTGCCCCTTTACTGGGCATCAGGGTCAGGCCTGCCCCCTTAAAGGAAATGGGGCTTTTTGCCCTTGGGCATCAGCATGGGTCCCTGTTCCTAAGCACCAAAATTGGATATGAACAGAGAATCCAGCCCTGAAATGTTTAAGTGTCTTTGCATATTCCATTGGCTCATGGACTCCAAGTACATGGGGACTCCTTTGAAGTGCCATTTGCACAGGCCGAAGCAGATTGGAGAGGAGTTTCCTCCTCTTCCCAGGAAATGGCTTACTATCTATCACTGACAGTGCCAATGGACCCAAGGTCCTGCTTTTGACAATCAGCAAGGTTGGCTGTAACTTCTGGCTGGTGGTGGTTGGAATGTCATTGTGCAGGGGTAAAGAGCTGTCTGTGGTGCCAAGCAGGTCTGATGTAGAAAATGGTGCAAAAGAGATTGTAGTCAATTGCTCAGACGGTGTACTGCAGTAGTTGCTTGGTGGCCTCTTTACTCAGCATAAAAAAATGGCCTTGTTGGATTGAAGATCAATGTGCAGAAAAAGTGCTGGTGTAAACATGCACTCCAGTCACAGTGGGGAGGAGAAAGCCTCAGCTTCACCCCATTCAACCTGCTCAAGTTTGACATGCAAGCCCCTGGCTGGCTTTGCTGCTGGAGATAACTCTGTGGCCAGTGGAGCAGCTCTCAGGCCTGCCAAGACGTTGATCCCTGTCTGCCCATCTGCCTTGAGGCAATTACAACCACTTTGGTGACACGCAGTGTGTCATGCAATGTGGTATGACACGTACTCCACCCCCCCCTCGTTTTCCAAAGTTACAGGAGAAAAGTGGCCTACAACTATTTGAAGAGGTAGGGGGCAGGTCAATTCTCAGTTGACTTGTAAAGGAAACTACAGAAAGATGACAGACCCAGGTCCTGTAACATAATACACATAACCACCCAACCTGGCTCTGCTGTCACTCTAGTGACTCCGAGCCTTGGACTTGACCCCAGCTGTTCTCTTCGAGCTTGCCTCACTCAACTGTCTTAAACTAGAGGAATCTGATATTGAAGACAGGCTTATTTTTTTCCTGATTTTTGCTGGAGTGGGTCAACTGGGAAAACTGCCCTTTTGCTTATCTTGTGCCCCTGAGCCTCCTAAATTAATGTAATGAAGTGGCAGGGACAATGCTGGAGTGAGGCAGACAGGTTGCCCATGTCTGCCTGGCTTTGGCCATGTCCTCTTAGGTATTTAGCTTACCCTGTCACGCTAGGATGTAGGATTCAACCACTTGGTGTGAAATATTAGTGAACTTTCCATTATAAAACTTCAAGAATGGCCATAAACCACCATTAAGAATAGGGTAAAGGGTGGCATTGAGGGTTGGAGAAGGCATGCTGTAGTGCTGTTGGGATTTTCAAAATGATTTCCTGAGAGGCCCTTTTGCTCTGGGCCCTTCAAACCAGTCACACGGACTTTGCATGCACTGTGTCTTTAGACCCACTAGTTGCCAGGAAAGGGGAAATGGAGGCAGCATCTCCAGGTAAGTCAGAGCAGCAGTGAACTCCAGCAGAGCCTCTGTCAAGTCCTCAGAGGAAAGGGGAAAATAAGCTAGGACCCACCTTTCTTTCCCTCTTCAAATAAAACAAGGGTCTTCCATTGCCTGCCCTAAGAACAGAGCTCCTACCTTCCTTTCCCAGGAATGAGTAACGCTGGTTGGTTCTTGTAACATTTCACACGTCTGGCCTATTGCACACTGTCAAATCTGAGGGGGAAAACCCGATGAGATGTTTGGGAAAGTGGCAAGGGAAGACCCACTGTATAAGCCACAGCACATCACGGAGGATTTAGGGGGTGGAGGTGAGGGGAGGTTGGGCAGAACTGTTAGACATCAGCCCTCCAACTCTGATGGGCCTCCACCTCTTCTGGTACCACCAGCAGGAGTTCACAGTTCTTTCCTCGCAAATGATGTTTTAGAAATTTCCTATGGGTGGAAAATAGATGAAAGAGGAAATGAAATGCTGTTAAAACTGCAAATTCCAGTCTTGGGGCCACATGTTCACCAGTAACCTCATTATTTATATCCTTAGCAATCCTTAAAACACTCCCATAGTGATCTGTTCTTGGAGGGTTCCACCTTTGGTTACCCCTCAACCTGTCCAGTTAGATTTCCAATCTGAATTTTTGCTCCTCATATTGTCAAAAGTACCTAGGTCTGCTCTGGCTGGTTTGGCTTAATGGTTAGAGTGTCGGCCTGAGGACCAAAAGGTCTCAGGTTTGATTCCTGCTTAAGGGCACGTACCTGGGTTGCAGGTTCGATCCCAAGCCCTGGTCAGGATTGTGCAGGAGGCAACCAATCAATGTGTCTCTCTTACATGATGTTTCTCTCTCTCTCTCTCTCTCTCCACCTCCCTCCCTTCCACTCCATCTTAAAAAAAAAAAAAAAAAAAAAAAAAAAATCAATGGAAAAATAGCCTCAGGTGAAGATTTAAAAAGAAAGAAAAAAAAAAACAAAACTAGTTCTGTGACAAATAGAGCCAGCCCAAAGTATCTAAAGTAAAGGGCTTCTAATTGTATAAAAAAAAAGTTTCTTTGGTCCCAGGGAAGTTTAGTCCTCTCTGCCCTGAATGTCTTCCTTTCTCTGGGCTGGCAGCTATGCTGTCACAGTTGTCAAAGCATAGGTAACATTACAATGCCAGTCCCACCAGATCAGCAGGCCAGTTCCCAGGTGCGGGAACTTCATGTGCCAGCAAAGGTTCAGGTCTTTCAAATCTGAGACCCTGTGATTTTTTTTTTTTTTTTTTACATTTATTTTTTTAATTTATTTACTTTTTTTATCCTCACCCGAGGACATTTTTCCATTTCTTATTCAGATAGAGCGGGAAGGAGAGAGAGGAAGAGAGAGAGAGAAACATCGATGTGAAAGGGACACATCGAGTGGCCGCCACCCACACGACCCAACCAGGGCCGGGGACAAACTGCAGCCAAGGTACATGCCCTTAGCGGGAACCAAACCCGGGTCTCTCTGGACCGCAGGCTGACGCTCTAACCGCTGAGCCAAACCGGCCAGGGCAGACCCTATGATTTTAAGTAAAGCACAGAGAGGTCCAAGGAGCTGGGAATTTCATTTCCTTTGTCAAATAATCAGAGAGGAGCTCGAAGGAGCCCACCCAGCACAGCAGCCACCACAAGCACCTGAGCTCGCTCTCGCCTCCAATCCACTCGGGCATCTTCAGTTTGGAGTCAAGGTTGTAGTAGGCACCGCCCACCTCTCGAACACAGATCCAGTGCTGCCTTTTGAGAGGCAACTTCAGTGGACCCCAGCATAGACTGGAGGGTAGATTCATGATGAAGCCCATGACATTAGTGAGAGCAATGGCACTGACATCCCTGCAGAAGAGAAACAGTGTCAGGTTCCCTGGCTGTCACACCACGACTGACCACCCACTTCCCCACTCATACCTCGAGTACCAGTTCTCATCAGGTCAAGCCTGGTTCAGATTACCTGCGCTTGTCCCACCAAACAGCTTCATAGCCTTTGGTCTGAAGTGCTGCCATAATGACATTCACATCGTAGTTCCCATTTCCCAGCATGCTCTTCTTGTGGGGGGTCACCATGGTGTTCGGAGACAACCTACAGGTGTGAAAGGAGGGCTGAGACATGTTGATCTGCCTAACATCTCCTGAGCCCGCATTACCAGAGACAGAAGAGCACTTCGGGCCATTGTTCCCCCAAAGCTTGTTTACCCCATTCAAGTAAACTAACAAGCTTTCAACAAAGTATTTTGTAGTCTGGACTCTTACTATCCAGGGATTAGTTCTTTTTATGCAAAATAATTATTCAGTAGTGATGGGACCCATTTGCCTGTCATTTAGAAAGTGTCTACAGTGAAATCAATGAACACAAAGTATTCCATGAAGTAGTGTTGTTTATGAAATCCCCAGCCTACCCATTTCTGCTGTCTCTTTCCTTGATTTTTCTGCCCTGAAACAAGCCTTTTTCATTTATATGGGTAGTACTTGTTACTCTTGTTTTTTTTACAATTTAAATGCTTTCCATTTAAGGCTTGCACACTTGATAATCATTAAACTCTCAAAGACTACAGGGGCTGAACAGGGAACATAAATGTATGAATTGGGGCCAGATTGGTGGCCCATTGGGTGTGGCTCAGTGGATTGAGCATCATCAGGGTGTACCTAAAGGTCGCTGGTTCAATTCCCCGGGGTCAGGGCACATGCCCGGTTGTGGGCTCAACCCCTAGTAGAGAGGGTGCAGGAAGCGCTCTTTCTTTCTTTCTCCCGTTGATATTTCTCTCTGTCCCTCTCCCTTTCTCTCTCTAAAATCAATAAAAATTATTTTTTTAAAAAGTAGTAAAGCCTGTATTAAACTGGAATGCATGACTCATGCATGTAAAGCATTCCAAATATACCTGTGTATGTGTTCTTTTTTAAACACAAAGAATCACCCTGGCCGGTTTGGCTCAGTGGTTAGAGCGTCAGCCTGTGGTCCAGAGAGACAGGGGTTTGGTTCCTACTAAGGGCATGTACCTTGGTTGCAGTTTGTCCCCGGCCCTGGTTGTGTCACGTGGGTGGCAGCCACTCGATGTGTCCCTTTCACATAGATGTTTCTCTCTCTCTCTCTCTCTCTCTCCCTCCCTCCCACTCTATCTGAACAAAAAAAATGAAAAAATGTCTTCCGGTGAGGATTAAAAAAAAAAAAAACCGCCCTGGCCGGTTTGGCTCAGCAGTTAGAGCGTCGGCCTGCGGTCCTGAGAGACCCGGGTTCGGTTCCCGCTAAGGGCGCGTACCTTGGTTGCAGTTTGTCCCCGGCCCTGGTCGGTTGTGCGGGTGGCAGCCACTCGATGTGTTCCTTTCACATCGATGTTTCTCTCTCTCTCTCTGTTCCTCTCTCTCCCTCCCACTCTACCTGAACAAAAAATGGAAAAATGTCCTTGGGTGAGGAAAAAAAAAAAAAAAACCCACAAAGAATCAATTGAAAAAATTTTTGTGCCAGAAAAACAAAAGTCAGTTGCAGTCTGGTTTGCTCACCTAGCTTAAAGCCATTTTTGGCCAGGCCTCTTAGCCTAGCCACTGCTTCATCTCAAGGCAAAGTCAGTTCTGAAGGCATTTCCAATCCTATTATTTCATAGGCTTGTCAGGCCAGGACCTGAGGAAAGGCCATCTTGATGGAAAGGGCAGCATGTGTGGAGGAAGGGAAGTGTGGAACAGAAGTGGAGATGTCCAGGAGGCTGCTAAATGCCATCTCAAGAAAAGAATTAAGACTTTCGGTCAATTCTAAAAACTTAAGAAATCTTATAAAAAAAACAAAACTTCTTTATACACAGTTAACATATAATTTTTCAACATAAAACATACCCCTGCCATTGCTTAAACCTGCTAATGGCTCCCAAAACACTTAAATACAATCTACATTTCCTCTGGCCTGCAAGGCCTTCGGGATCCTGCTGACCTCATCACACTTACCACACAGACTTTCTCTGCTACTTGAACACACACGCTTCCTCACTGAGGGCCTTTGTACTCCCCAACGGCTGCCATTGTCTGGAATACTCTTCTGCTAGAATGGATTGTCATTTGATATGTTCCTTATTATTTGGGTCTCAAGTATAATTGCCTTAGAGGCTTTTTCTGACCATCCAACTTTAGGTTTCTCCCAGTCATTTCCTCTTACATCCACCTACTTTAACTTAATTACAGCCCTTGTACCACTGGACACATCTCATTTGTCTGTTTTCCCACACTAGAATGACAGCAGGGGCCTTCTCCATCCTGTGAATGCTACATCACCAGGGCCCAAGGAGTGCCTGGCACATGATTAAGTACTTAAGGGGTGTTGCTGAAATGTTCTCTATTTATTTTATTATCCTATCTCTTTGCCTGAAAATAGCAGTGGACCCTTAAAATGAGAAGAGTTTATGTGCTTGTCTCCAGAGCCAGCAGAGGGTATCTGAAGACACTAATTTCCACTTTGCAACCAAAATTTGTTTTCTCTAACGGTAACTACCATTTATTGGAAACATCTGTGCCAAGCCCATTTCATGCTTTCATATGTACCTAATTTAATCCTCACAATAAGCCTATGAAACTATGAACTATTTCCATTTTATAGGTTTAAAAAACTGAAGTTTGGCCCTGGCCGATTTTGCTTAGTGGTTAGAGTGTCGGCCTGCAGTCCAGAGACCTGGGTTCGGTTCCCGCTAAGGGCATGTACCTCGGTTGCAGTTTGTTCCCGGCCCTGGTTGGGTTGTGCAGGTGGCAGGGGGCCGATGTGTCCCTTTCCCGTCTGTTTCTCTCTCTTCCTCTCTCTCCCTCCGGCTCTATCTGAACAAAAAATGAAAAAATGTCCTCGGGGTGAAGATAAAACAAAACAAAACAAAAAACCCTGAAGTTTGAATGACTTGTCTCTGATCACTTATCTTTCAAGTGATAGAACTAGGATTCAAACTCACATTTGTTGGAATCCAATGTTGTGCCAGCCTTATAGCAAGGACCCAATATGAGTGGTGGAGGCAGCAGTTGATAAGAGGCAAGGCCAGCTGAGTCCTAGGGCCTGGGCTTGAAATGTAGCTTAAGAGGACAAAGGCTCTCCAGTGGATCCTTGGGCACTTGGAATAAATGCGAAAGCACGTGAAAGAAAGCCCAGCTCAAGACGTATCCAGTTCCTTTCCCTTCACCAGTTTTTTAATAGATTCTCATTACTTTCAGTGAAGTCTCTAGCCAGTAGATGCATGAAGGCTCCAATAAAGAAATTGCTGAGTCTTCCTCCTCTTTCACCTAAGTCCTTACCAGGCTCAAACCTTAGAGCCACGCTTTCCCAAGTGCTGTTCCCAGAAGATCAAAGGAAACATTCAATACAGTGGCTGAATGAATCAAGGAAACAAGTTTCCTGCAAGAATTCTTGGAACCTCTAACATGCTAATATTCACCTTGAGTTTTGAAGACACGGGGTTTATCTTTCAGTTTGACAATGCAAACTGTTTTTGGAGGTGCACTCTACAGGACTAGTGTTCTACCCAGGACTTCTGTCCTACATCTTCTCAGATGTAAATCCTTTCCCGTCTGCTCTCCCTCTCTTGCCTAACTGAAGGCTCCTCACCCCACACGTGGACTTTAAACAGGTTCCTAAACTGATCTCCTTGCTTTCAAACTCTCCTTCCTCCCATTCACCTATATGTTCCTGCCATATTCACCAAGGCATCATTTCGCTCTTATATAAGAATTGCCAATAGAGCCAACTGCCTGGTTGGCCAACTCCAACCCTCCGAACCCTACTTGGCTTGCTGTTTCCCTCTCATTGGGCTTAGTGTACATCAAGCACCATGACCATGTGGCCTCTATTCTTCCATCCTACTTTCTGTTCCAACTCAAATCCTAAAGCTTCTTTAGGCCCAAACTCACATACCGCCTCCTCCATGGAATCTTTTCTGGCTCCTTTGTAATAGAAAAGGGAGGGAGATTGGAAGGACCACACATGTCTGAGTTCACTTCCATGCAGCATCAGTGCTAACTGTGAGATTTAATCTCCATGCCCATTAGCTTATCTGTAAAAATGGGAATGCCTTACAGGATCATTGAAGAATGCAGTTATTTTATACATGTCCAAACAAACAGTAAATTCCTGAAGGAAAGGAAATGGTTCTTCTATTCTGTATCCCTCACAAGAAGGCACTAGCAACTGAGTAAACATGTGTTGACCAGACCAGTCAATACAGGAATGCTAAGAATGGCTTCCATCTCATTGCAAGAGTGGTCATTTGAACAAGTGAGGTCCATCCAGTGTACCTATGACACTAGCACTTGCTTTTATGTTAACAATAATGAAGTGCCCACTGTGATAGCTACTTTTACAAGCTTTATTACTTAATCCTTCCAACAATCTTGAGAGAGCTATAGTGTAAATATGAAAACTAGGTACAAAGAGGTTAGAGTGACTTGCCCAGTCATCTACAGCTAGTGAGCTGCATAGTTAGGATTCAACCTCCTAACTCTGAACAGAGCTAAGGCTACACTGAATAGTCTGGATATTTCATTACACTGGTCCCAATGAATTCCATAGGATCCTATTTTGTTCCAATGGACTGTTTTTTCTTTCTTTGAGAAACAAAAGCCAAGTTTTTTGTTCATTTCTTGCATTTGAAGTACTCCTTGATGACATCCTTTGCCTGAGATTCTTTGCCATAGTCTTTAATCACCACACAATTGTAACCAACTACTTTACGGGGTTTTCCCTCTTAGAGAGGCCTACTCATTCCCCTAGTTTCTGGTTGTCCTCAACCTCAATTAGGTTGATTGGTGTTCCACACAAAGGGCCTCCACCAACTTGACAAATACACAGGCTCATCACAGTTGGATGCAAGCACACAAAGGTGGGCTTGGCGCTGGTCTAAGGCTTTGGCAACTTTGCAAATTGCATGCACTAGGCCATCCAGGATGAGGGCAGTCTTCAGCACCTCTTGTAAAACAGTATTAACATCTATCACACCTCCAGCAGCAATGCCTTCCTTGGCCATGGCGGTGGGTTATGGGTAGAACTAAATCTTGAATGTACCCAAGCCTCCGCCTCCGCGCAACTCCGGAGAGGCAGGGAAACAGCTGGGTTGTTTTCTTGAGATTCCTTGGCAAACTCCTATTCAGGACTGACTCTCATGATTTCATTAGAAATTCTGAACCACAAAGCAGGTTTCTCACTGTTGTCACAGCCAGAGGTTACAGCCATGAGATTTGAAGTGATCTATAAGCGAGAAGATAGGCTCTAGTCCAGGTCTCACACCTCAGTCAAGTTCCAGGTTCTCTCATGATTACCACTGTGCCTAGCTATGCTGATGAGTTCAGACTTTAATGAAAAGGAAATGTGGAGATATTCATCCATATTCCTTTTCTCTCATAATTATTATTTTCCTTTTTATCCCGTCTGAAGAAATATGACATTAAAAAATATGGCTCAGAACTTCCTGATGTCTTTAAATTATTAAGTATAAAGCACAGATCACAGGATCAGGCACACAGAAGTACTCTATAGTAGATGCTGGCTATGATTGTGACGGTGATGATGTTTGTCTGGCCCTTGGATGAGATAATTCAAATCTCTATAGGTTAACACTCAACACCTTTTCTCAATTTACAAGCACTATACCTTTAAATTAAAAAAAAAAAATTGATCTTAGAGAGAGGAAGGGAGATAGAAAGCAACAGTGATGAGAGGGAGAAACATTAATCGGTTCCCTCCCGCATGCGCCCTGAATGGGATGGAACCTGCAACCTGGGTATGTGCCCTGACTGGAAATTGAACCCACCATCTTTCACATCCAGGATGAAGCTCCAACCATGCCACAGCGGCCAAGGCACAACCACCATACCTTTAAATGTGGCTCCTTCTGCCTGTTCAGGAACCATTTAATAGGGAGGCAGGAGGACTTCCCCTGTATGGTAGAGATTGCTGATTGTTCACCAATATCTACAGTCTTTGTCCCTTCCAGCTTGCATTAGATTTTTTCCCCCTAGTACCAAGCTAGCTTTCCTCTTTTCAGACTTTAGCAGCTATTTTATTTGGGAAACACATGCCTAGCTGCAAGAACATTTTATCACTGAAAAATTGGGATGAATTCAGTGAAAATGTTTGAGGTTTGGGAATTTTTTTTTTATCCTCACCCGAGGACATTTTTCCATTTTTTGTTCAGATAGAGTGGGAGGAAGAGAGAGAGAGAAACAATGATGTGAAAGGGACACATTGAGTGGTTGCCACCTGCATGACCCAACCAGGGCCAGGGACAAACTGCAACCGAGGTACGTGCCCTTAGCAGGAACCGAACCTGGGTCTCTCTGGACCGCAGGCTGATGCTCTAACTGCTGAGCCAAACAGGCCAGGGCGAGACTTGGGGATTTTCAAAACGACCTTGCACAGATGCTACCAATCATTTGACTTCTAAGTCCTTTCTTTTCAAAGCATAAACATATATGATAAAAATGTATGAGATTGCTCTGGCCAATTTTGCTCAGCAGTTAGAGCATCGACCCGTGAACTGGAGAGTCCCGGGTTTGGTTCCCGCTAAGGGCACGTACCTTGGTTGCAGTTTGTCCCCAGCCCCAGTTGGGGTCGTGTGGGTGGCAACCACTCAATGTGTCTCTCTCACATTGATGTTTCTCTCTCTCTCTTCTCCCCTCTCCCTCCCGCTCTATCTGAAGATAAATACAAAAAGGTCCTTGGGTGAGGATAAAAAAAAAAAAAAAATTATGAGATCAAATATCCACATCTATTCACATGCACACTGTTGACACTTGCCCTATTTCTATCTTGTCCCTAATTTCACATGTTGAAAACTGACCCTTTTTCAAGCCTCTTTTTGTTATCACTGTGGACATTACCACTTTCTCCAAATACTGGATTGAGCCTGTCACACCTCTGACTCCTCTCTTTCCCGTTCCCATGTTGCTGCCAAGTCATCAGCTTAGTTCTTTCTAAGTTCCTATTCATTTCTATTCCAAACATGAGTCATCTCATATGCACCACTGTATTGAAACTCCACCCTGCTTTTGTATTTCTCTTTTATCTGGCTAAAATTCAACTTTGAGGATAAACTGCCGCTCAACAAATGGCATTAATAAATTTTTTTCCTCTTTTCTATGATTCGTTAGCCACATCTTCAAAAAAGCATAGAACTTTTAGATCTGGGAATTAAAAATTATCTAGTTAAACCTGCCAACATTACTGTTCTGTTAGGATCCAATAGATAGATCATCTTTTCCTTTTACATTGGTCTAAGTTCCGTGGTTCTACCTTTACTTGAATCTGTTCTCAAGGCCTGGTCAATGCATATCTCTCAGATGTATGCTTATGATGTACTCAATTTATGCTGTCCTTTTCAACTTGTTTTCTCTATAGTGCCTAGCAGTGCCTGGCACACTGCAAGCAGCCAGTAAATATTTTTAAATTTCCATTTTCTTTCTCTCACCTCTTTTCCTTTGCTTTTTCCTCTGATCCTGTTCATGCTTCTTTTTGTTGTTGTTGTTAATCCTCACCCAAGGATATTTTTCCACTGATTTTTAGACAGAATGGAAGGGAGGGAGGGAGGAAAGTAGGGAGGAGAGAGAAAGAGAGAGAGAAAGAAAGAAAGAGAGAGACAGAGAGACAGAGACAGAGACATCGATGTGAAAGACACACATCGATTGGCTGCCTCCCACACAGGGCCAGGGATTAAACCTGCAACCCAGGTACATGCCCTTAACTGAGAAGCAAACCCATGACCCTTTGGTCCGTGGGCCAATGCTCTAACCGCTGAGCAAAACTGGCCAGGGCCTCTTATTTTGTTTCTATTCATCCACAAAGAATCTTTCCATACAAAATATTCTATATAGAATTCCGACCTTGGAGTGGGGACAGAATATATTTTCTTTGAGTACTGAATTGCCATTTAAGGTGGATCTTTACATTGTGCTCATAGAAACTAGGGAGTATAGTACAACTAGCTAAAGCTTTAAAATCAGAAATAGAACTCTTGTTCCATGTGAATGTTGAGCAAATATTTAGCATTCTTTCATTCAGGGAAAACACAGCTAAAAGAACCCCACTATTATTCACAAATAGATGATAATCATAGTCTACATCTTCAGACCCAGACCCAACTTACTAGCAGGGCAAATAGCTACTGATGATATAATTGTTGTGACATGCCTTCCCAATACTCAGGAAGTAACAGAGCAGTTAGGAGGGCAGGCCTTGGAGTCACAAAGCTTGGGTACAAATCCTGCCATTAATAGCTCTGTACTATGATTTCCTCATCTGGAAAAATGGAAAACAGAATCTATCTTTCAAGATCAGTGTGAAGAATGAGTTAACGCAAGGAAACAGGGCTTTCTACAGAGTGAATGTTGTGTTAGTGATCGGCACCATGTCAGATCAGGGATCAAATTTATAGAAGTGAAAACTTCTGAATGAACACACAGAATCTTGACACTTAAAAGTGACTAGAGAGTGAAACTATGCAAATTGCGTAAACTGAATCCTAGTTTCCTTGGATCACTACTGATAAGGTTGTTGCAAGATTGCTATATACTACCATGTACTATACCAAGCACATTCAACTATTCACTGTGAATCCTTTCCTTCTCCCTAGTTTTAGGTTAGGAAATAATCTGTAAACATCCATTTTAGAAGAAATATTAATGGTTGGTCAAAAAGAAAGAGTCTAATGGATTGGCCTCCTTTCTACTCCTTGCAATTACAGGATTTGGTAATATGAGACAAATTATCTCACCTACCAGGGCCCAATTCCTGAAGAGACTTAATTCTATTTGCAAGATAATGGTCATCATGAAAATGACACATTTGCCCTGCTAAGGCATAACTATGGTTATTACTGGCAGTGAAAAATAATTACCCTCATTATAACTCTGTCAGCACACTGGGATTAACCTTCTTTTAAGAGAGGAATATGGTTCTTTCAGGGTAAATGGTCCACATCCATGGCTTCACAAATTACCCCAAACAGGTTGTTTCCAGCTGTAAGTCAGATCCTTCTGGGGCAATAGTTTCATCTGAGTGAAGGGAGTCAGAAAAGGGTCTTCTGAAACTGCCAATATGCACTGCTTGAAGAATTCTTCAGCTTTGTCTGCACTGAGAACTGAGTAGGCCTAACACTTCCAACTGGAGGAATTGGACAGGCTCACTGCCCAAGTTGCTATGTATGGACTGCAGACGTGCCGACATGATCTGGTGATCTGAGACGAATTATCTCACCTACCAGGGCCCCATTTCCTGAAGAGAAATAGTTCTGCAGGAACTAATTCTCAAACTGTTTGATAAAACAATTTTAGAACATCAAAGCAGAGAGAGAAAAGCTGAACTTCTATCAACCTGTCAGGTAGCATTTGGCAAAGTGGATAAGAAAGGGTATCTAGAATGAAGCAGAAAAGGGAGGGAATCCAAGAATCAGCTTCACATCATAGCTTTGCTACTTAGAAGCTACTTGGACAAATTACCTGACCTTTCTGTTTCTCTATCAATAAACACTGTCAGGAGGGCTACACAAAACAATGTATGAAAAGCACCAAGGCCAGCACATGGCCTCAAAGAAGGGCTGAGCGCTGTGTATACACATTTCTATGGAACCCACAACATTCCACCTCCAATAACAGGTGACTGAGCATGTACTTACCTTATCCCCTTCTAGACTGTAAACTCCTTAGGGGCAGGACTTGAGAGGTTTTATAGCATAGTGGTCAACAGCACAGACTCAAACCTGAATTCAAACTTTGCTCCATCCTTTGTTATGTTACCTGGGCAAATTACTGAACTTCCTGAGCCCAGTCTTTATCTATGAAATGGAAATAACATGCATTCCATGGTTTTGTTGAAATAACACCACTGATGCTTGTAGCACTGAGCCAAGCCCATAATAAGTGTTCAATAAAAGGTAGTGATTATCTTTCCAATTCTGTGTCCCTTATAGGTAGCAACTAGCTGATAACCTTTTGGTTTGAAGGTGTAACTGAGACACTGCCCGACCCACAGAAATTCATAAACAGCAAAAAAATATCAAGAAGCCAAGGAGTCCCCTACCTCTGGAAAATCTCTTGCAGCGTTTCCCGAGTGAACGCATTGTTGTCCTGGAAGACGTTATTGAGGGCATGCAGGGCACAAAGCTCCCTGCGCTGTTTCTCATGGTAGATTTGTGGGGGTGCTGCCTGGGGCAGCTCCAATGATTCAGATTTGGCCTTGTCTCCTTTCCATGGCACGCAACTCATGTTTTTCGTTTTGGGTTCCAGAGAGGGCTAAAAACACCCACCCTTCCCTCCTGAGGAAGAATGTAAGTTTCTGAGTCTTTTCAGGATTCCTGAGGTCCACCTTATTTTCTGGTGTCCATGATTTATGCTTTGTCACGGGGAGAAAAGATTGGAATCAAAAGGAAAACAATCCACCTCTTCTTATAGAAAAATAACTTTTGGATTAGTGTATTTCGCCACTCCGGTCAAAGTGCAGAATTTTTTAAAAATCATATAAAACCTTATTTCCCTTCTCCCACCCTCCCCACCCACCCCCCTCGGAAAAAAAACACAGGATTTTCTTGCTGTATTTTCCTTTCTGCAAAAGCCAACCAGGCCTCAATGCAGGAAGACCGAACGGAATCGGTCACATCGCTCCTTTTCTTCCATTTCTTTCGAACCACAATGCCACTGACTCAGGAGACAAGGCCTAGGTGGTGGATAAAACGCAAAATTCGAGCAGCTAGCGAGTGCCGGCCAGCGTGGGCTCGCGGGCAGTGCCGGGGCCTCCGAGGCGGCTCTCCATCCCCTCGGGCGCGCTGGGGCCCCGCAGGGCGCGAGCCGAGGCAGGCGCGGCTCCCTCGGAAAGCGCGGACTCTCACCTTCTCGCCGCGGCCCTGCGGGGGAGACAACTCGGGTCAGCTCCGGCGGCCGCAGGGGCCGCCGCAAAGGACCAGGCAGGCCGGGGAAGTGGCGCGGCGGGTCCTGCCCCAGCCCGAGGGAAGGTCCCACGCTGGGACGGGCCAACCCGCGAGGGGTGGGGCCGAACAATTCTCCTCGCCCTCGGGGGGCCCACCCGTCTCGCCGTCCCCACCCAAACCTCCTCGGCAGTCACGTGAGGGCATGCCGAGGGGCCCTCACGCCGCTCCCCTAAGCCCGGCCCCCGCGCCAACTCGCGTCCGCGCCGCGGACCACCCCTCACCGCGGCAGGTTGCCACCTGGAACTGCGGGCCACCACCTGGGCCGCGCTCCGGCGAGCGCGCGCACCTGAGCCCAACGTCAGCGGCCCACGCCCAGCGCGTGCTCCGGAAACGCCTTCCTGCACCGCCCCGCCTCGGCGTCACGTCTGAGGTCAGCCTGACGTCAACGGCGCCGGCTCCGGGGGCCGCGGCACCGCGCGTCTGTGGGCTGGATTCCGGTAGCGTTTGGAGACCTGGTGGGTGTGGGGGCCAGAGGGCCTCCGCGTGCCGGGCTGCGGAACCCGGCGGCGGCAGTGGTTGGAGCCGGTGCCAGGCTGTGCAGGGCGGGGTGGCGGGCGGGAGTCCCGCCTCGACGCCCGCCCGCCCCTCCCCCGGGCGTCCGCGCGGTTCCGGGGTGGTGACCCAGCCTGCGGCTGCACTTCGAGCCCGGCCCGGCCCGCCCCGGCCCGCCCCGCCCCGCTCTCTGGGCTGGGCTGCTCCGGCACAGGCTTCCGCCAGCCCGGACCAACTAACTACTCTTGCGCCGACCGTTTTGTTTGTCTAGCGTGCGGCTCGTCAGCTGATTTCAAAGCACCTTACCGACTCTGTCGGGCGCAAGTTCTCTTGGTTCGTGGGCCCGACCGCGCCACGCTCCAGGAGCGCTGAGGCCGAGTCGCATTTCAAGTCGAGTGAAGAGTCCGGTTTCAGTTCCTTGGTGTCGTATTTCGGTTCACTGCACACACACTACTGTCCTCTCGCCCTCAGGGTGGTTGCCACTCGGAAGGGTAAACTCTCAGTCCCGCGGGGATGTCCTCCCCCCCCTCGAGGGCATGTGGAAGGCATCACCCCATTCACTATCTTTAGCTGCCCGCCTTTTGGATTTTTGTTCAAAGAACTAGAAAAACAGTAAGATCACGCTTACCATTTCTTTTCTTTAGCCCTGCTTCAGCAGGACTCTAAACACCATTACACAGAAGTTATCACTTAACACAGGGTTGAGTGCCTGCCTATTGAAGAGACAGGCAGGTTAGGTAGGGAGGGTCAGGACCATGGGAAGGCTGAGACATGCGGAAAGTTTGAAATGACCTGGAGCTCAGCACACAGGCAGGTAACCCAGTACACAGCATATCTGGAGGTTTATTTGGACTCTATATCTCAAAACTAAATTCAACATGGGCATTGTGCTCCCAGGCCTGAAACTCCCAGCCCCCATTTATAGAAAGGCAAAGCTCCTGGTAGAAGCACAGGTCAATTACATAACAAACAAAAAACCAGAAATCTTGGTTTTAAGCAAGTCAACAGGATTGCTGAATGAGTTCTTAGAAACTATGGAGTGTGATCCTATTGCAGAAAGCCTGGTCACCTTAAAAAGGGTTATAGAAAACCGATATTGGAGTTAGAAAAGAGCCTTGGCCAGTTTGGCCCGACCTTGGTTGAGCGTCAACCTGCGGACCAGAGAGACCCGGGTTCGGTTCCTGCTAAGGGCACGTATCTCGGTGGCAGTTTGTCCCCCCCCCCCCCCGGCTCTGGTTGGGTCACACAGGTGGCAGCCACTCGATGTGTACCTTTCACGTGGATGTTTCTCTCTCCCTCTCTCCCTCCCTCCCTCCTACTCTATCTGAACAAAAATGTCCTCCGGTGAGGATAGGAAAAGAAACCTACAGCAAGTATAGGGTGGCTCCAAGGGCGTTTTCCCTCCTCCTCACTAATAGTCTGGGAGAAGCTGAAACTATCAAAAAGGAAAGCTACTAAGCCCCCCCCCCCCCATAGATGACCTAGGAATGAACCCAGTCAGGCAGGAAAACACAAACTTTAAAATGTATGAATGTTGCTAAGGCAGAATTCCTTGAAAGAACCAATCAGAGGCTAGCAAGACTTATATCTACACCTAGACAACAGAGCCCCACTGGCAACCCACTTGGGTCCCCTCCCTGTCTATCTTTCAAATAAACTTTGCTGTTGCTTACTCTTGGTCCATGAACTCATTTATGGATTTCACGAGACAATGAACCCGATAACCGTCGCTGGTTTCACTACTATGTGGTTTGGAGTCCTCTGGGCTGATCCAGACAACTTTTGAATGACCTTAAATTTCTGTAATTTGTAAGCCTGCTAAGGGTTATAGATATATTTCTATAAGATTAATTATTGAGGCTTGCAATCATTGTTCTAACCCAGAGATGTGCCCTAACTGGGAATCGAACCTAGACCTCTCAGTCCATGGATGACGCTCAATCCACTGAGCCACACCAGCCAGGGTGTTTTTGTTTTTTTAGAGGAGAAAACTGCCCCGCAGGCTAATTAACTTGCTCTAGGTCACATAGCTAATAAGTAGTGGACCTAGGATTTCAACTCAGGCCCTAATCTGTTTTCAGAAAGAGGATGGACAGATGGGTAGGGAATTCCCTTTATAAAATTTGATTTTAGACTTCTCTATTCAAGAAGCACCTACTCTGAGAATATTTATTCTAGACAAAGCCCTATAATGAGAAGAGCATGCTTTTTAGTATGCCATCATGTGTTAGCACATTCTGAACTTGAATTCTTTCTGGAAAAGCCAATTTATTAGTAAAATACTAAATATCAATTATTGTAGAATACAATACCTTGATACTTAGCTTTTATGACAAATCAAGAATTTAATATCTGTAGCTACCTCACAGATAGTGGTGAGCAATTTAACTAGTAAAAAAGGAAGAAAAAACACATTCAAAGAATCACTATCAAGACATTTGGAGTCGGATGACTTCTCCAGGGTTCCCAGCTGTATTTGGACTTGGATTACTTCTTGGCCAGGGTTCCCAGCTGTGTTTGTACACATAAGACTTCACTGGCCCTGGCCGGTTTGGCTCAGCGGTTAGAGCGTTGGCCTGCGGTCCGGAGAGAGCCAGGTTCGGTTCCCACTAGGGGCATGTACCTCGGTTACAGTTTGTCCCCGGCCCTGGTTGGGTCGTGTGGGTGGCAACCACTCGATGTGTCCCTTTCACGTTGAAGTTTCTCTCTCTCTCCCTCCCACTCTATCTGAACAAAATAAAAAAAAATGTCCTCGAGTGAGGATTAAAAAAAAAAAGACTTGACTGTAGTTGAAAACGGGAACAAGATGAGGTTGCCTCTTTCCTTTCAGGTAGATCCCTGAAACTGAAAGCCATTTTGAACCCTGCCTTTTGTTCACTAAATCCCGTGTTCCAAACCCTAAATCTTCTCAAATAGCTGCTTTTTTGCTATCTGGGACGAGTGAGGGGGCCTAATCCCTAACTTCATCAAGCTTTTCAGAAACTGGAATTCAAGGTACTAAAACTTGTGCTGATGGTGTTTTGGATTGGGGCTTTCCAAAAATGATGACACTGAAAAGAATCATACACAGGAAACTACCTTAACAGACCCTAACTAGATCTCGCTCCACAGTTTATAAATGTGGTGAGGTGTGTTAAAGAACAAAACTTCAACCAAGTAAACACAAAGATCTAATTACTTTATTAAATGATTCATGAATGGGCAGCAGCACCCTTCTAGCAAACAGAAGGGAGCTCCAAGGAGTTGTACAAAATGGAATGTTTTTATAGGAGAAGGGTGGGCCAAGGTTAAAAGAGTGGTTAAAATGAAGGCAAGGTCACCTTCATTTGGGAGAAGGTAGAGGGGGTCTTTTCAGGCAGCTTACATAAAAAATGATCAGGAAATTGCAGGCTTAATTGATCTAAAATTCCACTCTTGGGAAAGAATGAAAATGCAGTTGTTAGGTATTGAGTCTTGGTGGGACTTACCACAGTGACTCCACTTTGGGTCTATTTTTAACAAGTGCTTCTGGCTTCTACTTCAGCTTGTTGCCTCCTTTTTGGTCGTGTAATTGCCCTCTCCGCAGAGGCAGTAAATGGAGAATTCTTGGTAAGGTCAACATTTAATTGCCTCCTCTGGCTACTATTCTATTTTAGGCATCAATTGTACCCTACTATCAAAATTACCTGGAGCTGGGCTGGTGTGGCTCAGTGGTTGAGCTTCCACCCATGTACCAGGAGGTCACCGGTTGGATTTCCATTCAGGGCACATGCCAAATCCCCAGTGGGGAGCATGCTTGAGGCGGCTAATCCATGTTCTCTCTCATGGATGTTTCTCTCTCCCTCTCCCGTCCTCTCTCTAAAAAATCAAAAATGACAAAATGTTTTAAAAAAAATTACCTGGAGAGCCCTAGCCGGTTTGGCTCAGCGGTTAGAGCGTCCGCCTGCGGTCCAGAGAAACCCAGGTTCGGTTCCCGCTAAGGGCACGTACCTCGTTTCTCCCCCGCCCTGGTTGGGTTGTGCGGGTGGCAACCACTCGATGTGTCCCTTTTACGTGATGTTTCTCTCTCTCTCTCTCTCTCCCCCTCCCACTCTATCTGAACAAAAAATGGGAAAAAATATTACCTGGAGATTAGATACGGTCTTCCAGGGAGCGCCCTGAGTCAGAGTTGAGTGGGATGAGCCTTGTGCTGTTTACTACCTCCGTGGGCGGTGGCCCAAGCGCGGGACCTATCCGATGACTGGATTGGGCCTTGTACTTGTCCATCATCCTGAAGCTCTGAGCGTCCACTGTTTTGCAGTAAGATTTGGAAGCTGAGCACCACCTCTGGAAACGGAGGGAGTGAAGAGGTGAGGGTAAACGTTGTGTGTCTTGTCCTCCTCATAGGATGGCTATCGTGTCAGTCATACTCTCCGCTGCTACCGTTGGCGGGAAGGCTACGGGCTGGTAACGTGGGCACGGTGCTGCTCACTCCCGAACTGAGATTCAGGAGCGCGACGTCTCAGATATTTGTTGTTGGGGTTTGGGCCTCATTAATTATTCATTAGGTACTTGAAAGGGCTGCAGCGATTGGTGGCTGAGAGGCCTGGCCGATTGTTTCTCAGCTAGAGATACGTGTCACCCTCTACGCGGCTGGAAATGTTTTGCATAAATTATTCCGATAAGGTGTGGGCGGGACCACACATAGATTAGGCAAATGAGCCAGGGAGGGATGGGAGGCCGGGTACGAATTAGCCTAAGTTATTAAAGATGGCGACGGAGCGGAGTCGCTCTCCGATGGACTCGCCGGTCCCGGCCTCTATGTTCGCCCCCGAGCCCAGCTCCCCGGGGGCGGCCAGGGCCGCGGCAGCTGCCGCCCGGCTCCACGACGGCTTAGACTCAGACTGCAGCGAGGACGGCGAGGCGCTCAACGGCGAGCCGGAGCTGGACCTTACCAGCAAGGTAGGCCCGGGCGCCGGCGACAGCTCTAAATGGGACCTGGCGGCTAGGGGTCTCCGCGGCGGGGCCGAGTCGTCTCCTGGGCGACGGCAGGGGCGGGAGGGATGAGCCCGCCTACCTGCCGGTGCGGGTGGCCAGGGGGCTCCCGGGCGATGGGCGGCCCCCCGCGCCCCTGCCCCCCCCCCCTCCGTCCTTCTCCCGGTGGCGCCGGCCGGCCTCCCGCCGTCTGGCTCCGGGGGAGATCACTACCCCTCGGCTCCGCCACGTGGAACTCGGGTGCCCGATGCCGGCTGCCGTCCTACGCGGTGTCGACTCCTCCGAGACCGAGAGGGGCCCTCTCTCTGGACTGTCCAGGGCAGCTGAGGGTTGGAGGTGGCTTGGGCAGGGGGAGCGGAGGCGTGGGAGGATCGGGTTGTCCAAAGGGGAGCCGGGAGGCGTCTCTTCCTGGTATCGGAATAGAAAACAGAAAGTAGTCGTTCAGTCGCGGAGAAGGATGTCTGAACTATGTCTACTTTACACATCCACCCAAAACAAAATAGAAATATGGGCAAGACCCATAATCTCGCCATCCTGGGAGTGGAACTACAACTTGTATGAATGGAATAATGAAGGACGTTTCAAATGGTGTCTTATGAGTTTTTGAGAAGGTGGGCAGGAATTAAGGTCTAACCTTCTGCTTGGCATTGTGGGGTTAAAAAAGTAAGTATAAGATGTGGCTGTTGTTTTGAAGGTGCTTAACATTGCTAAAGGGAAAGAATGCCAACTTGGGAGTCAGGGCTGGGTTCTGGTAAAAAACAAAAACAAAAAAGCAAGCCCAAGGTGGGGTCACTAGCCCCCTTGACAGCAAAACAAGACTTAATTGCAGTTTCAGCCCCTCCTAGGTGTGGGATATTAAACTGTAATTTTCTCTAGGACACTAGAGAGGTAATCTGTATGAGAGCCCCCAGCCACCCTTCTCCACCAAAACTGGTGACCTGGCCTGAAACAATCTTTTATCTTGCTAATAACTTTAAAAAAGTAATTTTATGTGCTGCTTCAGGCATGAAGTAGCTCTCTCTGGCCACCAACACAGGCATCAAACTGGGTAAACTAAGGACTATACCATCTGCTTTGTTCCTGACTGATATAGGAACAATACCACCAATCAGGTGTCTCCTTGCCCATTGCCAGGGGGTGCTAATATATTTCCTATAAGAATCTTTCATTTTGTACTACTCAGAGCAGGCCTCTTATTTACTAGGTGGGATGCTGCACAATTCAAGAATGGTTCAATAGAACCAATTAAATCTTCAGATTTACTTGGTTGAATTTTGTTTTTTAACAGATTCCTTTCCTGCCCTGCACTTAAAAAGGCTCTGTGACCTTGGGAAAATTTCTTAACTTCTCAGTTCTCCAGCTACGTCATCTTTTTTCTTTTCGTTTTTAAAATATTTCATTAAAAAAAATTTTTTTTCTTTATTGAAATTTAGAGAGAGAGAAAAGGAGAGGGAGAGAGAGATAGAAACATCAATGAGAGAGAACATGGATTGGCTGCCTCCTACATGCCCCCACTGGGGATTTGGCCTACAACCTGGGCCGTGTACCCTGACCGGGAATCAAACCAGCAACCTCTTGATGCATGGGTCGACGCCCAACCACTGAGCCACACTGGCCAGGCAAAAAAAAAATTTTTAATTGATCTTTTAGAGAGAGAGGAAAGGAGACAGATAAAAACATCAATTTGAGAGAGAAACATCAGTGGGCTGCCTGGTGCACGCCCCCTGCTGGGGTTCAAGCCCAGAACTTGGGCATGTGCCCTGACCAGGGATTGAACTGGGACCTCTCAGTCCATGGGATGACGCTCTATCCACTGAGCCACGCTGGCTGGGGCAGCTACATCATCTTTTAAGAATAGATGGTTGTTGCCCAGCCAGTGTGGCTCAGTGGTTGAGCGTGGACCCATGCACCAAGAGAGGTCATCGGTTTGATTCCCCGGCAGGGCACATGCCCAGGTTGTGGGCCCAATCCCTATTGGGGGCATGCAGGAGGTGGCCATCGGATGTTCTCTCTCATCGATGTTTCCATCTCTCCCTCTCCATTCCTCCCTCTCTAAAAATCAATAAAGAAAAAAAAAGAATAGATGGTTGTAAAAACGAGATATATATAAGACACGTAATATGGTGCCTATTGCATACTACTCAGTAAATGTTTGAAGTGAACTGAATAACTGATAATTCCCTGTGCAGATTAATAGCAGCTACTGGAAGATAGAATACCAATACCCTCTCCTACCTGTTGTTGAAAAGTCACAATAGAGACGTTTGTGACTCTTCACAGACTTTGATAGCAAAATTGCATGAAATTTGGCCAAAACTGGAGAAAACTTGTCCCTACAATCTAAGCAACCAAGTTTCAACTGCTCTTTCTCCCTTTAGTGTCAGCTGAGCACTTAGAAGCCATTGGTCCTGTCTGGTGCCTCTAATGCCATAATGGGGCTGGCCAAGCTGGGAGAGAGGGATGGTCGGGAAATATGTGAGGCAATGTGACATGATGCAAAAGACCGAGGCAGCACTCAAATACAAGCTCTGATGAGTTAACTCGGGAATTATGAGATGTGCTTATAATCTGGATGTTAATTCATGGTCAAGGTGCTGAGGAAACCTGGAAACACAGTGGGAAATTGCAGGGCAGAGTTGCAAAGAGAGTAATACCTTCATTTCCTGACCAGTGTATTTAATATTCCAGAATAGGGGAGTGTTACTTCATCACATAGCTGGGGAAGTCTGCCTCACTAGTTTAAAGTTGAGAAGCTATGTATATAAATATTGGTGATACTGAAAAGAAAAACTGACCATTTGGAGGGAGACAAAGAATGGGTTGATAGATTGATTCCTGAGAAAAAGACTAGAAGCTATAAGTTTATACACTTGCTACAGTTATATGTGGAGATCTGAGGCTCTGAAAGTTTCCAAAGGGAGAAAATTAGTAAACTGTGGTGGCTAGTTTCATCCAAGAATGTTTTTTTGGAATGATTATGAAGAAAACCATACTTACTGAGCTGTGGACTAGATGCTTACATATTATCTTATTTGGTCTTTACAGTGGCCTTAGAGTGCAGGTGGTATTATCTACATTTTGTAGACTAAAAAAGTGAGACTCAGAGAGGTTAAGTTCTTTGTCCAAGGTCACACAAGAATGGTTTAGAGAATGGGACCTGACATGCCTATTGTTAAATGGCCTCCCCAAATATAATGTTATTGTCACAAATTTATAAAATGATGGTGCTAATATCCATCTTAGTGGTAATGAAGTGGTTTTGTTGATGAAGACAAGTATTGCAGCAGTTTTTACTGCCAATCCCTAAATAATCAAGATAGCCAAAGCAAGATGGAACAGAATTCTTTTGTTATTATGGCAACCGTTGATCTTGGGTGGAGGGCATGTCAGTATGGGAGATCTCTGTCCTGTGAGTTGCAAGCTGCAGGTAGAAGACTTTGGCATGTAGGTGTGAAGCACTCACTGCTCATCAATTTCTACCTACAGTGTCAGATTCTCAGTCATTGTTGGTCCTTCCCCTCCTGTTATACAGCAGGAGGCAGGCTGCTCACACCCTCTTTTCTGTGGGTTGTGTTTCAGACATAGTCATTTTAGTACATTAAAAAACTCAACTCATATAAGGCTTTAGGCTCAAAGGCTATTTAAGGAGTGACAGAGAGGGCATGAGGGGGCTTTGTGGCTATTTTAGATTACGGTGCTATGGGATTCAGTCAGGGTCTTTGATCAGGCTATTGATCTGCTTTGGCTGTGGTGCTCTTCTAGTAAGTGTGGTCCTAAGGCTGTTGGTTTCTTTTCTAGCTGGTTCTAGTGAGCCCTACATCAGAGCAGTATGACAGCCTACTTCGGCAGATGTGGGAGAGGATGGACGAGGGATGCGGAGAGACCATATATGTCATTGGGCAGGGATCAGGTGAGCATAGTTTTCCTTTCACTTTATTTTTAAAAAATTATTTAGAGAACATTTCCCATCTTTTACCCACTCTCTTGTTTAGTGTCTGCAGAACTGTTTGGGAGGACATAAAAGTACAATGTGATAATGTTAATTCCCACCTTATTGGTCATAATATGCTTGACTTGAAAGATTCACTTTCCAAGCGGTTTTACAGATGCTTCTTTTCTACCTCTATTTGCATAAAGGGAAATTAAGTACAGAGCAAGGAAACTTCTTGTTCCAGGTATAGAGCAAGTCACAGGTCTAGAATTAAGCCTGCCTTGGGCAGCTCTAGTCTTCCTTCAACCTCAGTTTACAGATCCCATTGCTACTTATTGTCTGCTTAGCAGAGATCTTTTGTGATCCTCCTTACTTATTTATTTTTTATTAATCCTCACCTGAGGATATTTTTCCATTGATTTTTGGGTAGAATGAAAGGGAGAGAGGAAGTGAGGGAGGGAGAGAAAAAGAGAGAGAGAGAGAGAGAGAGAGAAACATCAATATGAGAGAGAGACATTGATTGGTTGCCTCCTGCATGACCCCTACTGGGGCTGGGGATCAAACCTCCAACCCAGGTACATGCCCTTGACTGGAAATGGAACTGGCGACTCTTTGGCCTGTGGACCAACCTAACCGCTGAGCCAAACTGGCCAGGGCCTGTGATCCTTCTTGATGTCAGCAAGAAGGGGATACCCGGAATTCCTCTCTTTAGCAAGGCTTCCTTGCCCCAGACCACACCAACCCACTCAGTGTGGATAGCAGTGCTAACAGAAGCCCTCTCTTCTCTCTGTGAGTTCTCATCAGACATGTAGACTTGTTAATATTCTGGAAGGAACTGGTTATTGTACTCCGGCCTGCTTATTCCATTGTAATGGCTGTTTTAGAGGAAGGCAGCTTCCATAACAGAATCCAGATTTTATCTCGGGCATCCCCCTGCCCTGATCATTCCTAATTTATACTTTCAATAGAAGGCCTACTTACCCTCATCTTCATTATGACATACCTTTACTGAAATGGCAGCTGGGCTTGTTAATGAGTATGAATTTAGTCTGTACCAGACCTTGTCTGTCATCTTTTCAGGAAGCCTCAGTAGTGCTCGGTGCATCATTAAAAGAACAGTTCTCTTTGCTGAATGTAGGCTTTGTAAAGGCAAGTAATAATTTTGTAGACTGAGTTTAAGGTAGAGAAAATTTCAAAATCATTCTTTATTTAACAGATATCTATTAAGTATCTTTTAAGGGCTTGATACTGTCGCAAAGCACTTTTGGATACTAAAATCTGGTCTCTGTCCCAAGAAGGAAAGATGACATAAATACAAATAACCTCAGTAGAAAACAGTATTTGGATATGCTGCAAGAGTGACACTAGGAAGAAGGACTTGGTATCCAGTTACTGCTGTGCCTTCCTTTGAAATGTTTTTCTTATCTATCCTTTCCTTTCAGTCTTTGTTGGCACTGCAGTTTTGTCTTATCTTTAAGAGGGCATGGTCTAAGAGATTGCCTGTCAAGAAAGGGAAGGAGTTGGTCAGCATTGTCAGGTGCTAGAGACAGCAAGGAGAGTTGGGTTCAGAAAAAGTCATTCCCTTTGGTGACTAGGAGATCATTGGTAGCCTTTTGAAAGCTTTGTGGCAGGTACTCATCGGGCCTGCTGTGATAGGAGGAACCATTCAGGGGTCACTTCATGCTTGTAGAATTGAATAAACTGCATCTAGATCAGTTTTGACAAGTGTTGGGACTGTTCTTTGAAGACCCAGGTTCTTAAGACTCTCCTCCCCCTTCTTTAATGTGCACTCTTAGTGAATTTACCATACCGTGGCAACTAACAACTAATTAACCCTCTCATGGCAAAGCGTAAGATGTCAAACATTCATTAACACACCTACACACCCAGGCATTATCTTTGCATCTATCAGTGGATGCTATTAGATTCATAGTGACTCCTTCCTGCTGGAATTCTTCAGAGGTCATAACCAGTTAAACAAGTTGAACATCAAATAGAGGACTAAACCAGATGCTCGGCCCCCAGGGGTTAGCCTCATCACTTGCCTCCTGTGTGTGCCTGGTGCTTCACCTCTGTTTATCTCTTCCTTTGCCTGTAAAAGGAGGATAATGACATTCTTCCCCAACCTACCTCTGAAAAATTTTGTATGAACAAGTTAGACATTACAAATTCTAAACAGTATAGAGGAATGTGCTCTTTAAGTATACATTCCTAATTTAAGATTGATCTTTCAAAAGGAGGCTATCTGGCTTAGTACTTAGTTCAGGGCCTGGAGTCTGGCAGGTCTGAGTTTGCCTACTGGCTCTAACTTATCTTAAAAAGGGGATAGTAGTGGTGTCATGGTGAAGGTTGACACTTGGCACATCATAAGCATTATATAAATGTTAGCTAGTCTTAGTAGTTGCAGTAGTAATTCTTTAAGGGTTCCGGGTTATAGTTGATTTATTGTGAGATTTCTGTCAGAAAGAATCTTGTTAATTTGTCAGATAGTAAGTTATGACTTTCTAAGAGCCGGGTACTCTATTAAAAGTTCAGGAAACAAACCCTGGCCAGTTTGGCTCAGCGGTTGGAGTATTGGCCTGCAGACCAGAGAGTCCTGGGTTTGGTTCCCGCTAGGGACACATAGTCCCCCCCCCCCCCCAAAAAAAAAGTTCAGGAAACAAAAGAGTAGTGTTAAATCTTTGTGGGGAATCAGGAAAGGCTTCAAAAAGGAGGTACACCTTGCATTGGTTCCAAAGCATGAATAGGAGTTTTCTAGGTAAATGGAGTCAATAGTGAGTAAGCAGAGGAAGCCACGTGCACAAAGGCACAGGAGAGCATTGGCAATTGTGGAGTATTTGATGGGCCAGTGGTGAGTCAGTAAAGTAGGAGTGTAGTGTGTGAGATTGAGAGTGTCACTTAGGAAGGTGGGCTGGACAGGTAGGTAGGGCGCAGACCTCGAGGGTCTTTGAATGCCATACAGAAGAGTTTAGACTTTTATCCTAAAAGTCTGGAGAACCTTTGCAGCACGTTGAGCAGGAGAGTGCATATAGAAAGGTAAGTCAGATGGCAGGACTGAGGTCTCACTGAGGGTCGGGCGTGGGTGAATATGTGGCCTTTAGTCATTGGGCCTCTGTGGCTTTTCTCCTTGGCCTTTGTCTCTACTGAGTGAGAATGCAGTGCGTGCCGGAGAAGGGTGATGTGACGGGGCATTTTCTGGAGCTCTGGATGGACTAGGCGACATTGGTCTTTGCCCCCAGGTATAGATTGGGACTTGAAAACATTGCTTTTTGTTGTGTCAGAATTAGGAAATGATGGATAGAATTTAGGGGTCTGGCAAGAATGGCAGGGTTAGCAGGCCTTCTCTGAGGAATACTTCCAGCAAGTTCTCTTGCCCAGATGTCCAGAGCTCAGTTGGCCATGCATTTAGAAACTCTTCAGCCCAACTGCTCCTTCTTTGTTCATTTGGTTTGCATTTTACAAACACTTGAGAACTGTATCTGGGAAAGACATCCTACATAGGGTATCCAGGGAATGTTTGAGTTTGATCCCTGTCCTGAAGATGCTTATGTATAGTAGGGGAAGCCATGCTTCCAAAACACTGTTCCACAAGGTGTAATATGTTGTAAATGCCATAAGGGAGAAAAATGGGTAGGATTTTGACAAGTGGAGATGACTGATGGGTAGGATAGGAAATACATAAGCAAAAGTGTAGAGCTGGAGAAGTACAGGGAACATGGAGAGGGGATGGTGACTGGGCCACTTGTACTGGAACAAAACAGAGAGGGTGTGGGATGAATGGGGAGGCCTTCAAGGAAATGAAACTGAACACTCCTGGGCCTGGGAGCCATTCCAGACTTTGATGTGGCAACATTAGAGCTGTGCTTTGTCTAGGAGCTTGGGCTAGTGTCTGTGCAGGATGGGTTGGAGAAAACAGGGACTGGATTTGCTAAGACCAGTTAGGGGTCTGTTGTGGTGACAGATAGAAAAAGGGCCTGAGTCAGACTTATGGCATTGGGTTGACAAAAAGAGTAGAGCAGGGACAAAGAAAGAAGGGCAGGTGTAAAGCTAGAATCATTGCTGGAGTGACGAGTGTTAAGCTTGGGTGAGTGGAAGGGTGGTGCTGTCTTCAGAAATCAGGAAGGCGAGAAGAGGAACTGGTTAGCATTAAGAGGAACCCTTGCCAGAGGAAAAGGCTCTAGATTTGGGATCAGAAGACCTAAACTCACATGGCCCCTCTGCTGCCTACCAGCTCTGAGTCCTCTCTGGGTTCCATTTACCCCACTGTTAAAAGGGAAGAGTAATGGTTAACTCATAGGGTTGCAGTGAGGCCTATAATGATTTATTAATGGTGTTAGTTTTTGTGCTGTTGTTTAAAGGGGGGGTTGTTGAGTTTAGGCATCGTGCTTCTAGGAGTCATCCAGGCAATTGGAAATTCTGTCTAAAGTTCTGGGAAGAGCACAGTGCTAGAAACGAATGTGGTTTCTTTTGTAGGTTTTAAGGTGACAGTTGAGGCCATAGTATGAGATAGCCACGGGGGATGTTCAGAAGATAGAGAAGAGGGCCACTGGCTGATTACTGGAAAAGATGGGCATTCAGAAGATAGGGGCAGGAAGAGCCAGCAGAGTAGACAGAGAAGGAGGAACCAGGGAGCAGGAGAGTCAGGAGAATTCATGCAGTAGACAAGCAGGGTGGGAGGGAGACCAGCGGTGTCAAATGCTGTTGGAGTCAAGGAAGGGGCATTGGATGAAGGCCACTGATGACTTGAAAACTAGTCTCTTCTAGAGTTCTAAGTAAGATTTGAGAGTAGGTTGGTTATAGTCATCAAGTCCCAATTACTCTTTTGAGACGCTTGGTAGTAAAAGGAGGGACAGAGGAGATAAGCAGGGAAGAGGGGATGGGTTTCCTTTTTCTAGTTTAGGAATGACTTGAACTTGTCTGTAAGGGGAAAGTGAAGGGAAGAGGGTGAGAGAAGGTGCTTCAAGGTTGTTGGGAGGATGGAAAAGAGAAGAGATTGGGCCCATGCTGGGAGGACTCACCTAGGGAAGGAGCAGGGATGCTCCCAGAGACAGGGGCTGGAGGAAGAGCTTAAAGAGTTATTGTGGGAATTAGGACACCAAGGGGAAAGCACCTGATGAAAATTGTCATAGACTCAGTAAATGATTGGTTGATTAGTTCCCTCCTTCCTCATCCTGAGCTCAGACTCATTTTTCCATCTACTTGCTGGACATTTCACCTGAGCTATCTCAGTTAAACATCTATTCCTAAAACCATTCTTAAATTCTCTCCCCATTTTCTTTTGTCTCCTGTGCTCATTGTCACTTGCCTGGATTATTAGAATGACTTCCTAACTGGGCTCCCCCTTTCCGGTCTCTCACTTTTCAGTGCACACTTTCTACTGCTGCCCAAGAGATCTTTCTAACCCACAGCGATCTAATCACGTTCCTCCCTTGCCTAAATCCCCAAGGCTTCCCATTGCCTGGTACATCATGTGTTTTGCTGCTGTCTGTCTGCTTAACTGCTTCCACCTCTTGTGGCATCTCCTGCCACTTGACATCCTGCTCCCCATCACTGAGCTGCTTATCGGCCCCTGAATGTGCTGTGATCTGCAGTGCTCCATGCTTGTCTGCTCTACCTCGGACGTCTTTCCTCTTTCTCTGTGGGCCCATTTTTCACACTTGGGGACTCAGCACCCTGCAAAGCTGTCCTCCATGCAGTGCTAGTTGCTCAAACTTTGTGTTCTTTTTGTACAGTTCTATGGTACAGTATTCAAGCTGTGTTGCTGTTAATTAATTTCCTGTCCCTCCCGCTGGGCTGTGAGCTCGCTCAGGGCACCTGTATTCCCAGGACTCAGCATGCAGCTTGGCACAAAACCCAGGAAAGGCTCAATGATTACTGTTGAATGAATTAATATGTCCTGCTTAATAGGGAAGCCTGTGGCACTATTATTTATTAACTCTGTGTGTGCCCAAGTTACTGAAAAGTGTCAGGTAGAGAGCCATGTTCTTCTCCAGTGCCTAGGGTGAGGCCTTTACTAGGGCTTGACTCTCTAGCTTGTTGGAACACTGATGTCTGGGCTCTTGTCACCAGATGGGACTGAGTACGGGCTGAGTGAAGCTGACATGGAGGCCTCCTACGCCACAGTGAAAAGCATGGCAGAGCAGATAGAGGCTGATGTCATCCTCCTGCGGGAACGTCAAGAAGCTGGGGGCCGTGTGCGTGATTACCTGGTCCGGAAACGAGTAGGAGACAGTGACTTCCTGGAGGTCAGGTGAGGCCTCAGAACAGTTCAGGGGTCCCTGCAGCATGAGTTGTGATTGAGCCTTTGACACCTAGTATGTCAGCTTCACCCCTTCCCTTCTGAGGCACGGAAAGAGTATCCAGAGACACAATAGGGCCTTTCTCTATTTGTGCATTTCCCCATCCCTAAATATTTCCACTTGGCAATAGTGGGAGAGAGGCCAGCCATATGCTCTGTGGGCTGCATTTTCTTTCTTTTTTCCTTTATTGATTTTAGAGAGAAAGGAAGGGAGAGGGAGAAAGAGACAGAAACATCAATGAGAGAGAACATCGAATGGCCGCCTCCTGCAGGCCCACCACTGGGGATTTGGCCCACAACCTGGGTGTGTGCCCTGACTGGGAATCGAACCGGCAACCTCTTGGTGCATGGGTTGACGCTCAACCACTGAGCCACACCGGCCAGGCTGCGTTTTCTTTCTTATCAGCCTGTGAGGCTAGAAATCAGGGTGATGGAGAAGAGCATTTTGTGCCTCTCTTTTTGGGGCCCTTCTCCAGCAGCTTTGGGGAAGCTAGTGGAAGTTAAGGAAGAAAGCCACTGTGGTGTGAACCCAGTTCCTCCTGAATTACTCTTTCTGCTCCCTGGAGAGTACCTCCAAGAACATTCCCGATATGCTTATCCATGAGTAGAAGGAACAGTGAGCTGGAGAGGCTCAGGAGCAAGCCTTTTCTTACAGATTCAGTTAGTGGGTTTCACTTCGCTCACCCACTAACTCTCATGTGGATGTCTGGATTCATGTACACGCAGGGTAGCAGTGGTGGGCAACGTGGATGCCGGCAAAAGCACACTTCTGGGGGTCCTGACACACGGGGAGCTGGACAATGGCCGAGGCTTTGCCCGCCAGAAACTCTTCCGCCACAAACATGAGATTGAATCTGGTCGCACCAGCAGTGTAGGCAACGACATCCTGGGCTTTGACAGCGAAGGCAATGTGGTGAACAAGCCGGACAGCCATGGTGGCAGCCTGGAGTGGACAAAGATTTGTGAGAAATCCACTAAAGTGATTACCTTCATTGACTTGGCTGGCCATGAGAAATACCTGAAGACCACTGTCTTTGGCATGACGGGCCATCTGCCGGACTTCTGCATGCTCATGGTAAGTGCGGCCCTCCCCAGGAGGGCAGGCTCCGGCGGGACTCTCAAGGGTGTGGTTAAATGCAAGTGTTTGGAATTGTTCAGAGGCTGAAGCCTGTTGGTTTGGGGCTTTGACACTGGGTAAGGATAACAAGTTTTGCCAGGGATGTCCAGTCCTGAACTCTACAGTCGTCTGAAGGGATGTAACTTGATCTCCTAGGTGAGGCTCAGAATGATCCCTTAAGGAAAAACCAAGGTATTTGTAGACATCTGATTTTTTTTTGGAGAGACATAGAGGAGGGTTTCTCCTAGGGTTTACTTATTACCTTCAGAAATATTTTCTTCGGGGGTTGGGCTGCTTTGAGGAGATGACACCAGGCGGTACCCTCAGAGAGGGGAGGCTGGGGAAGAACTGGAGGAGAGCACAGACAGCAATCAAGAGGGGCCTGAGAGGTGGCCTCTTTCAAAGCCTGGGATGAGTGTACTAGTTGAGGGGATTCTGCGTGCCTGGCATTGTGCTGGGCCTGAAGATAGAGCAGTGAGCAGGGCCAGCTGGGCTCCCAGAGAGCTTACAGTCTATGGGAATAGATTTTTAAGCAGCTCATTTACATAGATGAACTGAAAAGGAAAGGGAGCAGAGGCCTGTGTTGGATCACGTTGCTAAGCTTGTATTTGGGTCCCTTTGATCTTCTCCCTGGACAGAGTGGGAGTCTGTGGGGCCCACAGCCCCGGTGGCAGCTTCACAGCTTTCAGAGAGAGCGAGCAAGCACGTTTTTCTTTGGCAAGTCCTTCTTGAAGCCCTTCCCCATATCCCATTCCTCCAGCTGCTGCATTAATAAGTGTAGTAAACACAAGCATCTGTTCAGAGCAAACTCCATCAAATTGCCCCAAACCACAGATTCTCAGGCAAGGTTTCCCAAACTGGAGACTGGAGAGGCGGGGCATATGGAGGAACACTTGTGGGCTCTGCCCAGGGTTCTTGGGATCTCAGTGTGATTTCATTTCCCATATTTTTGATCATTGCAAGGGACCATTACCAGCCTTGACTGAGCTAAGGAAAGATGCTCTATAAGAGGTTTCCAAGGGTCACGCATTTGATTCCTAGACAAGGGCATGTACCTGGGTTGCAGATTTGATCCTGGGCCCTGGTTGGTGTCATGCAGGAGGCAACTAATTGTTGTGACTCTCACATTGATGTTTCTCTCTATCTGTCTTCCTCCCTCTCTTCCACTCTATCTAAAAATCAGTGGAAAAATATCCTCCGGTAAGGATTTTTAAAAAAAGATTCCTGCTTAAGAATTTGTTTACGTAAGCTGACCTTCACTTGTACTTGAGGCCCGCATTTGTAAGCTGAGGGCCAGAGGAGTTTCAGTGGATGGTCCATGGGGCGTATTGGGGGAGGGTGGGTATTAAGAAAGGTATAGACATCAATCAGTTTAAAATTAGCACTTTACGTCCGGCTGGTGTGGCTCATCGGTTGATCGTTGACCCATGCACCAAGAGGTCGCCAGTTTGAATTCTGGTCAGGACACATGCCCAGGTTGTGGGTCCGATCCCCAGTGGGAGGCATGCAGAAGGCAACCAGTCAATGTTCTCTCTCATTGATGCTTCTATCTCTCTCTCCCTTCCTCTCTCTCTCTCTAAAATCAATAAAGAGAAAAATAAACAAACAAATAAATTAATTAATTAAATGAGCACTTTTCTGACTGAGCTATAGTGAGCAAGGCCAATTATTGAAAATATCTTCACCCATATGAAATGTTAAATATTATCTGACTTTTGGGCCATGATTCAAATACTAAAAATTTTCTGTAGAAAATAATGAAATATTTTATTATTGTTCTATGTCAATCAGTTTCCAGCGGGCTGGGGGTAGGGGGGAGGGTCTTTAAAATATATAAATAGAGCAGTAGAGCTCTTTAGATTTGGAAGAGCAAAAGCAAGTCTGGGTTGGGTAAGAAAGGTTGGAGGGAATGGGAAAAATTAGGGAAGATAATGGAGGTGTTTTGGTGTAGGTGGAAGGGAGCACAGGTATGGGACATCTGTGTCATTGGGTGGTGGATCACCTGTGAACTGTGATGATCACATATCATGGCAATTTAAATTAATTTTGTTTTATTAAGTAACACATTTATATGATACAAAAATAAGGTACCAAAAGGCTTCTAGTGAAAAGTCTCTCTTCCTCACTCTGTCCAGTTTCCTATCAGAGGCAAGTAGTATTGCCAGTTTCTCATGTATCCTCCAGAGATATCTGTAATCATATTAGCAAAAGTAGTATATATTCTCTCCATCCAACTTCAACATTCAGAAAAGTTGAAAGAATAGTATAATGAATACCATAAATTCGCCACTCAGATTCAACAGTTAACATTTTGCCCTACTTACTTGTGTATGTGATGGATGTGTGTGTGTGTGTGTGTATGTGTTATATTTTGGCTTAATTATTTGAAAATAGATTATAGACATTATGACTCTTCATCTGCAAATACTTCAGCACACAGCTCCTAAAAGTAAGAACTGTCTCCTACTGTTATTGCAAGCAAGAAGGTGAACAAGAGCTCCCTCATCTCTAGTCTAGAAGTACTGATGTTTCTCAGATGTTCCCCAACTGTCAGACATCTGCTTTTTTTGAACGGTAATCCATTCATCGTTTTTTAAATGGTAGCATGTTATATACACCTTGCTTGTATCCCCTAAAAAACACATTTTAGAGCCCTCCCGGTTTGGCTCAGCAGTTAGATCGTCAGCCCACGGACCAAAGACTTTCGGGTTTGATTCCCGTCAAGGCCCTGATCAGGGTTGTGCAGGAGGCGACCAGTCGATGTGCCCCCTCCACTCTATCTGAAGATAAATAGAAAAATGTCCTCGGGTGAGGATTTAAAAACACACACACACACACACACACACACACACACACACACACACAACACATTTTAGAGATTATCTCCTATCAGTAGATAAGAGTTTCCTCTTTTCTTGTGAGGCCCACTTGTGCTTGTGCCATAATTTATTTATTTATTTATTTTTAATCCTCACCCGAGGATATTTTTCCATTTATCTTTAGATAGAGTGGGAGAGGGAGAGAGAGAGAAACATCGGCTGGTTGCCTCCTGCACAACCCGACCAGGGCCGGGGACAAACCAAAACTGAGGTACATGCCCTTGACTGGAATTGAATCCACGACTCTTTGGTCCAGGGTCCGACACTCTAACCACTGAATGAAACTTGCCAGGGCTTTGCCCTAATTTGTTTAACCAGCCTTTGTGGCGATATTTAAAAACGTTTATGCCCTGGCCAGTTTGGCTCAGCGGCTAGAACGTCAGCCCACAGACGGAAGAGTTGCGGGTTTGATTCTGGTCAGGGGCACGTGCCTCATTTGCAGTTCGGTCCCTAGCTTTAGTCATGTGTGTAGGTGGCAACTGGTCGATGTGTCTCTCGCACATTGATGTTTCTCTCTTTCTCCCTCCCACTCTATTTGAAGATAAATGGAAAAGTGCCCTCTGGTAAGGATTTAAAACAACAACAAAAAAACCCGTTTATTATTATAGGAAGGCAGAGTAACAGTAATAGCAGCAGCCATGGCTTGAACACCTAATTCATGCTAGTTGTGTGCTGGACCTCTGACATATGTTTTATTATGACATTTAAACCTCAAGTGACTCTCTAAGTGTGTATTATTCCCCCATCTTATAGATCAGGATACTGAGGGCCAGGGATCTGAAACTGAATTCACTTTGATGACCCGAGACTATTATTTTCCCAGACTGTTTGGGTTTGTCTTTTTTATTGCTTCCAAGTCTTCTCAGATTTTGATGTGCCATGTTGTCAAATCAGGTTAAAGCAGTCTGTTACTGGCCTGAGACTGGTGTCCCCTGTGTCCTGCTTTGATGGAAGCCTCAGAGATGGGAGCTCTTTCTTACTCCAGCAGTTGTTAAGTCTCTGTGCCAACCAGCAGCAACCTCTGTCTCCCTTGCCCTGACAGTTCTTTCTGTGTTGGGGCAGGTGGGCAGCAATGCTGGCATTGTCGGGATGACCAAGGAGCACCTGGGCTTGGCATTGGCACTCAATGTGCCTGTTTTTGTGGTGGTCACCAAGATTGACATGTGTCCTGCTAACATCCTGCAAGGTAAGTGGAGCCTCCAGCTAGCAGCTGTCACCCACTGTGGCTCCTTGGTGGTCTGCTGCCAGTGCTTCAGCCCAGAACCTTGCTTCCTTATCTTGTCCTCAGACCGGGCCTGAATTTCCCATCAGCCCAGAATCTTCTGCTTTCTCCCCTGTTCAACTCTTGGTCTGAGCACAGCCTAGAATTATCATCTGCACACTGTTCTTTCTGGTTCCAGATGCAAGATTCTTGAGATCCTTAATCTGGCACCTCTTTCAGATGGCCCTGACAGAAGGGGCGGGGTTTTGCCATCTAAGCTGGATATATGTGGTAACACTGGGGCAAAGGGTCTGAGAATCTTTGACCACCAGAGGCTTCAAAACAGGGTTGCAGGACTAGGTCTTCATGCATTTCTCCCTCATTGCTGCAGGTGGTAGAAGAGAATTAGGGGAGATAGCCTTTTGGAGGGCCTCATAAGGACCTCTGCAGGTGTCTAAATGTCCTAGAGATCCTTCTGTCAGATTCACTTTGTTTTCAGGAAGCAGATTATTCTGAGAAGAACATTGTCCTTATGGATCACCCCACCCCCACCCCAAGTCACTTACTAAAAGGATTCAGAGACTAGAGAAATCCAGCGGGTTTCAGACTCGTAACCTTAGCAGACAGGCCCCGTCTGTGCTCTCTTCCTACTCGAGCAAGCACGCATCCACCCAAAGTTTTGATCCTCTCCTTTGCTTCTCCAGGCATTGTGGCATTTAACATTGTCTGTCTTCTGCTTGCAGCAGTAATGAGTGGACCTGTCTTGCTCTGGAAGCCTGGTCAAAGAGAAGGCTGTGTTCCCCTAATTCTGTTCCATTTCACCCTTTAAGAAACCCTGAAGCTGTTACAGCGCCTGCTGAAGTCTCCAGGCTGCCGGAAGATCCCTGTGCTGGTGCAGAGCAAGGATGATGTGATCGTGACGGCTTCCAACTTTAGCTCTGAGAGGTAATAGGGTGGGGAGCGCTCACTTCTGGGCAGGTACAGACAGTGGATGAAACAGACTCTTGTGGTCTCTGCACAAGGTCTCCCAGGCTGGCAGTATTGCCCAGGGGCTATTTCAGGTGACTCACATTCTGAGGAGCTAGCCTCGCTGAGGTCGGAATCCCAGCCGAGACTTCAGTGTCCTTGTCTGTGAAATGTGCATGATGTTACCTTCTCCATAGGGCTCTCATGAGTGTTGGGAATGACGTATAGAAAGCACTTAGCGATGTGCCCAGCTGCCAGCCATTTTTATAACTTGTACATTTGTATAATGTTATTTCTCAAAAGCCTTTGAATCACAAATCACTTTAGATCTTTACTCATTAACACATCCTTTGATTCCATATATATGTTTTGGAAATCTGCTTGTGCCAGGTTCTTCATCTAGGCATTGAGGTTTCAGAGTTAACTCGGGCACTATCCTTGTCTTCAAGGTGGTCAGCTCCTTGGTCAGAGATACTTTTTAAACTTTGTTAACTCTGTTCCTTCTCCCAGAGTCTTGGGGCTGCTTAGAGCCTTCCGCCTTCTGGCTTGGTCTGTAGTATAGGACCCTGGCATTTTGGCCTATTGGCTCTGCCCTGACACTGTCTTCAAGTACCACCATTTGGTGAGCAGAGGGGTTACATTTCAGCCGACACATTTTATCTTTTAAGTTTTATTGATTTTCTTGTTTTGTTTTTTTTAGAGAGAGAGAAAGAGAGAGAGAGAGAAGCATCCACGTGAGAGTGAAACATCAGTCGGCTGCCTCCTGCAGGCCCCCTACCAGGAATCAAGCCCGAAACCCAGGCATATGCTCTGACTGGGAATTGAGCCAGCAACCTTCAGTGCCCAGGACGACGTCCAGCCAACCAAGCCACAGTGTCCAGGGCCAGCTGCCCCATTTTAATTCACTGGTTTTCTCTGGTGCCTGTTCTGCGCAGGTGCTCTTCTAGAAGCTATGGGGAATATGTGATTCCTGATCCTGAGCAGTGTGGTTCACTCTGGATAGGAGGTATAGAGGCCACTGAGATAACTGATGGAAAGTCAGACTTAGTTACATGTAACAGACGCAAAAGTTCAAGAGCTGAGAGACAGCGAGTCCCCTCTGGGAAGGGTCTCCTGGAAGCAGCAGCCTGGAGATGTGCCCTGGAGGATGAGAGGATGTGGCAGGATGAAAAGGAAGGACTTCAGTCAGGAGGATCAGAGTGAACACGGGGTAGAAGGGAACCAAGCTTTTAGGAGAAACTAAGGTTTTCCGGTCTGACTGGAATATAGGACTTTAAGAGGAGTAAGCCTGCAGACAGGTTGGGAGAAGGGATGCAGGCCACTTTCTCGTAATGGTGAGGGGATTAAAGATTTCAAGCAAGCATGCGTGTGCTTTAGGAAGAAGCAGTTAAGAGTGCCTGAAATAGGGCAGTGGTAGAGAGACAGAGAGAAAGGGGCAGGGTTCAGAGACAAAACTGAGTAAGAGGAGAAAGCCTTACAGTCAGCAGGGCAGAAGGGTAGGGCCCTGGGAGGGGGTGGGGGCAGTGGGGCCATCCCAGGAGCCCTCCTGCTGCTCCCATCCTGTGCCAGGCAGGAGCTGGCCTCCTGAGCTTGTCTTTCTTATTCTTCACCCTCCACTTAGGATGTGCCCGATATTCCAGATCTCCAATGTTACAGGCGAGAACCTAGATCTGCTGAAGATGTTCCTCAACCTCCTCTCCCCCCGCACCAGCTACCGGGAGGAAGAACCTGCTGAATTTCAGATTGATGACACTTACTCTGTACCAGTGAGTGGCTTCTGGCGGACTGAGCAGGGTGGGAGGCTGGGCAGGCACTCCCTACAAGGTGTGTTGGGTTGGGTCTGTGGTGGAGAGGGGCTAAATGGGGATAGACTTACTGGGCCAGGTCTTCTCTGCAGGGCGTGGGGACAGTGGTATCAGGGACAACACTCAGGGGCCTGATCAAGCTGAATGACACTCTGCTGCTGGGCCCAGATCCTCTGGGTAACTTCCTGTCCATTGCTGTCAAATCGATCCATCGAAAGCGCATGCCTGTCAAGGAGGTGCGGGGGGGCCAGACAGCCTCTTTTGCACTAAAGAAGGTGAGTGTCAGTAATACTAATACTCCCTTGGGAGTCCTCCGCATTTTACTAGGCTCTGGGCCATCTCCAGTCCTCATGGCTGTTCTGCAAGCCGGGGGTTACTGACCTTACTTTTAAAGATGAGAAAACAGGCTTAGAGAGCCTGCGTGACATGCCCGGGAGTACACAGGTAGTAAGTGCTAGAGCTAGGACTTGATCCCAGGCCTGCCCGCCTCCTAAGTTTGTTCTCCATTTAGTGCCTGAGCTGAGTGTCCTGAGCTCAGTTGTGAGGTCAGATAGGCATCTCCCTGCTGTGTTGAAGGTCCTTCTCCATAGGGCCATTGGGATCCATGCCAGATCCTCTTCCTATTCAGCCTTCTGTCCCTCAGGGGTTGGGGTGAGTGCTAGTTCTAGGATCACCTCCCTTTTCCACCAACCAACAAAGTGGGACTTTCTTTATTTCCTCCAACAGTCATGTCATACTCTCCCTGTTCATTCCGCCTAATGCCTGCCTGCCTGTGCCCTTACCACCCACTTAATTCTTACCTGTCCTTAAGGCCCAGCTGAAATGCCACTTCCTGCATGAAGCCTTTCCTGACCCCAAAGAGCAGTGTTTAAGCTTCCCACCGAGCACTAACTGCTGCCCAGAAGGCCCGTGGATCACATCACTGCAGTGAGGGCAAGGCCGAGTGGGGCTGGTCCTCATTCCCAGGAGGACTCCTAGACCTCCAGAACCAGGGGTGAAACCTGAAGGCACATTGTCCTTGAGGTCTGGGATTCCCTCTTTCTTTCAGATTAAGCGCTCATCCATCCGGAAGGGCATGGTGATGGTTTCCCCCCGTTTGAATCCCCAAGCATCCTGGGAGTTTGAGGCTGAGATCCTCGTCCTCCACCACCCCACCACGATTAGCCCGCGCTACCAGGCCATGGGTAGGTGTCTAAAGGGGTTGCCACCCCAGGAGGCCCCCTACTCTAGCTCTCTCTACAAAGTGCTCCAGCAACACAAACCCCCGAGTTTCACCTCTGTCCAAGAGGCAGGTCTTCCTGCTTAGTGATGCTCTCTTTTCTGCGCACGAGCTGTAGCGTTTATTCAGTCCTGCAGACAAACCGAGTGCCAGCCGTATACCTACTCAGTGTCTGCTGATGTGGCTGTGTGCCAGGTATTGCCAGATGCTGGGGAAAAAGACCAGATAGGCAAGGGGCCTGCCCATAAGAAGCCAACAGTTTAGAGAAGGCACACATGCAAACACGGTGCCCCGCATTCAGGAACAAGGACCATCGGTCCAGGGACAGTTGGGGTCTAACTGGAGGAAGAGTGAGGAGAGTTCAAGGCACGATCAGATCTCAGTGCAGCCTCGGTTCACTCGGCTTCTCCAGGCCTCCCTGAGGCCTCGGCGTGCTGTAGCTGGAGCATGTTCATGCTTTCACGCACTGCCTCCCCTGCCCTGCGGCTACCGGGTGGCTCAGCCTGTCCTGACCCGGCTACCGGGTGGCTCAGCCTGTCCTGACCTGGCTCCGTTGGCAGTGCACTGTGGGAGCATCAGGCAGACGGCCACCATTCTGAGCATGGATAAGGACTGTCTACGCACTGGGGACAAGGCCACTGTGCACTTCCGCTTTATCAAGACACCCGAGTACCTACACATAGACCAGCGACTGGTGTTCCGGGAAGGGCGCACCAAGGCTGTGGGCACCATCACCAAGGTAAGGCCGGGCAGATCTCACCTGCCCCCAGCAAACACCAGGGGCCTCTAGACCCTGAGCGCAGCAGGTGCTTCTTGAGAAGCTGTGCAGAATCTCCTGACCTGTCGGGGCAGAGGGGCCAGTCTCTGCCGTGGGAGAGCTGGAACAGCGCATTTCTTCTGGGTGACAGTTCTTGAGATTTCTGATGACCGCACCCCAAATGTTTCAGCTACTGGGGTAGTCACTTGGTTTCTGGGAAGCCTGAAGTTAAAATTTGCCCCAGACTCTTGTTGCAGGGACAGCAGGGTCCTAGGGCTGGAGATGCAGTTGATGGTCTGAGGAGCCTTAGCAGCTTAGAAAGCAGAGCCTTGGGTTCAGCTCACCTGGCTCTGGCAGGCTGGGCCTCCGTCTGGGAGCTGGGCTGAGTGGGCGGGGGCTGAGGGTCCCCGACTGTCTGAAGGAAGAACAGCCAGAGCAGAGGACAGGATGGAGTCCTACCTGGCTGGGCTCAGGTAGCCTGGGACTCTGTGGGGCAAGAACATCTCTCCCTCCCTCTGCCCCTGTTGTGGCCCGCTCCCCCAGGACCCGCCAGGCCAGGCAGTGAGAAGTCCCTGAGAGAGGGGGCGGGGGAGCGGGCAGCTGAGCTGATGCCACTGCCTGCAGCTCCGGCCTCACCCTCACCCCCTTGGCCCCTGCAGCTCCTCCAGACCACCAACAACTCTCCAATGAACTCCAAGCCTCAGCAGATTAAAATGCAGTCGACGAAAAAAGGCCCCCTGACCAAACGAGAAGATGGGGGTGCATCTGGAGGGCCAGCAGTAGGGGTACCCCCTCCTGGAGATGAAGCTGGCTCTCTAGGGGCTGCACAGTCAGCTGCGTCCAGCAGTCTCCAGCCAACGGTGAGCGTGCCTCCTAGCCAGTCCTGGACCCCTGACCACGGGGGGCGGAGTACAGGCAGGGCCAGGGGGTGTGGCTGTCACAGTCAGTGGAGGTGACATGTAAGAGAGCTTCAGGCAGCCTTCGCCCACTGCCACATCTGTGCATAGACAGAATGTGTTCCGTAGCTCCAGGCTCCTGGGTGCTTTCCGAGTGGGAGCTATTTGCCTCTGAAGGTGCTGTTTTCAAACTTGGACATGTGGCCTATGTACAGTCAGTGTAACCGGGCCCAGTTAGCATTTGGCTTCCACATTTCAGTTTCCCTTTCCTAGTAAGAATAAATATTGTTTGTGTGCGTGTGATGTGTCTGTGCACTGTGGTCCAAAGGGTTTGAAAATCGCTGCCTTGGAGGCTCTCCTGTGTCCTCTCCCCTGACATGATGCCTCCTGAGGGGTTGGTGGCCTCGGGCCCTGTGTCACTGTGGCTGTCACTCAGCATCCCCTGCCAGCTCTGTCCCAGGGTGTCTCCTGGCACCCCCTCACCTCGCTCCTTCCAGAGTCTCTCAGTCTGACCACTCTTTGGAGAAGGAAGCTTTTGCCTGGACCTGTCCTTTCTGCTCTCATACATTGAGCTTTTCTCTGGCTCCTGCATTCCCTCTTTTTAAAAAATATTCTTCTTTATTGATTTTAGAGAGAGGAAGGGTGAGGGAGAGAGAGATAGAAACATCGATAAGAGGGAACATCGATTGGCCACCTCCTGCATGTCCCCCACAACCTGGGCATGTGCCCTGACCAGGACTCGAACCGGTGACCTCTTGGTGCATGGGTTGACACTCAACCAGTGAGCCACACTGGCTGGGCACGTTTCCTTTCTCTTTCCACCTGTCAGTTGTGGTGGAGTTGGCTCCTGCTTTCTCTGTGCTTCTCTGAGCACGAATACCCTTACCACATGACCCGCCTGCCCGGCAGGTGGCAGGTGGGCAGCGCTGGCCCTTGCTCCGTCTGATGGGAGGAGGCTGGGATCACATTGCCTGCCCTTCATCTCCTGCCCCCCTTCCTGCTGACCTGCTCCTTGCTGCCCTGCCCCGTGTCCAGTGGCCTATGGCTTCTCAAGCTCCTTCTTTCTCTTTCAGCTCAAGCCCAGCAGCGGGGGCCGGCGACGAGGGGGCCAGCGTCACAAGGTGAAGAACCAGGGGGCTTGTGTGACTCCTGCCAGTGGCTGCTGAATGTTCTGTCTCCTCTCCACCCAAGGGATCCTTACACTCTGTCCATGCTCCATCGGATGGGCCAGAGCAGCGTCGCGCCCTCCTCCGCCACAGTGGAGCCTCCTCATTCCCCCACCCTGGTTTCAGGGGTGTTGTAATTTATAAGCTGAGGAAGGTGGCCAGACTTCCAGAGCACTGACCATCTCTCACCCTCTTGTCCACCTTCTTCCTCACTCCGTCTGTACATCTGGGCCCTTAGTTTTCATTTTTATTCTCTCTCGTGTTGGGGGGGGGGAGGGATGGGGGTGCAGGAGCGTGGCACTCAGGGCCCTGGCATCTTCTTTCTCCTTCTTCATGGCTGGCCACCAGCCTCCAGGAGCTGACCGCTGGCCCATTCGTCTGTCCATCCATGTGTGTGTGTGAGAACCTTTAGGGGCTGTCAGGAGCTGAAGGTGCCCCATCCCAGGGCTGCTCTGCCCGGAGCCCTCCGGAGCCGGCCTCAGGCGGGGCTGCAGGTGTGGGCTGCTGCTGCCAGCTCAGAGGGCGCCTCCTGGGACTCGGGCTTCTAGCAGGGTGGACGGTGCTGGCTTCCTCTTCTCTCCCTTTTCTCCTTCAACCCCAAACAGGTAATGCCAAAAGCTCTTAAATTGTAACCTGTAGATGTGTGGAGGGGAGAGGCAATTGGATTGTAAGGTCCTCCCTATCCCTAACTCTGACCCTTGCCACTGACCCAAGACAGCTGGTGGCTTTTCTTTCCCCTTCGAGACAATCCTGTGTTTGCCTGCTGGTCAGGGCAACTCCTGCTCTGGAGTCTGCTGAGCCAGGGCTCTCGCCTCTCCCAGGAGCTGTCTCCCACTTGGACTTCGAATCTTATTGGGTCTTGGGGCACTGATGACCTAGACCAGTGTCACCTGCTCAGGGTCGTGCTCACTAGCACCTCCTTTTGGTATGGTGTGGGGTGTTCCTCTGAGCCAGGCTGGGACTGGAACCCCTCTTCCCACCACACCTTGGTCACGTTGCCCCTGCATGACCGCTACAGGAGCACAGCAGTGAAGGCCTGAGCCCCAGGTTTGGAAGCCCCAACTGGGATACAGGGAGGCAGGTCCAGACCAGCACAGAGCAGTAAGCCCTCTGGAAGAATCTGCCTGGGGTGGGGGTGCCAGGACAGAGATGGCAGCGTGGGCCCTGAACCAGCCTGGTCTGAGTTGTGGACTGAGGAGCGGAGATACGTTCTTTTTCTAGCCGGGGCAGACATCCAGCTGGCTGGGTCCTTCCTCAGCCTTGCCTCCCGCTTGTCCCCAACCCTACTCCTTGCCTTCTGCTCCTAGACTGCTGGTCCCCTCACCTTCCCTTCTCCCAACTGTTTCTAGTCACCACTGACCTGTGGCCGTGGACTGACCAGACCAGCACACAAGTGTTCAGGTGGATAGTGTGTTCCTGTCCTCCCCCTCCAGGTGGCCCAGAGCCCGTCTCAGAGCAGGGGGGTTGGACCCAGCATCTGTAAGGCAGGCGTGGCTCTGCCCAGGCCCTTCCACCGGCCCTGACACAGGACGAGTGGCCAGCCTCGCTGAACTTTCCTCCATGGCAAGAGGGGAATGCCTGCGTGCCTACGAGGGTTGTCAGGGTTTAGTGAGGGGATATGGTGAGGCCCTGATGTGCCCGGACGTGGGAGGCACCTGGTGAATGGCCACCACGCTGCTTACCACCCGTACTGATCCCCAAGCCCCATAGCAGAGGCCACAGCTGGGGACAGGCTTGGAAGGAGAAGTGTGGCTTCGATTGTTATGTGGCTGGGCTGTGCCAGGTGTCTCCCTTGCTTCACATTATTTGAGGGAGGTGGTCTTTGTGCCATTCTTCTAGTGAAGGGAACCAGCTCAGAGGAGCAGTGCCACCGCAGGCAGGACCCCGCCCGGCCCTCCCCCAGCCACCCCGGGAGCTCGGCTGCTACCATGTCCTTCGGCCCCTGCTTGTTCCTTTGTCTATTGGCTGTTTCCCTCTCACTTCTTGACTCTGGTTCTGCTTACAGGGGTTCTGCCCCCGAACCCTTCAGCATTGGAGGGCTCCAGCGTTGGGCAGCCCCCTCCGTCCCCACGGCGGGTGCTGTGGAATTGGTGTTTCCATAGGGCTTGGCGTGGTAGAACCTCAGAACAGGTGGAACCTCATTTTGTTTGAACTCTTCAGCCCCTGTGAGCATAACCACTTTGCGTTTGGAAGCTGTGGCCGCCATCCTGGCCTCTGCCCTCAGACATTCAGGAGGTTGGTCTGGGTCTGTGTGGTCACCAAGCCACACCTACCAGTGGGGGGCTGACAGTGCAGCGTCTCACTGTCCTCAGCAGGGACAGCAGAAGTTCCCTGTGGGCCTCAGCCCTACCAACTTTCCGTTTGGAACAAGACACCAGCCCTTTTGTAGTTGATAAAGAATAAAGCTGTTAATCTCATCACCTCGAGTAGCAGATCATGGCCCGTCTGTAGGAGCAGGTGGCGGTGGTGGTGTCTGGATTCGTCGCACCTGCTCTGGCTCACTGGCCTCTCCCGCACAGCGCAGGTGACAGGAATGTGCCGTGGTTCAGAGGACGTGCAGCTGACCAGGGTCTTGGGATGTACCCCAGGGAAGATGCTGAGAGGTGCTGTGGGGGGCCCTTCGGATCTGGATGTGTGCCGACAGGCAGAGGGTATGTGCCTAGCCGCAGAGGACGGGGGCAGAGGCCCCAAGCCCTGGGACTGTGTGGCAAGTTTCAGGGACTCACTACTGGTACCACTCGGGGATGTCCCCTTTGTTGAAAAATGGTGCTCGTTGCAGAGTGGTGGTGAGTGAAACGGAGAGAAGTGAGTAGGTGGGGGTGCTGAGCCGGATGTAGCACTAGCTCTTTCTGGACCCCGAGCTCAGGGCCTCAGAACTGGCCCAGGGCCTCAGGGCTGGATTTGTGCTCCACCCGGCTCGTCTGGCAGTTCATCCCCCAGTCCCCGCCCTGCTGTCTGTTCCTGGTTTTATTTTCTCAGCTGTGATGGGGACTGGCCCTGGACCAGGTGTCGTGGTTAGGACAAGAGGTGTGTTTGAGGGTCCAGTTTGAGGACAGCCCCTGGCCCTTTGGGCAGCTCATGAGAGACACTGAATCTGGGGAAGCATTTAGGGACGTATTTCCCTGAGCTGGCAGCTTCTGGCTCTTCAAGGGACCCACTTCCTTGTCCTATCACAGTCCAGACACAAGGTGCAGAGGTCTAACTCCCGTGGAGGAGGCTCGCAGCCCTAAAGGCAGACATGGTCACTAATCAGGTAACCTCCCTTCTACTCAAATGGCTCTACGCGATGCAGGAAAAGCCACCTGCTTCATGATGCAATGTCTATGTCAGCTTAAATAAAGCCACCTCACTTTCCCCTGCCACAGCTGAGTTTTAGCTAAGAGGCCTGGGCAAGTCTTTGAGGCATTGTTTTGACTAGGAATTCATTCTCGTTTTCCCAAGAGTGGATTCCCTGTGCAATGACCAGATAAAAACCACATATTCCATTAGTCCTGGGCATAATTTATTTTTTGCATAGGCATAAATTAGAATCTGGAGATAAAAAAATTAAGAACCCAACAGTGCAGCATTTGTGACAGAAGAGCTGGGGACGGGCTGTGTGGGGGCCAGTGCTGGAGGAGCACAGGATGGCCTGGGGCCTCACCTTCCTCCCAGCCCCACCCGCAGGAGCCCAGGCAGGGCTCAGCCCTCCTCCTGAGGGCACCTGCCTGCACCACAGCCTCTCGGCAGCCGGGTTACAAGGACCCGAAATCACCCAGTGCCCCACACAACGGGGCTAGGAATCAAGCCCTTAGCTTTTCAGTTAAAAAACAGACCCTGAAAAATCTTTACATAATACAGCAGGGCCTGCTGGGTCAAAAAACCCCTGCCTCCGGCCCCTGCCCCACATAGCCCACCCCCCAGCCCCTCATAGAAAAAAAGCCAGAACGGAAATGACTGAGCAAGAGCTGAAAGAGCCCCACGGGGGTGGCTGACAGTGAGGGCCCCTTACACCAGGGACCTGATTGCAATGGAGGGTGGGTCAGGGCCCACAAGGCAGACCGACCTCCCGCCACGATACCCTGAACATGATCACATCATCACTGGGCCATCAGGAGAGCCCAGGGAGACCCCTGCTCCCACGCTTTTAGCTGACCCCAGATCCCTACAGCCTCGGCTCCATGTACCCTGGGGGAATGTGGCAAGCTTGCTCAAGGGGTAGGCAGGCCCCAGTCCCAGCATCAAGAGAAAAAGCAACTAGTGTCCCCAGCTGAGGGGATCCTACAGGGCTGGCTCCTGGGCCCCTCAGAAGTTTGCAGGAGCCAGACCTACGGTACAAGTAGCCCCACGGCCCACCTCAACCCAGGAAAAATACAGTATATAGAAGCCCTTCGAGGACCCCGTGGGCCAAGCTCCCCTGGGTGGACAGCACTGGCTTCTGTGAGAGCCGCGGTCTCCCAGGAGCTTCCTGCCTGCTGCCCAGTCCCAACCTGAACTGAGCGGCCTCCTCCCACAGGGCCTCAATTCCCTGCCCCGGGCCCTAGCTTGTGTCACCCATGGCTTTGGCATGTGCGTCATTCACACGCCTCCCAACAGAGCTTCCTGGGTGCCAGCCCCTCCACTGTGGGCCAGAGGCAGTCAGGTCTTACCCACAACTGCTGGACCATGTCCACTCTCACCTCCTGCCTCAGTCCCACATGATATGCTACATATATACACCCTCCCAGGAGGGGGAGTAGGCACCTGGTGCCTGGCACAAGGGGGGCGAAGGAGCTGGAGCAGCTGTGCCCATCGAGCGCCCGCTGCCAGGAAAGCGCTGCATGTTCTTCCTCACGTCCTTGGGGCAGGGGTTCTCGCTCCTGGAAGTCAGTGCGCCGATCAAGCATGTGGGAGAAGTGGCAGGGGTGCTGCTCGCCCACTCCCAGAGAAGGGGGCACGCTGGCTGCCCAGCTGGCTGGCAGCAACATGGGGAAGGCCTAGTGGGCAGGCTCCCCATGCACCCTGAAGCGGTAGATGCAGGTGTACTCAGGGTGGCCCCAGTTAGTCAAGATCCGCAGCTCCACCACCTGGTATGTGGCCATTTTAGGGTCCTGGGTGGAGAGGAAGAGGCGTGTCAGGGCCTCAGACTTCACCGGCAGCAGGCGGGGGGGGGGGGGGGGGCGTCTCCCCTGGGGCCTCTGCAGACACCTGGACTTCTGGAGAGTTTCCAGCTGGTGGGCCAAGGAACCCCCAGGCCTTCAGAGGTCCTACAGGGACCACCCACCCAGGGCCGCCTGGAAACGGCCTTGTAGCTGAGCACCAGCACAGTTCATCCCAAACTGACACCCCGCAGGAGCTCGCGATCATTACTGTCAGCGGGCGGAACTACCTGCTATTATGTTGATGTCAGGAAAGAAGCCCTTTACTCTGAATTAAGCAGAATTTCTTTTCTTTCTCAAGTCGCCATCAGGCCTCTGTCCTCTCTGCTCAAAGAGCTACAATGTTTGAGCCAGCTTTCGGAGGTCTCACCTTCTGCCCCGCCCACCAGCCCTCCTCCACTGCCAGTTCTCCAGCCTGTCCTAAAGGCACAGTCTACACATCCTGAGAAGCCCCAACTACTCCCATGGCTCCGTATCACCTTGGAGCTCACAGCCAGGCTGTCCAGGCCCTGACCACTCCACTGGACCATACCACAGGTGCCTCAAACTTGGTAGCCAAACCTGCCCCCATCTCTGTATTAGCTTCTCGACTGCCTTCTCCTCCACCTCCTCCCCCCCTGTTGTGTCCCACCACCTCTCCGTCCTTGAACACCCTCTGTCAGTTCCGGCTTGCTTTCTTGCAGCCACTTCGGCCGTCTCCCTGTCTCCAGGCTTGTGCCCGTTAGACTCACCATTCACACGCACAGTGATCTTAGAATGATGTACATCATTCTGGCATGTCTCTGCCTAAAACAGCAATGCCCTCCCCTCCCCCCACCCCAGCCCTGAGGGCTGAAGTTCTTTGGCCGGGTACCCAGGCGGCCTCTCCAGGCTTTCTTCCTGCCCCTGTCCCTCACCTCACAGCCCCTGCCTCACACTAGTGTGTTCCAAGTCCTCACCCCTGGTGGAGGCTGCAGACAACCCGCATCAGCTCCTCTGTGCTGTCGGTTAGAACGCAGGTCCCTGGGTCCCAGCGGCCCTAAGGAATCGACCTCCAGGGTGTAGCCTGGGACTCTGCATTTCCAAAAAGTCACTTGGCCCTGGCCGGTTTGGCTCAGTGGTTAGAGCATCAGCCTGCGGTCCGGAGAGACCCGGGTTCAGTTCCCGCTAAGGGGCACGTACTTCGGTTGCAGTGTGTCCCCGGCCCTGGTTGGTCGTGCGGGTGGCAGCCACTCGATGTGTCCCTTTCACGTCGATGTTTCTCTCTCTCTCTCTCTCTCTCTCTCCCTCCCACTCTATCTGTACAAAAAATGGAAAAATGTCCTCAGGTGAGGATAAAAAAAAAAAAAAAAAAGAAGCACAAAAGTCACTTGGACAGCTGTCTCTGTTCTATGCCCTGAGCTGCGGGAGGCCAGGAGCTGTGGTCTCCTGCTCTGAACCCCCGGTGCCTGGCACAGGTAGTGGGTGGGGAAGTGAGCATGCCACCTCGGCTGGCATCACAACCCTGTACCTGGAAATAAAATGTCTGAATGGGCTCCCCATCCTGGTTGTAGGTGAACTGGCCAAGAAGCGTCCCCTCCTGCTGCAGGTCTTCATCAAACCCCTGGAAAGAGCAATGGATGAAGGGAGATCCTGCCCTCAGACACATGCCCCAGCCACCGGGGAGGAGTCCCTGTTCCCACAGTGGTCGCCTCCCACCCAGGGGACTACAGTGGACCCGAGCACTGGACACAGGGCTACTGTGGGATCTGTGACAGGCAAGTCACTTAGCTCCTTGGACCTCTGTTTCTTCCTCCGTAGCCCGAGACAACTGGGATTGAAGTGCCATTTCCCACCCTGGCACCATCTCTTCCAAATCTGCCCCCCTCCCTGACCACAGAGTGACCCCAACTTTATCCTCAGTAGAGACCCCCAGGGTCCTCTTGCAGCCCTCGGGCCCTGCACAGGTGAGATACTCACAAAGACAGCGAAGTCCTTGGGGGCACTAGAGATGGTGCTGTTGGGTGACAGGGACTTGGGCACGTGCTCTAAGGTGACGGCAGTGGGGTGGATGCGGGCAGAAAGGCGAATGACGGCAAAGCCCTGGGGCCCTTGGAAGGCCCAGCAGTTGCCTGGGTGCACATCTGGCTGGAAGGGGAGAAAGTCGGGTCAGGGCAGGGCTGGCGATGGAGCCTGTCCTGAGCACAGCTCTGGCTGACCGGGGGACCCGTCACCCAGCTACATGGGCGACTCTGCTCAAGACACTGCTGTCACCCTCGCTGGGTGCCTACCTGGAGGATGACTCGGGGTGACTGGGAGTGGTACCACAGGGGGATGCCGAAGAGGCTGAGGAGGGCTGTCTTGGTCTCATAGGTCTCAGAACATCGGGTGCTGATCACACTGGCCCCTGACACAGGAGAGAAAGGCATTGTGGGTGCCTGGGGCCTGGACATCGCAGGGGAGGGGGACCAGACAACCAGCTCCGCTCGGCAGCCGAAAGGACCCCAGGCTTAAAAGGCTGAGGCAGCCCGAGGGGGACCACTATTGCCCATGTCCTCTCTGAGCACAGAGGGCAGACGCCCCAGGCCCAGCCTACACCTGACCCAGACCACAGAGCAGCTGTGAACAGCCTGGTCCCTGCCGAGGATGGTTCCCGGCACATCCGACTTCTCTGTCGCTTGCCTTTGTGTGAACCCTGCTTGCCTAGCAGCGAGCTGCTCCGCAGCCGCCAAGTGCTCCGCGGCACCAGGGCAGCGGAAGGAGAGGCGCACACACCTCCTGACTCCAGTGCGTAGTCCACCATCCCGATGCGGTCCTCACTGTAGCGCTTCAGGGCCTGGCTCACGATGCGGTGCACCTCCTAAAACAGGCACCACAGCAGCTGTGACCCTCGTGCCTCCACTGCTGGCGGCCAGGGACCCACAGACTGACCCGTTCTGTGCTTGCACCATGCTGGTTTCCCGGCACACGTGCCACCCACGCAGGTGTACCTCCACCCTCCCTTACCAGCCCCAAAGCAAATACTGGAGCCTCCTGCATAGCACTTGGGTCCCGGAACACACCAGGGAGCTGGCAGCGTGGGACTGGGCAGGCCTACAGCTCCCAGGGAGGAAAGCAGTGTGTGTGTAAGTGGGGTGTTTGGGGGCATAATCTCTCACCTCCTCTGTCACCCCGATCACGCCTTCCTTCTGCAGCCTCAGCCCCAGGCTGGCCACAGCCTCCCTCGCCGACCTGCCCTGCATCTCGGCCACGTGGGCGAGGATCTTGCTCTCCAGCTCCTGCAGCTGAGCCTGCATCTCCTCTCGCTGAAGGAGCCCAGTGCGGGTTCCTCGACTCTGGAGAAGGAACTGACTGACCCAGGCAGGGAACTGAGACTCCACCTAGGGACCAAGAAGAGGTCTCACTTGGGTGCTGGCAGGGCAGTGCCCGGCGTGGGCAGAGGAGCAGGGAAATAGTGCAGGCCTGTGAGGGGAGGGCCAGCATGTGCCTGCTCAGGCCACATGGAGCAAAGAGCTGCGAACAACCCTCCATGTTCATGATAGAAAAACGAAAAGAACTCCCATGAAAGGAAGCTGACATCTGTGTCTAGTCCAGGGCCAGGGCTCGTGGGACTAACGGGCTGCAGGGGCAGGAAGCTCTCTGCCCCATGCAGACTCCAAGGACAGATGGTCTCAGAGGGCGGGGTGTTCAGCAGGAAACTTGGAAGGTTCGGACTCACATTGTCCCGCATGGCCTGGAGCTGCTGGGGCAGCAGGCCCACTTGGTCCGCCACCGAGCTCTGCTTCTGGGCCAGAGCTGCCAGCTCCTGACGCAGGCCTGCCAGCTGGCCCTCCAGCCGCCCCAGCTCCTTCATGGAGTTCTCCCGGAAGGACTCCTGGGTCATCCTACTCCCAAAGAGAGAAGAGTAAGCCTTGAAACTCTGGGGAGGAGAAGGCCATGCTGGGGAAAGCAAGAGGATCCCCTCACTGGCTCCTGATGTAACATGTACCCACCACATACAGGCGAAGGCAAGGCCTACTCTTGGAGATCCTGGCTGTGAACACAGTTCTGGGGCTTGCCTGCACCCAGAGCTCATTCTTATCCTGCCCCCTCTATACGCTCAATCCATCATTCACTTGGCCTCAGCCGCTCGTACCCTCCACAACCATGCATCTAGGGCACGGGAATGCAGCTGCATGAGGGTGCACAGAAAAGATGGTGTGTCTACGTGAACCCACGAATCCCAATTCTCCTGCAGTGCCCTGCCCCAGCCTCCACTGCACCTCAAGTGCAGGCCCTCAGTGCGTGCTCCTGAGTTGCTTTCAGCCATCTGCTCCCTGCTTAAAACACAGTCAGAACTCTGCTCTGGCTCTGCTCCCCAGTCCTGCCTGTAGGGGGAGGGGCAGGCTAGGCCAGCCTGCAGGGCCCATTACCTGTGCCATTCAGACTTCAGCTGCTGGAGTCGAGCCTCAGACTCCTGTTAGCAGGAACAAAGGAGAAATACAAGCGATGTCAGGCTCAGTCCAATTGGCCTCTCGGGATCTATTCCCTTTGCGGGGGTCTTTGCTTAACTACATCCCTGCCCCAGTGTTTCCCAACTGCTCCAGCAAATGTCAAACTGGCCTCCCGGTCACGGTCCTTATGAGAGTCTCACTCCATATTTGGTGCACCCAGGCTTCACATACTCATTCATCCCAAATGTTAGACCCAATACCACGGGCGCTGGAATGTAGCCCTTCCTGCCCCCCAGCATGCCCCAGTGCGTCTCTGGAGAGCATTCTAGCCCAGGTAGGTTCAGTGCAAGCAGAAGTCAGGAGATACACACCCCTCCCCACTCCATGTCTAAGCAGGCCCTTCGGGAGGCCGAGGAGTCTCCCAGCCCTAGAACAGATGTTGAACTGATCAGGGCTTCACTGTGGGCCCCAAGTGCTCCCAGCCCACCAACCTGGGAGGCCTGGACAATCTTCTTGAAGAGGTCTTCTGAGTCTTGTTGATGCTCTGCTCTCAGGGTGATTAGTTCTTCCTGTTGGCACAGTGAGAGGCTGGGTATTTCCTGGAGTTTCGCTCAGAGGGCCACTGACCACCAGTAAGTGGTGTGGCTGGAATCAAACCAGGCCTATTTGATGGCCAGCCTCAGCTCCCAGCCTTTCTCTTCAGTGCCTGGACACATGCAAGCATCGCCATGCCCTTTACTGCACATGTACGCGGTGCCAGGCACTGTGCCAGGCACACTGCAACCTCCTGCTCACAACCCGGCGGGGGCGTGGGCACAGAAGGAGAGTGCCCATTTCACAGAGGAGGAAACGCAGACTTAGAGAAGGTAATTACTAAGTGGCAGAGCTGTCTCTCATGTCAGGGTGCAGGCTTGCCCCTCCGCCCCGTGCCCACGGTGTCACCCACATACGACGCCCAGCTCCTCTCCCCCACCTGGATCCGGGCCGCGGTGTCCCTGCGGAAGTCCTCCTTCAGGGCAGCCTCTCGGCGGCTCACCAGCCCCTCCAGGAGCGCCAGCGTGTCCTCCTGGCTCAGGCCGCCGCCGCCTCCCGCACCGGCAGCCCCTTGCCGCAGCTCCAAGCGCTCCAGGCGCATGGCCTCCTTCTGCCAGTTGGAGGAAAACTCGGCAGCAAGAGCTTCCAGGCGCCGCTCCAGAGAGTGTACCCTCGACAGCATGCGCTGCTCAGCCTGGTGGGGTGGAGAGAGAAGCCGCAGAGGTGAGGGACCTGTGATGACAGTGAAAGGGAAGAGAGTCCCAGACACACCCAGATGTAACACCTGCCCGGGCCTGGCCCGAGGCTCTCAGGACAGTCTCTCTGCCCCACAGGTGGGCAGGCCCTTCAGCAGGTAAATGGGTTCTGTGGGTGTGGTGACAGCGAAGCACGGGGCACTGGGACACAGCAGGCTGATCCCCAAGAAGGAGTGCATGTGGGACTGGGGAGGGGGGACACAGTGCCCCCGCCCCCCAGAAGAGGGTCCAAAAAGAGGGACAGTCGAAGAAGAGGACAGGAAGAAACCTCAGGATGACCACAGGGGGCTAGGTGACCTGCTGGGCTGAGCCCATCCCCCTTCCCTCTCTAGGTGCAGGTGTGCGGGAGGGCGAGTGTGGGACTCGCTGCTGTAAGAGGTTCAGCTGCTGAGTTAACCACTTTCATTTCGTCCATCGGTAACTACAGTAACTATGGCTAAAAGACCAAATGGTTTGAAAAGGCCTTCTTTTTCCCTCTTTAACTGGATGCCCCACAGGAAAGATAGAACACAAGTCATTTGGACTGGAGGGCGGCATTTGATAGCGTGCCATGAATTCTGAGAACCTTGTTGGCTTCACAACAAAAATCTTTGCCAAGAGAAAGCATGAAAAACAGTCTGTCAACTACCAAAGGCCAAGGCCACTGGGTACAGAGGTTGCGTCTGATTTCAAAAATTCTGTTTTATTTTTGCATGACTCAAAAAGCAAACAGTAAAAAGCCATGCTCCTAACCTCTGCCCTGCTCCACTCAGAGCCCTCACCACGCCCCCAAACTAGGCAATCATTTTTATTAGTGCCTTTATGCAAATGTAACTCCTCTTCCTTTTTCTCTTACAATAAAAGTGGTCCTGAAATTGAATTATATTTAATGTCTTTACTAATGATTAAAAAAGGAAAAATTATAAATGCCAGAATATATTATTATTTTTTGAAATAATAAGATTATGGCCAGGAAAGTGATATCCACCAAAAGAAATGGTTAAAAATATGATGCCAGTTAAATTCAGCAAGATATAAGCAAAATGAAATAACTAAAATAGTTTTAAATTTTCACTGTGGCCTCAGGACCTGTGCACACACATTCTGGTATTTGTGCACTTGCCCCCCCCCCCCAACACACACACACACACACACACACACACACACACACATACACACACACACGACTGCTAGCTCTTTGAGGGCACAGCCTAGGCCTATTCATCTGCCTCTGGGACATTGCAAGTGGCCACTGACCTTCCCTCTGCCCTGTGTGTGCACCTCGTGGCCTTTCCATGAACAGGTGGAGTCTGTTTCCCCCACCTGAATCTAGACCGGCTCTGAGGCTTGCTGGGGCCAATCGGGGGTGGAGGAAGTGACAGGGTGCTAGTTCTGAATCGAGGCCTCAAAGGGCCTGACCTGATTCGGCTCTCTTGGACCTTGCACGGCTGTCGGGAGAACACGAGCAGGCTAGCCTGCTGGACAACAAAAGCACGGGTGGAGTACAGCCTGCCTGCCGCTCCACCAGCCAGCCTCAGACACGTGAGGGAGCACAGCCAAGCCCTGTCCTCGCTCAGACCAGAAGAGCCAGCAAGAGGACCCACAGACTCATGAGCTAATCAAGTGCTTGTACTTTAAGGCCCTGATTTAGGGATGGTTTAGCTATGCTAATAGGTAACTGACCTGGATATCACCTTATTCATAGAAGGTGCTCAGTAAATACAGGGTGGGGTAAAAGTAGGTTTATAGTGGAGAGTACATGAAACAGTTTATGCTCGTATTATTATTAGTTATGGTAGTATTTTCTATACAAACAACTATAAACCTACTTTTGCCCCACTGTGTATTTTTAAATTATATGGAAAGGAATAAAGCAAAAAGATGACTTGCCTGACTCCTTTTCCTTCTGTTTTTTGTGCTTAGGATGGCAAGGAGCTGGGGAAAGTCCTGAGTCATATCTAAGCAGACTGCCTCCCAGTAGGTACGCTCCAAGCGGTAGAGAAAGGGGTGCCTGGAAGATGAGGCAGTGTCCCAGCTAGAAGGGCATCTTTTTTTTCCAGATTTTATTTTTTGGTTAATCCTCACCTGAGGGTATTTTTCCATTAATTTTTTTTTTTTTTGCATTTATCTTCAGATAGAGCGGGAGGGAGAGAGAGAGAGAAACATCCATGCGAGAGAGACACATCGACTGGTCACCACCCACACGACCCTAACAGGGGCTGGGGACAAACTGCAACCAAGGTACGCGCCCCTAGCAGGAACCGAACCTGGGCTTCTCTGGTCCAGGGGCTGACTCTCTAACCGCTGAGCCAAACTGGCCAGGGCTCCATTAATTTTTTTAGATAGAGCGGAAGGGAGGGAAGGAGAGAGGGGAGAGGGAGAGGGAGAGGGGAGGGAGGGAGGGAGAGAAACATCGATTGGTTGTCTCCCCCATGACCCCAACCAGGGTTGGGTATCGAAGCTACAACCCAGGTATGTGCCCTTGACCGGAATCAAACCCATGACCCTTTGGTCCTCAGGCTGATGCTCTAGCCACTGAGCCAAACCGGCCAGGGTGGAAGGCACCGCTTCTTGGCTTTGTGTGTCAGGTATAAGTGCAGGGAAACCAACTGCGAACAGGCTGAGGCAGGAGCCTGCGAACTCAGATACTCACCTGCAAATGTGGGGAGGAATCTCTGGACTCCCACACTTCATGCTGCTGGCCGCTGCCCCTCGCTGCCCACCAGGAAACCACGGCGGGGTGCAGTGTCTGCAGCCCGTAGGGGTAGAAGTACCAAGCACCTGTACACAGGGGAGAGGGTGGTTACCCGGGCCGGGGCGGTGCGGCTCTCGCCTCACCAATGTCAGTTATCAGAGCCCGTCTCCTTCCTGCGAGCCGCGCGCCCACCCTTCTCGGAGGCGGCCCCCTCCCCAAGGCCCAGTGCGTGCGTTCTCACAGCCCCTCCGGAATCCTCATCTTTCAGAACTTGGAGAAATCAGCTAAAGAAGCTAAGGACAACCCAGGGGTGGAGCACAGAGGCCCTGATGGTGGTTCTCAGCCCAGACTTCACACCAGAACCACCCAGGGAGCTTTAAAACCCCCAGTGTCAGAAAACACGCCACATGTCATACACAGACGAACACATATCACAAAAGACCACACACATAAGAGACCATGCACATAATCCAAATCACTGAGTTTTGTAGAGAAGGACAAGATTTTTTTTAAAGCAAGTCTCAGCCCCAATTCAAGGAATTACATATGTAACATCGCAAAGAGTTGTTTAAACAGGACGATGACAAACGATAAGCTGTGACATGACAAGAATGAAGTTGTCAAAATCAGTGTAGTAAATGTTCCAGAAAAGAAAAGCAAAAACACCCAGTGTCAGGCCCTCCACAGAGTGAGCTCATTGGTCCGGGGGACCCTCCATAGGTGAGTTTTAAAAGCTCCCTAGGTAGCCCAGCTGGCGTGGCTCAGTGGATTGAACATCCTCCCATGGACTGAGAGGTCCTGGTTCTATTTCTAGTCAGGGCACATGCCAGGGTTGTGGGCTTGATCTCCAGTGGGGGGCGTGCAGGAGGCAGCTGATCAATGTTCTCTCTCACATCGATGTTTCTCCCTTCCTCTTTCAAAAAAAAAAAAAAAAATCAATAAAAGCTCCCCAGGTGACTCTACTGGGCTGCCATGGTTGAGAATCACTGAAACAGAAAACACCCACTACTATGGCGATAGGACAGAGCACAAGGCTACAGCCACATCGAGACGCTGCCTCTTGCTTCAGGGGCCATCAGTGTGTTTACTCCTGAGCTGCACGTGTTTGTGTGTGCAGGGTGAGGGCTTAGCCACTGGCTAGAGGTCTCTATCCAGTAAGATGTCACACTTGTCACTCATCAGCCAGGAGCAGTTGCAACAGGAAGCACATGACCACCAGGCTCTAGGTCAGACCCTCTGGACACGCCCTCACTCGCTGCACTCCCCAAGCAGGTGGCCCGCCCCAACTCTGCCTTTCAGACTTGATAGGCATCTCCTCCTGATGCCATCAGGAGGACGTCACCAACTCCACAGGGTGAGGGTGAAGCTCACAATAGCTGAGTTAACTCATGGGAAAGTGCTTCCTAAACAAAACACTGTACAATTATAAAGGGCATTATTATTTTAAGGGCAATGCCCAGTTTCCAATGGGTATGAACAAGCTGTTCTTGTAACAGGAAACAAAAAGGAAATCAACACTTGGAAAAATGTCCTACCTTGGTGTTGGTAAAAGAGGGACAAATCAAATAGGTGCTAAATCTATAAAACCAACTCTCTAAAAAATAATAAAGCATGATCTTTAATTATAAATTGGTACAATCATTAAAATTGAGCCTGGGGGCCATGGAGGCAACTCATAGGGAGTTGTGAAACTCATGTGAAACTGTCAAATGGAAAGCTGACACAAATGTATATATTTATAAACAATGATTACAACTATGTATCCAATTTGATACTCCCATTGCAGAGATTGGGACAACTCTATCTCACGATTTCATGATTTACAGGCCTCTTACTGTAAAAGGCATACTTACTTCTCTTTATTACTTCATTGTTTTGATCTTTTTAATTTTTTTTTTTTTTTTTTTAGAGAGAGAAAGGAAAGGAGAGATAGAAACATCAATGTGAGAGACATCGATCAGCTGCCTCCTGTACGCCCCCTACTGGGGACCGAGCCTGCAACCCAGGCATGTGCCCTGATCAGGAATCGAACCAGGACCTCTCAGTCTACAAAACAATGCCCAATCCACTGAGCCACACCGGCCAGGCCATTATTTTGATCTTAAAGATAGCTAAAGATTATACTTGATCTTGTAACAATAACTCACTCACCCAGACTATGTCCTGATTTGGAATGGAGGGAAAATGACCACTAATAATAACGGCATCCAAGTCCCTGGTTTTTACCCCTGTACTAGGGCATGTTCCGGCCTGAGTGGACATGCCAGACAGTCCAGTGTAGTTACCCAAACTGAGGAGAAGGTCAGTGGGTAGGGGAATTTCCCCTTTCACCCCCTGGACACCCTGAGAACGCAGCAGCATGGGTCAGCAGAGGACCCAGAGAGCCAGACAAGAGTGGCCTTGTGGCTCAGGGCTCAGGAGGTGCCCAGGCTGTCCGACCCCACTCGTCCTGCCTTCTCCCTTTTCTGGGAGGTGATCACGGTCCCTCTAGTTTTCAGTTCTGCTCAGCACTGGCCTCCACCCACACTCTGCCCCGCCGCACTGGCTCACCAGCCCCATTCGGGCAGTCCGGTCCCACCCATCCCCGTGACAGCGGGTCTGCTCACCGTAGGTCAGGCCCGTCAGGAGCAGCAACAGGAGGAGGAACCAAAGGAATGTCTTCAGGGATGAGAAGCGCCTGGACCGTGGGAGGGGGGGGGTAGGGGAGGCGGAGGTGTCAAGAGGGCTCCAGGGCCTCTAGGTTCCCCCCAGGGAGTCCCCTGAGTGCTAACCTAGAGCTGAAAGGGACACCCTTGAGTGTCTCCTTTTGCTAGGGCCAGACTTGGGGACAACTATGATCCTGTGGATTTTACTGATGTTATTAAAAATAAGTAGTGGAGTCTTCGAAAAAACTAAAACTCATATGTAGAGGTCCTCTCAGCAAGCAAATATAGAACAAAATATGGAACTCCTTAAATAACATTTTCTTGTAGAAAAACGAGGAAACTTTTTTTGGTGCCATGAATCAACCCATCCTTGCCCCTCTCCTCTGCATAGCTGGCCACCCACTCCAAGCAGGGTTATGGCCAGAGGGCCCCTGGCTTCTGGCCTCAGGAGGTCCTCTTTCCTCTGCCCGTGGGCTCTGCTGGGTCAGGGTCTTAGGGCACACCCACAGCATCCTCAGGCAGCTGCCGGACGCGGTGGGAGAAACCCTGGGGTCTAGGTCGGCACAAGGCCAAGAGGGAAGCTGAATGTTCTGGGCAACACCACTGGTCTGAGCCTCTGTGATTCACTGTCCAGGCAGGAGTCTCACTCACCTGGTTAAAACAAAGACGTCGAGGAGGGAGGCAGCTGTCGTGAGGCGGTACCAGGTGGTGCCCACCCACCAGTAAAGGAGTCCGAACAGGCGGCCTGTAAGAGGGACCGTCAGGCTTAAGTGTCCTCTGAGCGGGGGTCCGCGGGCTGCGGTTTCAGAGCACCGCTTTCTCTCCACCCGCGGTCCTCCCTGCCCACTAACACCGACCTGCCGGGCGCCTTGCCCTGTCCTAGGGCTACCCAGTTCCTCCCATCCCACACTCCCGCTCTGCCAATGCCCGGGTTCTGCTCCACGGGGGCTCCTGCCCTTCCAAGCAAGGGTGTTCCCATGGCTCCTGGCCCCAGTGATTATTCTAGAATGAGCTTCCCCTGATGGTCCTACAGTCTCTCTGTGTTGGCTGGACACCCAATCCCAGAGACAGGTGAGAAGGGACTGCTGAGGGACAGCCAGCACCCACCTGGAAAGGTGACCACCATCCAGAGAAAGGAGCCTGCCCGAGAGACAGCGTTCCTGAGCCGGGAGCCTGCACCCCGCTGGCCCGCCTCCGAGTATCCTGCAGGCACAGAGCCAACCAGCTCAGTCTGTCCTCCCTGGGAGGAGCCTGGGCTGCCCGGAGACGGCCTGTCACTTGTCTTCTCCCTCAGACTGCGCTGAGGCCGTGCATCATTCTCCTGGTTCCCAGTGTCACGCAGGCCGGGCACCCAGCCTGTCGTGGTGTCTGCTGCCGGAGCTTTCGATGGGGCCCTGACGCTTTATTTCCCGAGCGCTCCCGCCTGCCTCCCTCCCTGTGGGCATATCTGAACCACTGCTCAGAACTCCTGAGGCGCCCCCTGTGCGAAGCCCGGGTTCAATGCTGACTGGAAATGCGCGAACGGGCGCTGACCGCAGGCCCGGTGGGGCAGAGGTGGGCTAGTGCGTTGAGGGACACCCCAGAGGACCTGCAGAGGCACCCGCCACATGCCGTGCTCTCTCAAGCTGTCAGGGTTGCCCTCCCAGCCTCCCATCACCTCCCCAGCAGTCCTGGAACCTGCTGGAGGTCTCCCCAGGCGAGGTGGATGGCGTCGCCTACCTACGTAGTCATCCTCGGAGGAGTAGCCGGAGGAGGACCCGAGGAAGTCCTCGGAGAGCTTGGCCTCCACCAGCCCGTTGACTTTGCTGCTCTCGGTGCCCCCTGTGCCTCTTCTCCTCCTCACCCGCAGGTCCTCACCTGAGGAGGGAAGAGCGTGGGGTTCTCCTGGGGCACCCCGATGCTGAGGAGGGTATTCCGGAGGGTCCCCTGGGGACACCCTGAGGGAATCTGCCCTGGGCCTCTCCCCAGCTCTCTGGTTCCCGGGTGGGATTGGGGGGGCAGAGGTGAGCTGGGCCCAGCCCCCCTGTCTCCTGGGCTTGGAGCAGCTACATGGTGACTCATCATCTGAAGGGGCCTGGCAGCTCAGACACCTGGCTGCCCTTCCCAGGGTTTCTGAACACAGGGAGCCCTCCTCTGGCCCAGCAGGGTTAGGAAACCGGGGGTGGGGGGGAGCCAGCATTTGGGACCTTAAGTTTCCAGAGGAAGCAAAGCCCCAGGAGAAAGGTTCCGGACACTTACTCCAATAAGGGTCACTATGCAGCTGGTCATCGAGGATGGAGCTCCTGGCGAGGGAAGCAGCCCGGGGGCTGCCAAAGTAGGACTCCCTGACCACGGACTCGCTGTAGTAGGAGGTGTGTGTGTCGGAGGAGGGGCCCAGCTGTGGCGCTGGGGAGAGGCGCTTGGTGTTGCTGGATTTCCTCTTCAGGGTCCTGAGGGTGTCAGCCAGGAGGGAAGTGGGGGGGGGGGGAAGGTAAGCTTAGCCAAGAATAGGAAGCCAGCAGCTCAGCCCTCCTGTCATGAGTGGGTTGGCCTTGTTGCTAGGCAACTAACAGCCCCGACTACAGAGAGCTGCAAAGTAGAGCACAGCACAGGTAGCTTCTCTGCTCCCATTATCGTCAAATCTCACTAGCAGTCTGGAGAGATCATCAAGGTGACAGGGTCAACAAACCCAGGTCTCTAACTTTATAGCCAAGTTTTTTTTTTCTTCTCACACTTAACAGATTAGTAATTCCTACAACCCACTGAAAACTCAGACAAACCCAACCTGGTCTCCAGGAGCCTCAGGGGCTGCTATGGGGGCTCATGTCTGCAAGGGGTACAAGACAAAGTGACACCCGCCTTACTCATTACCTGGCGCCCCTGGGACCCACTCCTCTCCCCGGCCTCTTGCTGGCCCTGCTGAGGCCCCACACGTGGTGGGACACACAGGTGTGGGTCTGGGGAGGATGGCCAGATGGGCACGCCCACCCATAGCAGAAGGGGTTCTTGTGAGCCCAGCTGGCAGTGTCGGGGTTTCCGGCCTGGCTCTTTCTTGAAGCTGCCTCTCCCCACTTCCTGTTCTCTGAACATGAGGGCAGAGCCCAGTTTACAGTAGGGGAGAAGTTGTGCTTGTCCTGGCCTCCTTGTAGGTGTGGATGTCCCCTTGACTGGACATGGGCATCTTCCCTCTGCCCATAAAGGTCATAGCAGGGAGAGGCCGTGCCGTGAACTGCCCAAGCCCTCTGCTGTATGCATCAGCATGATCCACAGGGGTGGTGGCAACCTCCTACCTGAAAGGGCTGTCTCGAAACAGGGTGCTCTGGCTCCCCGCCACTGAGCTCCCGCCACTGCTGCTGCCGCCGTCATCGTCCCCCTGGGAGTAGCGCGTGAGGCGCTGGCTTCGACGAGACATGATGAGGTGGGATGGGAACCCTTCCCCTAAAGAGAGTCTTGGGAGAGAAGGCACAGGTGAGTCTCGGGGCTGTTGGCAGATCTTTCCTGGGGGAGGAGAGACAAGGCATTTTCTCCCAATGAGCTGACCAACCCCTCATTCAATGAAACCAGCCTGAGATGTGGGTGACAGCACCACCCACCCTGCTGCTGGCTGCAGCCCACAGTCCGCACCCTGCCCTGGGCTCACTTAGAGCCCAGGCAGCCTCTTTCCACAAGGTTTTCTAATGTTCAGTTTGTCTGACACTGAGCTCCGTGAGAGCCAGGACTGTACCTTCTGCAACCTTTGACACGTGGCACATGAGAGGCGCACAGAAGCTGAATGAATGCCTTTGATCACGGCTGCCCTGCACAGACCCTGCAGCCCAGCCACTCCACTGCACTGCCCTCTCCCTACAGCGGTGGCCACTCTCATGTTAGCTGTTCCTTTCCTGCAGCTCCACTCACCAATCAGGGCCCCAGCCAAAGTGTGACTCCGGAAAACCTTCCCCTGGTCCAGCACCCTGCACTCTAACAGTGGTTGATGCTGCATGCCCTCAGCTGGGTACTGTGCAGCAGACGTGATGGTGATGATAAAACACTTTGTAAATGCCTCCTAGGTACCTGGCTCCTTACACACCCATTTCCGGTCCTACCAGCAAGGGACATATCATTAGTCCCACTGTACAAGAGAGGAGCCTGGGACACAGATGGCCGGTGACTTGCCCACAGCCACCCAGCCCGTAAGGGATAGAGCCAGGATTTAAACCCAGAGGTGACATGTGACAGGGTCTTTCCACCCCGCCATGAAGTTTTCACGTTGTTTCGGGACTGTGTTGTGTGTCCCCAACTAGAGTCTCTTATAGCCTCAAATATGTTCAGAACAGGCTGTCGACAGAGTTGTTACACAACAGATATCTGTTAACAAACTAACGAAACAGGGCGCTGGGGCAGCAGTGTGGGATTTCTGGGGTGGGAAATCAAGGCTCTGGATTGATAACCAGGACTCAAGGGAGGCCCGGGTGAAAGACCCGGCAAAAGGCCCCATCCTGCCGCCCGAGGACTAATAAACTCTGGAAACCCAAATTCAGAATCTCGGATTACCAAGGTGAGGAGTGTCAACGTGCTGCCTCGGCCAGCCCGTGTTACAGTCACTGTTACTTGGGCCCACTCGAGGTCCTCCGACTTGTGACTTGCTATCACTTCTAATGTTCCTAGTTGACACTTAAATGACGCGTTCTCTGAGTTGTGTGGTGGGCACACACTCTAACACATTCCAACTCAGACTATGGAAACCAGAAGGTCTGGTTAGTCCAGCTGAAGAATTCTAGAAAGTCCTCCTCTGAAAAACAAGCAGCCTCATGTCCTAGCCTCATTGGCATCTTCTCAGGTGGGATGTTTACCTGACATCTTTCCCTAGTTCTAGCCGGTGTTGGTAAAGGACTGACTGCTAGTAGCCAAAGCAGGAAGTTGGTCTGGGTCCCTTTCTATATTCCACTCCTTATAAGGTAATTCCACCCCCACCGCTGCCCCCCCCCCCCCGCCCCCCAAGCTCCAGCTGCCCTCACAGGCTCCTCTGAACTCCCCGCCCTGCTGAAGTGGAGGTCTTCACTCCCCTAGAAACAAAGCAATGTGTTTACACAATGCTCAAGGCTGGGCCGGGCAAGAATATAAATATTCATATTGGGGGAGCGGGCTGCACCGCCTTCACCCTCCCAGAGGTGCCTCTCAGTCTTCCCTGTGGCTGCTGGTATCACAGTTTGCAACTCAGTTTGGGTTTCACGAGATGAAAAAGGTCAAGGCTTCATCCTCCAAAACAAAACAGAGGAGCCTCTAGAAGCTCAAATCTTCTGCATGAGAATAGACCCCCCCCCCCACACACACACACAAACACGATCAGTTAAGAAACCTTCAACTAAAACATACCTCCCCACTCAGAAGCCGGGCCACATCCCATTCTCAACTCCACCCCCTCTCAAACTTAGATGGCATAACTTATGACTTAACACAGATCTTGGGCACCTTCCATTTTCACTTCGGGACATTTTCACACTACGTTTCCTGCCGGGGCCGGTAAAACGCTCCAGGTGCGAACTCCCTTCATTCCCTGCCCGCTGAACCTGCGGAGATGTTTACCGACCACATGCCTTCCCTGCTTCTCTGCTCTGTCACACTCCCGCCCCGTTTGTTGGGTTTCTTTTTAGAACTCAACAAAATGGCCCTTCCTCCTGGCCCCAGAGCTCTGACAGGAGAGGCAGAGAACTGTCTGTCCCTGGAAACTGCCCGACTGGCACGAAAACATGGGCCTGCCCTGGGCTGGCTTGAGACAGCCCGGTCTTCGTTGTCCTCCTCCCGGGGAGGTTCTGCCCAGGGAAGTCCCGCCTGGAGACATCCGCCCTGCGGGGGGACCAGTGGGGCGGCCCGGCCTGGGGGCGGCACCCGACGGAGATGAGTCAGGGCGGCTGGCCTTGGCACGGCGCTGGCCCTTCCCGACCGGCCCAGGGGCGTGCGCCCGGCGGGGCTGGAGCCTGGCCCAGCTTGGCCGGGGAAGAACCAGGCCTGGGCAGCTGGGCTCTGGTCGGGGCGGCCCAGGGACGACCCAGGGGTCAGGCCGGGCCCGGCGCCCACGGGGAGGCGGGCGAGGCCGGTCCACCACCCTCGTCCTGCGCGTCCGCTCGCCAGAGGCCCACGGCCGGCGGTTACCTGCTGGCGCGGCCGCTCCGTGCGGGGCCGGGGGCGTCCGAGGTCCGCCGTGCCACCCGGGCGCGCCCCTTTCCCCGTCCGAATCGCGCGAACGGCGCTCGGCGCGGGCCCGGGGCGCGGGGCGCGGGGGCGCGGGGCGCGGGACGAGGCCGGCGGGCGGGAGCGGTGGACAATGCAGCCCGCGCACAACTGCGCGGCTCGAGTGGGGCCGGGCGGCGCGCGCGTGGCCGAGTGTGTATGTGTGCGTCTGTCAGTCAACCCTGACAGGCCGCAGCCCATTGGCCAGGCTCCGCCTTCTTCACCGCCCACCGCCGCCGCCCATTGGGCGGTTTGAACACAAAGGCCCCGGCTCGCCCCGCCTGCCGCGTGGGCCCCGCGGGCCGGGCGCGCCCAGTTAGGAGTCCGCGCGTGGGAGACGCGAGCGCGAGGGCGACGTCTGGGCGCCGAGAACTCAAGTGGAGCCCGCAGGGGGGCTCGGCCGGGCCTCGCCGCGCACTGGACTCCGGGTCCCGTGGTTCAGAACACCCGAGGGCGCCTCGGGCGCTGCACACCGCCCGTGGCCTCCTGGCCGCCGCAAGCCGGCTCGACAAGGCCGGGTGCAGGACCTTATAGGCATGGGTGACTGGGGCCCAGCCTCCCCGAGGGTGGCCCGAGGAAGTGGGCAGCAGGGGAGGTAGAAGACGCCGGCCGGGGGCCCACCCGGAGGGGTAGTGTGTGGTTAGCCCTCCGCGGACTCGTCCTCCTGACCAGGCCTTTCTACGCCCACTTTACAGATAAGGAAACTGGCTCGTACAGGTTTTAAGTGATTTGCTTAAAGTCACAGCTAGAAAGAGGCAACATTGAGATTAGAAGATTCTCTTCACATCTAAGCCCTCGTTTTCCATTTTAGGTTGATTTTGGGATTCAGATATGGTACGAGGCTCTGCCAGTTCCCAGTCTGCCCCCAGGGCCCCCGAGTTTCCTTGCAGAAGCTTTTCTCAGTTTCGCGGAGGGGGCCACAATCGTTGAGAAGGGGCCACCGGTTCTCTGCCTTATTCAAATGCGCGTGTGGCATGCGCCTTGATAGATAGGGAGTAAAATCCCGGCTACCTGCAGGGGTCTTGTGTCCCGGTGCCCTCAGGCACGTTCTGGGAGGAGTCGCTTCCTGTGCAAGCTCTTCTAGGGGAAGACCCGACAGACTGCCGGTACAGTATTTCACTTTGAAAGCGCCAAGAGGAAGAGACAAGAAATGACAAAATCACCGAGACAGGACAGGAAGGGGGGCAGGGGTGGGGGCGGGCCACAGGGAATTGAGGAAATTGGAAGCCTTTGTGTTAAGTTGACTCCATACAAAAAAATGACTCTCCCTCCCTGGGCCTCCACTGCCCCACCTGGAAAATAGGGGTCTCACCTGTACTTGCAGCATCTTGGAGACAATGGTGCTGGTCAGTGTTGCTTCTGGGGTTAGGTGGAGAGCTCCGTGGGGCCAAGGGCTGGCTCGCGTCTGAGTATCTGCTGAGAACACAGACCAGATTTAGGGTCAGCGTCCAGGTAGCAGCAGGGCCCTCTCGAGGACACCTTCCCCTCACCATGGTGCTTAACTCCCCAATTCTGTCCTCCCCAATTTCAATGGAGTCTCCAGATCCCACCATCTCCATTGCCGAGCGTGCTTCCCTCCTCTCCCAGGGTCCTGGCAGAAGGACCTCTGTCCCACGGTCCCAGAATGCTCTGGTCTGTGAAGCAGGAGGCGGTGTGCCTTCTACTGGAATTGGGCAAGGGCCATGGCCACAAGCTGATTGGAGACAGGCCCTTCTTACACTGTGTTGCCTCCATGGCCCTGTAGTAGACGAATAATGGGCCCCAAAGATATGAGGTCCTAATCCTTGGAAGCTGTGAATACTACCATATGTGGAAAGTCTTTGCAGATTCAATTAAATGAAGAATTTTGAGATTCGGAGATTATACTGGATTATTAGGGTGGGCCTTCAATGTAAACACAAGTGCCTTTTGAAGAGAGAGGCAGAGAAGAGGAGAGGGCAATGTGACCGCAGTGAGTGGTAGAGACTGGAGTACGAGGCCACAGGACAAGGAATGCTGGCAGCCACCAGGAACCGGAGAAGACAAGCGGATTCTCCCCTCGAGCCTCCGGAGGAAGCATGGCCCTGCTGACAGCTTGCTTTCTGCCCAGTGGTTTTGATTTTGGACTTCTGGTCTTCTGTGCGAGAATAACTCTGTTGCTGTAAATCACTGAGTCTGTGGTAATCTGTGAGTCTGTGGTAATCTGCTACAGCAGCTCTAGGGAAGGAACAGCGACCGCGGGAAATTGTTGTTTGAGGCTCCCATGGTATGCCAGGCCCCTCCCTCAGTCCTGGCGGTGCTCACTGACACCATGCATCAGACTTGTCCCCCATCTCTCCTGCCCCGCTGCTCCCACCCCCGCCTCACTGCCATTCTTCTCACCAGTAACTCTGCCCTTCCCGGCTTCTCTGTCTGGCTGCCATCCATTTGGCTGGTCTTCTCCCAGCCCTGCTCTTCCCTTTTCCACTGCTCCGTTCTTGTTCCTTCTCTCATCACTTCGTAACCTGGCGTGGGAGGTGGCGGCTTTGCCCCAGGAACGGGGTCTCGGTGGCAGACAGAGCAGCCATTGCAGCGGGGTCATGTTATAATTTTGTTCATTGCTAGACACTTTTGCCTTAGCGGCCCCTCCCTTCATAACATTTTTTAAAAATTATATTTTATGACCACATTGGTAGAAAGATGACTATAATCTAGGCTTCATTCATTAGTAAATATTCATTATTATGGCATTTAATTTTCCTTCTGATCTTAAAAGAAATAAAAATGAAAACATTTCCATGTGTCCCTGAAGCATCCTGGGCCCTGGGCACCATGTCGCCTTCATGGAGTGGGTGGCCCCTTGCTGGACCTCCTGGGCCACAGAAGGCCCCCTGCCCTCGCCTGGAGCGGCAGCGGCTGTGGAAAGTCCTGCGTCGGTGTGGGCTGTGGTGACCAGCAAGGAGGACACGACATCCTCCTGGGTGCAGGCCAGGTGCACACCTGCTCTGTGACCCTGGGCTAGCCATTTCACCTCTCTGAGCCGTTTTCCTCATTCATATGATGTAAAGAAGGATAACTGTCCTGTCTGTCGTACTGCTGGCATTGGACCAATCGTGTGGTACTAGTGACCTTGGCCCAGTCGATGAGGCTCTCTGGCCTCTGTTCCTTCATGTGCGAGGGCAAGGGAGAGGAACTGCTCAATACAAAGGGCTTTGCCACCAGTGGTCTTTGGGAGGACAAGGGAGTGTGTTGGGTCCCTGGTCTGTCCTGGACTCATAGTCAAGTCTGTGCTCCAGAGACCAAAGCTTCCCATGACACCCCCACATGGTGCCTGGCTTCCTCCCCCATGGACCCAGGACACGTGTGCCAGGGACTGGTCTGAAGGAGATACTCGGTATGCCCATGTCAAATAACCACATGTGTGAGGATACTAACCACCTCCCTGCAGCCAAGGCCACCTCCATGCCGTCTTTCCAGCTGACATCAGTCAGCAGTCAGGGTGTTGGCGTCTGTCATTAAACCTTCAGAGGCAGTGTCCTTGGTGGGGCAGGGGGTGCGGGACTTGAATATCAGGCTTTCTGGCTCCAGAAACACAGTATGGAGAGGCAGGATCTAGTGTCCCTCCCCAGCCCCAGGGCTGTTTCTCTGCCTCTCTGGGGGTGTGATGTGGGCTCCCTACTCCACCCCGCCCAGCCCCTGAAGCTCTTTCATCCAAAGAGCTCAAAGCTCCATCACCCAGTGGTATGTGCGGGTAGTAAGCCCGTTTTATGGGAGAAGTCCAGTCTGGGGAGGGAAAGGCGCTGGATCCAGGTCACTAAGGGGGCCCGTCGGGGTCAGGGACAGACCGCGGACAGTCCCAGTCAGGCTCTTATGGGTCACTGTGCCTCGGTCATTTCTGCCCCACACCTAATACTGCCCAGTTCCTGATCAATATGCATCAACAAACTGCCTGACTGTGCTCCCCAATCTTCAAACACCCGGCTGCTAGGGTGGCAGTCGCAGACCCCTGTGGGCCCCACTTGCGCTCCCCAGAGCTGAGCCCTGTTCCTCAGCCCCACCCAGGCCCCGCCCACTCCCACACCTTGCTCGCCTGTGCCCTGAAGTGCCCTTTCCCTGGTTCTCGTTTCTCGGCCTGATGAAATTCTACTAACCTTTCAGGGATGGGCTCAAATGTCCCTGTTCCTAAGTATCCACGGCAGGAGGAATGGCTCCCGCATCGTGTCCCCGTGTTCTGAGCACCCTTCTATCCGCACACATCTCACTCAGTGTCGTGGCGCCGAGAGCCAGGCACCACGGCCTCGGGATCCTGAGGGTCAGATGGCTAATGCCTGGCGCTCAGTTTGTGAAAGTGATGTTGTCACTTACTGTCTCCCACCCCCAACCCGCGCAGTGCCTGGCTGAGTGGAGGAATGGCCTGTGGAAGGAAGGCGGGTGGCCCCGGGACCTCTGAGGTACTAGGCCACAGATCAGGGCTCGTGGGCTGACATTGAGGGACTTGCCTCATATCTATGTGAGGTTGTCCCTCCTGGAAACTGACTCCCAGACTCTCAACACACCCTCCCGCTGCTTCACCTCCATGGGAACATTGCTGGGCCAGTGGTCCAGAGTGCAGACCGTCTCTCCTGGTGAACAACTGGGCAAGTCATTAGCCTTTCTTGGCCTCGATGTCCTCATCTATAAAGTGGG